TGTTAATGGCTGAGTTCTGCCTGTGAGCCTCTTCTGAACGTTAACTGAGGTGAAGTCTAGATTCGCTCTCCATCACACATCCGTCTGATTCAGCGTTCACTTCTGAGTGATACGTACGGCTTCGGTAAAAACACAGTACCTGTATTTTTAACTCTGAAGCCAATACTGAATTTAATCTCTTATACAGCTTCCTACAGAAGAAAACCGACAGCTGAACAATTTCAGCAATTAAAAAAAAGGGGGGGAAGTGTGTTATCGCGAGTGACGTCATGGCTGTGATTTGGCCACAGATGCAAGACGAGTGCAGTGGATCATCACAGCCAAGATGTCATTCACAAGCACATGCGAACTGGAGAGTTGTGTCGCTTTTCTAGAACATTTCTGCAACAAAAGGGAAAAAGTCAAGTAAAGAAGCCCCAAATATTCTACTGTAATTAATTCCTTCTGCCACAAAAAGTAGTTCCCGTCTACGTTACAGTGACACAGGGCTATAAAACTGCTGCAGTGTCAGGTTCAACCCAGCTTTTTCAATATTTACCATATTAACCTGAATGTTGGTTTGTTCCAGGCAGTCACTAAAGCCCATCTGGTTTTCTGAATTGTATTCTGTCCATTTCTGGCTGATTCCAGTTTGTTGAGTCTACATTTGTTGCCATGTATAAGAGAAATATCTGCCAGACTGTATTAAGTGTATGGATTTTTATCGCAAGTGAAAAAGATCTGTTTTTGTATACAGCCGTACTCAAAACTTCGATCACTCCTGGTCAAAATAATGATCCACCAGCCAAATAACACCTGCTCAGTGGTGGCCCCTTGTGGTGGTAAAAGGGGGTGGGGTAACAAATATACCAATAAAGAGTTGAACTACAATCTGCTACTGTAGGATTACCAAGTCCACCTATATGGTAAGTGGACCTGATAAAATGAAAAATAAGTGTAGATACAAGGTGGGTGACCTACCTTGTAAGTTTGGATAGCCTCCCAGAGATTTGTGTGAGTTTTGGTGGACACTTTCTATTTAACATGGTTGTTGGAGAATAACTCTGAAAGAAGTCTGGTTCCATTGACATTAAAACTGAAGTATGTTTTTTCCTTCTCCTGTAAAGTCCTCATTTTGAAGATAAGAGGTTTTGTTCCGACACCAGCGATATGGTTAATAAACAAAATTGATAGGAAACGTATTCAGCCACTTTATTAAACAATATATGTTTTTAAAAAAATAAAGTTGTAGGTGGAAGGTTGCCAGTTCAATCCCCTGAACTGACAGGCCAAGACTGAAGTGCCCAGCTGCTCCGTGGGCCTATGGACAGGGCTGCCCACTGCCCTCTAGTGTGTGTGTTCACTAGTGTGTATGTGGGTGTTTCACTGTACGGATGGGTTAAAATGCAGAGGGGAAATTTCCCCGTTGTGGGACTAATAAGGGTAACTTAAATAAATAAATAAATATCGTTGTCATTAGTTGGGAAGACTTCATGCAACAAGTACCAGTCATAGTGAAGGCGAAGGAGCTTCCTGACCACCTCCAAAGGTCCCCACAGGTTGCAGCGGACCATGTTTACAGCTGTACGTAGTACTGCCCGAGAGATATTTCTGATAAGGAAGGGGAAAGTCAAAGGAAAATAAGTGAAGTTTCCAAAACTGGAGATCAAACATGTGATTAAAAGCTATAGAGAAAAGAGACTCCTAACAACCACCTGGAAGACCTGGTAGACATCAGTACTGTCCCCATCAGCTAAACAGCACTTAAAGCTTTCATCTTTGAGAGAGAGGAGAAAATCAAGCTGCTTCAGATCTGAAAACATCTACAGGTGTTTCTGTCCATCCTTCCACTGTGAGATGACAACTCAGTGCTATGGGTCTGAAAGGATGCGTAGCTGTCAGGAAGCCCTCACTGACTGAGATGTTGATACAAGCACCATAGAGAACATGCTAAAAGTTGGTGAGGGCTGAGAAAAAGTGGAAGAATCGTACTGAACAGGAACAAACAACATAAGAGATGATTTGACCACCATCCACGACCTCCACCAGTAATGGACTTGGAAACTGAAACGGCAGAGAGATGGTGGAGACAGAGAGCATTAATGATGTAGAGCGTTGCTGACTTCTGCTGCATCGTGATGCTGTTGGTGCCCCAGCAGTGCAGAGATAATTGGCTGCGGTTCAAGATGCCTTGTTAATTTCTGACCTTGCAAAGTTTTCTTAGGCGTTCGACAGTAAACTCTCTCATACAGTCAAACCAATCATACTCATCAGGTACCCCTGTGTATTTGGGCGTGTGAGCGTCTACATATCTGCATGTCTGGAGTTGGGAGAGAGAGAGAGAGAGAGAGAGAGAGAGAGAGAGAGAGAGAGAGAGAGAGAGAGAGAGAGCATTTGAATCTGAACATTGATTATGCATCTAGTGATGTAGTGATCCATCTAAAGGACACTGATGTCACCGAAATCTTGATGAATTGTTTGCCTGAGAAAACCTCTTCATATATTTTACACTCTTTCAACACTAAATCTGCTTTTTGACTGTGGGAGTTTGCAGTTTAAGTGATGAGGCCTTCGTGCACGTTCACTTTATACTGCTTTACTGCCACCTACTGGATTTACAAGGATAAACATCTGAATTACCTAATAGCATTCAGTAATTTACATGACTTATCTGTCAATTTTTTACTAATGTTTTCATATTAAATTGCTAGATGTAGAATTAATGTGGAGATTTGAGTAGGATTGTATTTTTTATATTTGTTAAATGATATATAAGCATGAAAAATGCTCTTAATGTGGAGATTTGAGCGTGGTTTGTTTTTTATTATTTATTAATTTTAATGATATATAAGCATGAAAACACTTTTTGTCTCTTATTCATGGAATGTTGTGAACAGAAATGAAACTCTTTTTAGAGAATGGACTCTACAGTAGTAATTTCAACAAAGCAGGATTTCTCAGTTAGCCAAGTAACTTGAGCCCAAAGATGAGGATTTTCCCAGCGGAATGCCCCTCAGCTCTGCTCTTATTGGACAAGCGTGATTTCCAGCTTTATGTAAACTAAATAACCCTACTTTGTAAAGTATCCCCAGGTACAGTGAGGCACATCCACAGTACTGAACTCACAGGGAGGTCACCACCAGCCATAGTCTGGCCATTACGATTAATTCAAATAATCCAGCATATAATAAAATGAAACACAAAAAATGAGATTAATTACCTGTTAACCACTAAATGGAGCTGGGAAACCTTCCCCAATATATTTGATTATGTATTATTATTTGAAAAGTACAAATCTGTTTACTAAAATAAACATGAGTCTCTGATATCCGAATATAACAGCGTTTAAAAAGTGCACTAGCTGAGAGGCGAGTTGTAACACGGCGATGTTGCCCATGTTTTCAATCTACAATCTGACCTGGGAGCAGATTTGAGGATCCGCTGATCGATCCTGACAGTAGGAGTGACGTTCAGGTATCTGATCCCAGATCAGCCCAACGGCGCTGTCTGCGGACGAACCCTGCGCAATGCCGTCACTGCCGACGTCAGACGTACGTAAACGGTTCGGCGCTAATTTTCAAACGGGAGCCGGAGAAAGAGGAGGAGAGGAGAGAAGCGGAGCGGCGTTAAATCTCCAACGAACTCGGTTGTTCTCGGTAGTTCATAACATTGTCTTTACTTTTACTTCTTTTCGGAGGTTTCTTCGAAAATTTTATCGCTGTAGGTTCCGATTTGGATCCTTGGGACAGTAAGTCGGGGCGCTTTTGTTTGAATTTGTTGCCGCTGGTGTGGGGTTAAAACAGGCTGTGTTCCAATATGTGCACTTTCGTGTAACTAGAACGCTCAGCGGCCGGAGCTCTACGCACTACTTAGGCGTTATAAGTAGCGCACAAGGACACATATTGGAACACAACGGAATGGAATAGCTTGACTCGTTAACTGAAGGCTGTTAAAAGTTAAAATATTTATCTGAAGAAAAATGTCTCATAACTTCTACAACAGGACATTTGCTGGCTAGCCAGCGCATAGGCGAATAATTCACCGTTTAATTAGCGAGCTAAGCTGGACGTTTAACGTACTGCGGATGTTTAACGTTATTTTGCTAAGTAAGCTAACGTTAGCTAAGGTTTAGCTAGCTAGCTAACGTCATGGAGGACTAGTAGCCTTAAGCAAAGAACAAGGTCGCTTAAACCACAGGTAACGTTTGAGTAAATAAGAAATAAAGACTGAAGTTAGAGTAAAAGTAGCTTCCATTCCAGGAGGAACAGAACTAACTAGGCTATCAGGGCAATCCAGCATCTGTCAGCACAGGAGCTGTGAGTTTGGCTCTCTTTTTCTGTTTTTGTGATGATTTTGGTCTAAAATAAAGCGCTGTCAGCAGCGAAGCAGAACCGGTGGAAGCCTCTTTCTGCCACGGGACAAAAAAAAATGTATATGTATATATGTGTGTGTGTGTGTGTGTGTGTGAATATATATGTACATACATGTATACATACATTTTTTAGGCATAATATTGAGAAAGGTTTCCATAATTATGACATACTAAGGCATAATTATGAGAAAGTAAGCCATTATTATGAGATATTAAGACACAGTGAGTCATTAGACTAAGTCATAATTATGACAATCATTATTATGGCTAAATGTCTCATAGTTATGACTTGGGCTCTCATAATTACTGTCATAACTGAGATACTAAGTCATAATATTAACTCTAATGAGATGCTTAAATATAATTACGATAGTAATTCATAGTCATAATTATGAGTCAGTAATTATTATGAGATTGAATCTCATTATTATGAGATACTAAGTCACAGTGAGCCATTATACTAAGTCATAATTATGATAATCATTATTATGGCTAAATGTCTCATAGTTATGATTTGGGCTCTCATAATAATTACTGTCATAATTGAGATACTAAGTCATAATAATGAGATACTAACTCTAATGAGATGCTTAAATATAATTACGAGATAGTAATTCGTATTCATAATTATGAATCAGTAATTATGAGATTGAATCTCATTATTATGACATACTAAGACGTAATTATAGAATGACATGGAAATGGAAATCTTTCTCATTATTATGTCTGAGTAAGTTCTGTATCTGTTTCCAGTGGTGGAAATGGCTTCTATACAGAACAGAATGGAATTAAGCGCCAGAAAGTAATTGGTAATGAAATCCAAATGACCAAAATGTTCCTGATTAAACAGCAGACTTGTTTCCTCACATGTAGGCATTAGAAGTACTGTTATTTGTAAATACTAGTAGAAAGCCACCAAACTAGTACTTAAAGGGGACTTAAATTTTTTTTTAAATTTCTGCATAATTAAAAGGTTAAGATGTTAACAGAGCCATTCAGAGTGGTTTGGTGTGAAATGCTCCGTTCCAGAGCAACCAAGTGCGCAGTGTTCACAGTGGTGGTGATAGGAACCGGGTGTCCACCTCAAGTTATCTCACAAAGTTATTACATGAAATGGTCATAAATACACTGCTTAATGCTTGGGACATTGTTTTATGATAGTTTTGAGAAGGTTCTGGTCTAAAAGGTATTTTTAAAACCATTCATTAACGGTGCAGGGATACGTGTAGACCATAACAACTGAATTATAAAGAGCTTATGGCATTATATAAATGCAGTGAATGACTGTCCACCTCTGGCAGTGATGTTTATCTTTTCTGTGTGGTTAACTGTGAATGTGTTGTAAGTAATATATTATTGCTGTCATTACATAAGAGTGCCAATATCCTACCAACCCTTTTTCAGGTCACAGGCGGTATGAGTGCAGTGAACACCCCCACATCCCGGCCACGGCAGTGGTCTTCCCCGGCTCTCGGGCACAAAGCAGCCCTGTCTGCAACCAGCACCCCACTTCTCGGGTCCATCCAAGGCAACGACGATGAACAGGAGCGACGTCAAAGGCGGAGGTCCAGAGTCATTGATCTTCATGGTGTCGGTGATTCTTCCTTCAGTGAGGCTGCAAGTCACAGGTAGCTGGGAACGTTCCACTGCATACTAGTCCACAACAATGTTGATTCAGTTTTTAATAAAGACCTGGGTTGTATCAAATTCTGGGGGCTTCAGGTTGTTTTGAAAGAACTAGGGATACACAGCTGCATCAGAATCGTGTTGGTATGAGCAGATAAAGCTAGTCTGAGTGATGGTTACTTTTGAATGGTAATGTAAACAGATAATCTAATATCTGCATTTTATTCCCTTTTCTTCATTTGTAACCCTCTACAAATGAATGTTCTATTACTTTTGTATGTAATATTATTAAGTTTTCACGCTACACAGTGTCACAGCATTTATTTTTTCTGATGTTTAATAGGGTGTGAACACACAAAGTAATGACACATTTCAAAAACAGTATCAAAAACTAGTGGTTTGTATTCAACATTGCACACACTGAGCTGCACTAAATCCAGTTAAACAGGATTAATTATGTTTTCTCTTTAATGATACATGCAGTAAAGGATATTGTGAAATACTGTAATTGTAATTTATCACGACAGCGTTAAATCTTGTCGTATTGCCTGTCCTTAGGTTACATTATCAACACTAATGTCTTAGAAAGTTTTAAGTGAAGTAATTTAGCTTGCTAACAGAATTTGTGAACTGCCTGTGGATGAGTCAGACCAATCAGAAGCAACCAAACACCCATGTGCTATGACATCACAACCACAACTAACTGCAAGTCTGGCGCAGTACACTCAGTGTTAATGCCTCATGCCTGAAAAAGTGGATACGCTGGTCTTCTTGGTTGCCTCAGTTTATCGAAAGAAACTGCAATATTGCTCGGAAAGATTCAAGATTAGATGTTTTGCCCAAATCGTTTAGCCCTACACCCAGCAAGGGCGGGAGGGGGGGGGTTTGATTAAAAATTGAAAATCAGTCAAGCGTTCATTGTTGGTTTATGAAACAATAAACTGACCTCCTTGTTCACTTATTTGTGTTTTACCCAGCAACAGACACAGCACAACAGTTATGTTTTTATTAACTGTGGCTGTGCAGTTCATGTAGAGCCAACATTTCAATAAATAGTCATTAGTCAGTAAAGCTAATTATTCTGCAGGAAGTGAGTGTATTAAAAACAAATGGGGGGGGGGAGTGTAAAATCAAACCAAGTTGTTAAACCCCTGATGTCATGAAATTGTGTGCATTTGTTTGGTGTTACAGTACCACAGGGACTCCTGCTGCTGTTCCTAAGCTGTCATCCGCCCAGATCTCTGAGCATTATTCCACTTGTATCAAGCTCTCCACCGAAAACGTAAGTGAAAACTGCAATAAGCAGCTCAACTCAATCCTGAAGATTCACTTAAAGAGGAATTTCACTGATTTTTAAAAAATTCTGTGTAATTAACTACATCATAAATGAGATGTTAAGGCATACATATGAGAAAGTAAGGCATAATTGAGATACTAACTGATGGAGTTTCTCAGATGAGATATTAAGTTGTAATTATGAGTCATTGTTATGAGAAAGCAAGTAATTATGTCATGATTGTCTACCTCTGGATGAGCCACGTGAAGCAATGTGACACGTTCATTTGCGTGTGCGGGTCAGTTTAGGAGCTGATCTGTTCAGACTGATGTCGCATAGAGGTCACACTTAAAAGATAACGTGAACAGTTAAACAAAAAAATCGGATTTGGTGAGAAAATCAGATTTGGGCCACTTTTACCTGCTGTGTAAACGTAGCCTAAATGGCTGTATCTTTTTCCAGTAGTGGAAATGGCTTGCATACAGAACAGAATGGAATTAGCAATGAAATGGATCTGAAATGGTTCATTGTAGAGAAACTTACTCAGATTTCTTTCGCAATTTCGATTCCTGGATAGCCATTTCATTTACTATTTAAAACCACCAGTGTGTTCTGAGTTTTTATATGTAATGTTGATGATAAAATAATGATAAAGCTGAAAAAAGTTATCTTTACGGCCTATTTTGCCTTATAACTGACTCAAAAAGTTTCTCTAGAACGGAGCATTTCACATCAAACCACACAAAATGACTTTGAATTATGCAGAAATTTGTAAAAATGGATGGAATTCCCCTTTAATGAACTAGAGGATCTGGCTGCACACTGTTTAACTATATTTTTGTTCATGTTTCTGCCACATTTAGTAACATTAACAATGTTGTCTTTCTGTTTCTGCAGAAAATTACCACAAAGAACGCTTTCGGTCTGCACCTCATCGATTACATGGCTGATATTCTCAAGGAGAAAGATTCAGAGCTCAACTTCAAGGTAGCTTTTTAGTTTAGTTTAGTTTTTAGTCGAGCACTAATGCTCCTAGGCTAGCCAATGACACTGGCAGGTGTCACAGTTCCTTTAAGGACTGCTTTTTCAAACAAAGCTTTGCTTTCTGTAATATTTTCTTCTTTTAGGAAAGGTTGTTTTAATAGCATTTACATGTACGTTTGTGCTTATTCGTAATGTGCTCTCATACAGGAGAGTTGTATTTGCTGAAGATGTAGCTATTGAATTAATTACGCTGTGTACAGGTGGCTGCAGGGACTCTGGATGCCAGCACTAAGATCTATGCTGTGAGGGTAGATGCAGTTCATGCTGATGCCTACAGAGTGCTGGGGGGTTTGGGCGCTGAGACCAAGCCAAAAGAAGGTGAGTTGGCGAAGCTGCTCTCAGCAAGGTTTGCTGAAGGCTGTTTGTTCTCAACTCTGATCCTGCACATTTTAATGGTTTCCCTGATCTGTGGAGCCTTTGCTGTGGAAAATGAGACAGTAAAGGTGTCCATATATTGACGTTTCTTTAAGCAGGTTTACCTGAAGAGAAGCCATTGTGCATGGATGTCAGCCAGGGGTGTCACTGTGGACTTTATTAGTTATCGTTATCTTTTCAAAACCAATGTTTCCTGAGGTTTGATAATAAAAATAGATTTAACAGTACAATGATAAACTATGTAGAGCTTTTTGGACATTCCAAAATTGGGATTATTTATAGGAAATAGAGAAACTAGAAAGCCTTATTAATATAGTCATTTTGAACACGTGACAGCTGTGCATGTCATTCTTTAGCAGTGTGGAAACCTTAGCCTCTGATTTTTCAATCAACACCACTGTGAATCAAATTTCCACTTTTTCAGTAAATATAAATTTTTCTGTCAATGTTATTGGAGGAATCTATTTCCTTAATATCAAAATGTGTTTGCTTTTATCGGTTTATTTGTCCTTGTCTAATTTGCAGTATGATGAGTTTGTTTTTAATGAATGCCTTAGGTCAGGAGGCAGAAGAGGTCGAGGCAGCGGAGAGTGCTCAGAGTGAACAGGCTGGAGCCAAGCAGGCCCCAAAGAAAAGACCTGCTAAGAAAACAGTGGAGCAGAATCTGAGCAACATCAACCTGTCAGAATCTGAGATGAAGTGTGAGGTAAAGGCTTTGGGGGTTTGTTCTCAGTCCGCCTGTGTTGGAGGTCCCGGAGGCCTGCAGCATAGCACAGTTTTAGCTTTGTGTCACTTACTTCCCAAAACAGTACCTTTATCAGAGATGAGACCTGTTCAAGCTAGATTATTTTTCGAGAGGAGGTCCGGCAGTGTAATCTGTGCATGATTTGACGGGCTGATTAGTACACAATAAGGGATCTGTAATTTCCCCAAAATTACATATCATGAAACATCATCACTTGGACCTTTACAGTAGCGTTATGTGACAGGCTCTACACTTTTGTGTGGCTAATTGGCAAATATGGTGCCAAAAAATCCAGAAAGGGACACTGGATGAGAGAGGAGACATTACATTTCATTTCAGTGTGGGGTGACACTCAGGGGTATATGGTAGAAAATATACACCACATTCAGTAGTCCTGTCATGAACTTGAGGATTAAATAATTGGGTCAAATCAAGCTTTGTTTGTTGTCGTTAGCCTTGTCTTCAAGTCGTAAAAAAAGGTGGTGTCTTCTGTAACCTGGTGTTGTTATTATATTACTGTAATGTTGATTTTGAACAGGACTGCCGTTACTGAGAGAGTTCAGGCAAATATAGAAAGTAATTCTCTCCCCAATTATTACTTAGCAGACTACGGATTTTGCAGATTCATACTGGATTAAAATCACGGATCTTGTCGGTAAACAAAATTGCAGCTAATCCAGCTTGAATAGGGCTGTGGGGCTGGTGTGCTCTACATATGCTTTTAGAAAGCTTTTCTAAATTTGTCCATCCATTTGTCAGGAAATGTTCTCATCAATGCAAAACGTAACAGCTGTTTTCAAATTGTGTAAAAGATACTTTCAGATAGTAAGTAAGGTTTTTTTTATTACCATGAAAAAAGGTAGGTTTTAGTTTAAATTGTGACGCTGTTTTATTTGCCATGTTCTGTACTAGTGGCTGTTAATTCTCTACATTCTGCCATAGTTTATGACTGAGATGTGTGAATAATAATGTGATCTAATGAAGCTTTAATTAAACTCTGTTTTCCCTTCTTTAGGTGGACCCCATGTTCCAGCGCATGGCTGCGTCTTTTGATGAGAACAGCACAGCAGGAGTCTTTCTGTCTGTGTTGTTTAGCGAGGACAGTCGTTGTGAGCTCCGTTTCCCCTCCCATATGACACTGCTCCACTCCCGGCCACCCAGCGCACCCACACCAGTCCAGTACACACCCGCCTCGCCCTTCTCAGGTACGTCCAGTCAGTCCAGTGTGATTGTATAGAATTAAGAATGACTTCTGATGAGTTTCTTATTTTCCACATTCTTGTGTTTCTTTTCCACATTTGCGAGAATGTTCAGTAAAGTTGAGTGTGAAAGAGAAATTAAGATATCCATGTTGTGAATTTCAGTCTTCAGTTTGTTTCTTGATGTTTATTTTCCCAAAACCACAGCTAGTCTTAAAACGCTGGAGGAGAGGTCCATCTGTCCGTCTCTGGAGGATTTCTCCTTCACCCAGTGGACACCTGACCAGGTTAAACAGTGTTTTACTTTAATAACTGTATAAAGGAAAGTTTCACCTGAACATCTTTTTAGAGAGAGCACTCTCTTATTGGTTCTGATGATCTAAATACAACACATCATCTGGGGTTTCTCTCACAAAGATAAAAGTTTCTTGCTTAGCTGATTTTAAGCTTAGCTTGCTCTAACCCTGGATCTCACAGTGGTGGATCACTGTTTACTGGGCTACATCACCATAGTAACTTATGTTGCATGCCTAACCTGCTCCAGGGCAGGTTGTGTTCAGGATATCGGATCATGAACAGCTTTTCCAGGTTGGGAGCTTGACTGGAAGCGATTGACGGCCTGGATGACCAGATAGTGGGAGACGGAAAACAAGTCAATCTTTAGCCTTCCAAATGAGCTCCAGTGTGATTGGAGGCACTATTTGGTTTTCACGAAAACATTCATGAGTGCCAGTGTGCGAAATATGTGTTGGCTGGCTACTCCAGCATTGGCTAACAGCTAATTTTCTTGGCTTAGCGGCACTGGCACTACCTTCAATGGCAGTGCCTGCATAGTTAGTTAAGAATATTAAAGACAGAAGCTCACTGACTGTAAAGTAGGATAAATAATGAGCTTCCCCTAAATTTGTATTTGAGTGTCTGCTTTTGCAGACAGCATAGTGTCCTGTGTTTTATTTTCAGGGATCAGAATTTTTTTTTTTTCTTCAGACATTCAGAGAGCAGAAAGACAAAAAAAAGACGAAGAGAGACGTGCTTGCGCTCTGCCGGGTGAGCAGCGGCCTTGTTGAGTTTAGGCAAATAATCACTCTTGACAAATTTCAAGTGAGCAGCCAGATACATACTTATTATAATGAAACATTTTTCTAGCTTTGAGGGTGATTTCTGCATTTCAACCTCATATCATCCTCAGTTTGCGTTTTTGCTACGCTTCTTGGGTCTGTTGTACAATCTTCATAAGTTCACCCTTACGCTAGTTATAACAGAAGTGTTTAAGTTCAGGTTTACACAGGTGGCACCGCACAAACTAGTTTTAATGTTGAGCTTAGTAGCTGCAAAATATTTACACTTCCTTCCAGCAGGTGTAAGTGTTGAGAAAGAACATAGAAAGCACACAAAAGACCAAATAAATTACTGTTTTTTTGTTAATTTTGTTCATTTTTATAGCTCTCTTCATCGCCCTGGTTTTAACTTGGAGCATAAAACTAAGACCAGCCCCACAGTTTAGTGAGACGCTGCCAAAACAGCTGCTGTTGTGTCAGTTAGCCACAAACTATAGTTTAAAAAAGCTGCATTTGGCTGTTGCAAGGAAATACTAAAGAATAAACCAACAATGGATATGAATATTCAGTGTTACTTAGTTTAGCTAGTACACATCGTTCTCTTTTATGCTGGATATTGTTTCCCACAGAAAAATTCAGTGCAAGCTGCCATTGTGTTTTCATGGCAGCAGGTCTATATTTTGGTTCTGAAAATGTCATCTCGTTAAAGCAATTATACGCATTAGTTAGTTGTTACTAGCTAAGAGACGGTTTATTGATTTGTGGTGCAACCATTTTTAAATAAAAGGGTAGTTTGAAACTAACTAAAGACTGAATAAAGGCTTTACAAACGAACTTGGATATAAACGTATGCAGAACTGGTGCAACCCAATTCTTGTGTGTGCATAAAAGCACAAACAGTTCCGGGCGCCGAAATACGTTATGTTTGTTTAGCCTTCTTTTTCCATCGTCATCTGGTGTGTCCTCTCAGAACAAGAAGACAAGAAATTGTGTTAAAGACGGACATTGAGTGTCTGATGTTCTACGTTCTCTAAATCTGTTTAGATTTCTAGTTTTAAGTCATGTAGTGTTCGCCCAGCTTTGATGAACTGTGTTTTGGTTTGTTTTGTCTACAGAGCTTAATCAATAAAGAAGCTGGCTCTGTGCAGCTCCACTGGACTTTTGCTTAAAGCAGCAACTCAATTATGCACTAATAAACTAGGATATAGGCTAGGTACCCTAACGTTTTTCTAATAAGTGTTGCCAAGCAAAGGTCACTATTGGCAACACAAGGTTCACTTTACACCCTCTGTAAAACTTGGCATCAAAACTATGGTGGTTTTTGGACGTTTTTTCCTGAACTCAGCAGCTGAAGAATAGTGAGACTACTAGACGTCTAGAATAGTGTTTTCTTCTAAGGTTTTTATTACCTGTAGTAGCTGATGTTGATTTTAGATGTGTGTTTTTTATGCCGATTGGTCGTCTCTGCAGAGCACCAGCCTGAACCAGATGCTGGAGAAGATGAAGCAGGGCGAGCATGCTTTTGACGTCAACGCTGACGTTGAACCGGACGTGGATGAAGCTCCAGATTTCGGAGATCATTTTGATGCGGACGGTGACGAGGGGGGGCAGGGAGACTATGAGGAGTTTAACGAGCACAAAGACGCCTGCGCTCGGAGGAGCCCTGAGAAACGGTGAGAAACGTCATACTTTTTACTTCTCGTTAATTTGGTGAGAAATCCCAGTAATTTTTGGTTAGAATTTGCACGTTTTCGTTCCACCTTTAATGGTGCAGCAGTTACATTCTGGTGCCCACAGGCACCAGGAAACTCCTCCACCACTTAAGGTGGAACAGAAATTTTGCTGGTGAGCAAGAAGTAATCAGCTTTGTGGAAACAATGTTTCTAATCACTACAAATGATTTCAATTGCAATAAAAAGGAGAAAAGAAGTCATAGATTTCAATACTTCATTGTAGATCTGTTTAATGTTTTTTGGGGGTTTTTTGTTTGTTTTTTAATTTACACATTACTGAACATTTTCAGTGTGTGCGGAGAAGGGAAAACCTTTTCGATGTGTAAAAGATGGTCAAGAATTGAATTCCTTCTGTGTCAGACCATAGATACCCAGGAGGTAGCGATGTCTTTGTGCAGTGTATTGAAAATGTTACAAAAAATGTCATGGTGATGTCTTTGAGTTTGTGGTGGACAATACAAAACACCGATTTCTTTGAGAAACACTGGAGCAAAGTCCACAGTTACTGCTAATTAACATTAATGCAAATTTAGCATTGCAAAACTCATCAAAGGGAAACAAGAGTCCAATATTTACCATAAAACTAAAACTAAATAAACTAAAATAAAAAAGTACTCCTTAGCTGAAACTAAACTGAAAACAGACAAAAAGAATACATTTCGTAATTCTAATATCTCTAATATGCACTGAAATGCATTTTTGTCTGTGATCTTATTCACTTATACAACAAGTGTTGAATGGCTCTTCTATTGATTTTGTTTTAGCACAGATCTAAGATAGTTTACACTTTCATTTTGCTTGATTTGCCTGTCTTACTCAGTGCTATGCGGCCTAATTCAATTTCCCTTGGTAAAATCGGACCCACCAAAGCTCCACTGTGCTGTGCTGTCTGTAACTTTCTCCACTCGTTCTTCACCTGTTTGAATGTGATGGTAAATGTGCATCATTTCTCCATAGGGGGGTTATACCTATAGGACAGGCAGATATCACCACCATGTGCCTTCAGCTGTCCGATAAGCCCAGAGAATACTCATACTTCAGCCCCCGCACCATGGCCACATGGGTCGGACCAGGCTACTGGCTCTTCAAACCAACACATAAGCGTGAGTTGAAATACTAGAAGTGTTAATAATAAATGAAAGCCAGTGGGATCAGTTTGGTGAAACATTTCCTCCAGTGGCTTAAACCAATTAAAGTTAGATTGTGTTTAGTCTTTTGTTGTGGCATCTGTGTAAATGTATTTTATTTTCTTTCTGTTGTAGAGGATCACAAGCCAGAGAAGGAACCCAAAAAGAGAGCGCCGAAAAACCCCTTGGTCATCGACTTCACCGAAGATATCCACTTTCACAATTACTTCCGCACAACCAGAGTAAGATCACGCTCACTGATTAATGAGAGTTCAAGAATAAGGGTCCATATTCTACATTTGTTCTATGTTTTATTGAGCTCCTCTTATGGCGTTTGTAGGGTTTTTATGTGCCAAAATCAGTTTATTTTTACATGACTTTTCCAACACTGCCTTCAGAATTTTTGTCAATTTGTCTTTAAAACTGTAAGTGATTGACTGTCCAGTGTTGTGCCTCATTCTTAATGCAGTCCACATTGAGAATGTAGTTTTTCTGCTCTGCTTTTTGACCTTCTCTTCACATTAAGCATCTCTCTTTCACGTTTAGAGCCTTTCTTTTATCTGAAATGTCAACTGCAAATTTATAAAGATGTGACTTGATCATTACCCACAGTCAGATTTGAAAAACTAGTAATAAATCCTCTGTATTTTAAACAGAGTTAGCAAAGCTAGAAAAACTTCTGTCTGATCAGCATGTTCATTCCAAAGACAGTAGAGCAGCCACAGTAACATGAACAGCCCCACAGCAGCAAGTGGTAGCTTGTCACTTTTTAGGCTTTTATTTTCTGGCAGAGTTTGAAACCGGTGTCATCAATTTACGGGAGTCTGCTAGCCCGTGTTTAATCATACAACTGCCAGCACTTTGCTAGAGAATGTCTTCTTTAGTGTCACACTCTGTATTTAGTGGAATACATCTCAGACATTTCACTTCCAATTTTAGAAGGTATTATCGCCCTCTGCTGGTCTGGCATGCTCCAGTGTTTTCCAAGGCGTTACATGAGAGATTTTCAAAAACGCTGTTGGTGTGGATGAAGAAGGGGTTAGGCTACCACAGGCTAAATAGGCAGATAGGTGCACATGCTTTAGATTTTGGGACATCACAAAGTTTTCCAGCCTAGTTTCCTTATTTCAACCGTATAGACTGGACAGTGAACGGTATGTTTGAAGCTTGAGCATGCTGTATTATCACCTTTATTTATATAGCACCTTTCCCAAGCTCAAGGGCGCCTTGCAAACAAAGAACATGAACACATTAAACAGAAAATACACTATTAGATAACAAAAGGACATTACAGGCATGAAAGAGGACAATGATAACAGTGAAAGCAAGCAAGTCTTTAACATTTGTAAATGTTTTCACATGAAGATAGAGAGAAGGCGTCACAATTAGACTTCCACAATTCAGGAGCTACTGCACTCAATGATTGACCGCCAGGTCAGTTTAAACCTTGGAATATGAAGAAGGCCCAAATCTTAAGATAGGACATGTTTTCAATTCGATGTGGGCCTTTAAAAATAGGCTAAAACACTGAAATGGGAAGGTGTTGGCAAAAGTATCACTTTTTTAAGGACTGCATAAAGTAACTAAAGCAAATGCCAGCAGTGCTTAGTCACTGTGAAGCATTTCCATGGTAACAGTGACTTCTTGTGAAATGCTTGAATGGTCACAAATCCGTGTGACGCTGGCAGGAGTCTCAGTGACTTTTTTGATGAACTCTCTCTCTCATTTCATCAGAACCCGATTACTCACATCTGTGTTGTTGTTTCCAGGCTGCGACCACAATCAGTAAGTCTGCTCTGAACAGCAGCAATAAGAAAACCACCCTGCCGGCAGATTTCCAGTATCCACTCAGCAACCTGTCTCAGCTCAGCCTCAAGCCCTCCAACACGGTGACTCACTCAAACTTGTGCCACTTTAGTCCCCAGTTACATTATAGCAGACTGAAGGCCATTACTAAACAGTAAATCTGCTGTATTATGCAGAATGATACGCAAAATGTATTAGCATGTTGTGCTTTTTGTCACATTACAAAAAAAATCATATATTGTATGATAGCATAAGAAGTTAACCATAATAGAATTTCACTTGTACCTAGAAATCTGTTCCATATTCTGTTGTCCTGATGCCATTTGTTGTATTGCTTGTTGTGTTGCAGCTCAGCTCAGAAGGAAAGAAGAGGTTATCCGGTGAGCTGGCAGAAGAAATAGGGGACTACGACTACAACAACGCTAACGATACTGCAAACTTCTGCCCAGGGCTGCAGGTACACTCACACACAAAGTTCACTGCACCATCTTTTAGCACAATGGTTTCCTTTATGAGTCCCTGAGGACTCCCGGCCTTTCTCCACACACCTGAGCTGGGTAATCAGCACTGAGCCAGAACAGAGGTAAAAATGTGGACTGGCTGAAGGGCATTGAGGACTGGATTGGAAACCACGGCTCTGGCAGTTAAATATATCCACTGCCAAAGCTAAGCGGTAAAATAGTCATGGAGCTGAAGGATATTTCATTGTAAAGCTGCAACTGCTGTATTGTCTATATTTCATTTAGCAGCCGTTACTAAAATAATCAGCTAATAAAAAAGTATTGTGCCGCCTTCAGTTTTTCTCTTTGCTGTCGCCATCATTCAGAGTTGGTAATTTCTTGTTTTATGGCACAGTTAAACAATACAAATCATATCACCACCTACATTTCCTTTAGTGTATTGCAGTCTGTCATTATGACCACACTGATTAAATAAACATGTGTAAAGCTTTATGGAGCACTTTTTAGATTAATAAATAGAAGCCATATCGTCCCCTACACTCCTTGGAGTGCACGGCAATGTCAAAATGGCATGCATTTTATGTATATAAACATTTATGAACATTAGAGGCTTTTTAAATTGAAACAGTAGAAGCCATATCGCCTCCTACACTTCCTGTAGTGTATTACAGTCTGTCAGAATGACTGGATCATATGAATATTATAGAGCATTATATAGGGTGCAATTTAAATGAAACGCTAGAAGCTGTATCACCACCTACACTTCCTGTAGTGTGCTGCAGTCTGTCATAATGGCTGCATTGATATATATGAATATTATGAAGCATTACAGAATGTTTTTTAAACTGTCGCAAAACAGGGCCATGTCTCTATGTGCAGGTCAGCGACAGCTAGGAAAATGGACAGGGTTCTGGTACGACATGGTCCTCATTCGTGAAGTAAAAGTAATCACTAGAGTTGGGGGTGGCAGGTGGGGGTGCGCAGAGGATTATTATCCACAAATATTGGCAACTGCAGATAGAGTATTATAGAGTGCTTTTTGAACAAAACCGAATTGGAATCGCCTCCTACACATCCTGTAGTGTATTGCAATTTTTCAGAATGACCAAATGACCCTACAAATCAAATGAATATTATAGAAAACACTATAGAGCTTTTTTGGTCTAACTGGAATGTCACCAAAAATCCTTGTCCACATATTTTTGACTAATCATTGCGGTTAATGTAACTTGGGTTTTGTCGTTTGCAGTACTGCATGTGTGAAAAATGAGAGTTATAAACGTTTTATACAGTACTAATAGGTCAACCCTCTGACCCCACTACAAATCTATTTGTGTCTGTAGGCTGGAGACAGTGATGACGATGCTGAAGGCTTTGCTGGATCAGAAGATTCACAGCCTGACGGGGACAGACTGAACCCCTCGACTTTTGACCCAGAAGGTGTGTCTACATACGGAGAGGACTGCCTGGTGCCGGAGCCCCACAAGGTAGGTACAAGTTGAGACTCATTAAGGTTCCCATATAAAAACTGAATAAATGAGGATAAATAGGAAAAAAAGATTTGCAAGAGCTACGAAAAGAATTGTCTCTTACTGTCTGTCTGATTGCTGATTTTAGATGACTGATTCTTAATCTTCTTAAACCAGCCGGCATTGCAGTGACTTACTGTGACCTGTGCCTCTCTCCCAGGTGAATATAATTGAGATTAACTACGCCAAGACAGCCAAAAAGATGGACATGAAGAGGCTAAAGAACAGCATGTGGAGCCTCCTGACCGACAGCCCAGAAAAAGCAGCTCCGGTATTGATTTTTTTGCACAAAAGTATTAGTATTGAAGTTGCCAGAAATTCTGCATATTCATGATTTAAGTTTGATATAAGTGCCGCCACATTTATAATTTGGAAATGTTTGTTTTCTTTTATTATGATTATTTTTTTAAGGAGGTAGAGACTGAAACAGAAGTCTCAGGAGAAAAGTCCTTCAGTCAGTCTACTAAGACGCTATTACAAAGGTAAGAATAGCATGTTGTAATGTTCAGAGTTGTACACTTGAGGTAGGACAAAACATCTCAGCTTGATTTGGGCAACAGTGTACAGTGAAATACTTCTTTGAGAGCATCGAAAACTGCAAAAACTCCTTTTCCATGGGATAAGAGAGAATATTTACTGACATGGCAATTCACAAAGGATAAACTCAAGGCTACTACTACAGTTTTATAGAAGATAAAACTGTCAGAATCTTTACAGTCGCAGGAGCACACAGTCTGTGAGAAAAATGGCTGACCTGGCAGGTTTAGACAGGAGTAAAATCACTGAGAAACAGCTGTGCAGTCTTAAACACAGTGAAGGAAAGTGTACCTCATGCCTATTTGCAGCAGTAGTTTTGATTTGAACCTGTCCTGTCTATTGTCACTTCCTTTTGGGGTTATTTCTGTGGTTTGTTTTGTAGATTGTGATTAATATAACCTGTGGTTATTTTTTTATAGTTTGTTTAATGCCACTGATGACCTTGGATTACTTCTATGGTTTGTTTTATAGCACTGATTTAATGTAACCTGGGGTTATTTCTACGGTTTATTTTATAGCATTAGGTTAATATAACTAAGTTAATTTTACAGTTGTTTCATAGCACATGATTATTATACCCTGGAATTATGTCTACGGTTCACTTTAGAGCATGGGATTAATATAAAAAGTTGTTCTGCAATTTGTTTTATAGTCAGTAAAATTATTTCATTTATTTTTAAGTTTAATTTTAAAAACCTCCTGGTTTCTTTTTAAGTTTATAGTTACACGTTTCGTTGTTCACTTCGGGTAGTATTTATTGTTTGTGTGCTGTAAACATCCTGACCAGTCATTCAAGTTGTTCATGTAATAAAAAAAGTGCTCAGTTTTACAGAACCTTGTCACACAATTGAGACACACGCATTATTTTTTTATATACTGCTAAGCATATCGCAATATGCAGCAGTCTAATGGCAACATTGGTAAAAAGTTCTGACTGGACAATTAATCAAATCCTATTTTCAATTACAGTTTTTGCTTCCAATGATTATTAAAACAAGATAATTGTGATAAAACGATTATTGTGCTGCATTCGGTTTTGCAATGATGCTCTCGTTTTGTCTTGTGTTGTAGATCCAGCTCATCCCTTTCCTTTAAAGCGGTGCACTTGTGCCCCTCCCTTAAAGCCCACACTCATCTAATTTATTTTGGGCTAATTTATTTTTTATTATTTTGTGTGTGTTTTCGGTAGATTGTGGAATTGCACTACCACATAGTTGTACTTAGTTAAATGTAAATATATATTTCTACTTTTTTTTTCCCCCATTTGTTTTTGTGTTGAATTATATTTAAAGTTCAAGGAAATCCACTGTTAAGTTTTTAACATTAAGTAAAAGCAGCCCTATACCAAGTCAGTCCACATGCAGCCGTAGTGCTGTGTACTTTGGTGAAGGGCTGCAAGTGCCCAGCTATGCTATTCATGGTCAGCACCCAGGTGGCCGGTCTGTGACTGCTGGGAAACCTGTTTGTATTAAGCCATTCGATCTGTTGGAGAACTCTGAGTAATAAAGAACCTTTTGGCGCGGCTGCGATATGAGCTTTATTCCCGGCAGCAGGGCTCAGCTGCGCACTGTGCTTTTACCAGACAATACCTGTAGGGAACTCATCCATCTTTTAACCACCTCACCCTCATGTAGGAATGCAGCGTGGCATCAAAAAGTGCTGTGGCCTCCAGGTTCTGAACTATACATGAACAGTGCACAAAGCTGAATAATGTATCATAATATCAATAATATATCTTTCTTCTTTCTCCTTTTCAAGGCTGCCTACCACCATGGCCAATAACCTGTCCGTGCCGCTGGCCTTTGTTGCCCTTCTGCATCTGGCCAATGAGAAAGTGAGTGCTGCTCTCGCCCTGGTTTTACACCGCAGTGCTGTAGGCTTGTCTTTTACAGGCATAGACTGAAAGATCAACTGAAAATTCTTACTTTGATAGTAGCACAAAGGTTAATTAATGGAATACTCCAGCATTTTTCATCCTAATTTCTGGCTGACACATCTGTAGCATATAATCGATTGCATAAACCGTAATTTCCCCACACTTCATAATCGCCATAGGGAGTTTGATTTTTACCCAGAATGTTTTATCCAGCCAAAGTAGAATTACCATGAGCCACGAGAATGATGTAGTATTAAATGAGAATTCATTTCTCAAAATCTCTTCATCACTACAACACAAATATAGCCATTTTATTTACTAACCAAACCCACCAGTGAACCTACACGAGTCTTCTGAGTTATTAATATGTAATTTTATATGTATGTTTGATGGTAAAATAGATAAATCTAAAACGACAAGTTTTCTTTAAAAACTGTTTTTGCTTTATAACACCTTGCATGTCCCTCTCCACCATGAATGTGTTTTAAAAAAATGTATGTTTTAAGGCAAAACCAAATCCAAAAACTTGTCATAAAACAATGAATGTGTTTACATGTACTTAGTAATCCGATAACTGCAGAAAATCAGATTTTGTCAGTTATCTGATCAACATGTTTATATGCACTTGAGTAATCAGATAATGGGGGAAACTCCAGGTCTACATGAGTCAGTAATCAGATTTCTGTTTTGCAACTAGCCAATAAACTCACAGAAGAAGACGTGACAAACTCAAACCTCATGCCGCGGCTTAAAAAAAAAAATCACACCACTTTACTTGAAAAATATGAACATACATCATCTAGAAAATAAAGAATATTTAAGTCCATCATTTCGTCAAGCCATGTATTTGGTGCCATTCACTCAGTGTTTTGCTGCATCTCGTAGCAACACTGCTCGCTTATTTCTGGTCTGTTTTTGCTCATGCGCAGACAGAAATGCGAAAGAAATCCGTGAGAGTTCACATGCACTGAGAAATCTGCTTACTGAGCTAAAATCCAGCTCTCTTTATCAGATTTCTTTATCTGATTTCTAGATCGGAGTATGGTGTTTACATGGCCATTTGAATAATCAGATAACCGCAGAAATCCGATTATGATCGGACTACTGAGTGCATGTAAACGTACTCAACGTCTCGGGCATCGGGCAGCGTATTCATAACCGTTTCATGTAATAACTTTCTGTGAGGGAGCTTTTAGAGGTGGACGTCTGGTTCCCATCACCACCACTGTAAACAATTCTGACTCTAAGTTTCTCTGGAACAGCATTTCACACCAAACTACTCTGAGTTCACATATTATTAATTTAGTTATGCAGAAGTGTTGAAAAATCAGTGTAGTTCTCCTGTAATTAGGATGATTAACATTTAACGTTAAGCTGGAACGTATAAGGAACAACATTCATATTGAGATTTGTCATAAATTGTCTGTTCTCTCTCCAACAGAATCTGGAACTTCAGAAAGTGGACGACATGTCGGACATCATCATCAAACAAGGCCACTGACCTGCCTTTGGGCCAAAGGCCAAAACATACCTATGCTGCTTGATTAAAAGCAATTTTACTTTTTTATATGTTGTACAGTATGATTTATGCTACACCAGCTGTTTTTCTGCTCTGAAACGCTTTTTTCCCTCTCTGTAAACTTAAGTAAAGGCTTTTATTACATTTGTGACCCATTTTTGACTTCAAACAGGACAGAAATATAGAATAAAAACAAGAGAATTTTGTATCATGATAAAATGTCAAACGTGTGATGGAAAAGTCTGATCAGTGTGCCGTCTCTGTCGGCCTGCGTGAAAGTGAAGAGACAGAGGGATGGACAGAGCATGAAATGTGAATACTAAATGAATTCTTGGCTCAGTGCTCTTTGTTTTATCTTCAGGGATTAAAGAATTAAGGATAAAAGAATTATAGTTTCTTCCTTTCTATCCAGCTTTTACCTCCTGCCCCTTTTATATACGCTGTCTCCTTAATTTAAACCTGTTGAAGTTTTTCCTTTTATCTGTACTTTCAAACAGACCATTAAAACTCTTCAAAGAACTGTGCTGAATGTTAATTTTGCAAATGAATGTGTTTCACAAAGTTAAAAGAACAGTTGAATAAAAAAATGCTAATGTGGCAATAAGTGGTTGAAATAGGAATCACTCTGAAGCCTCAGTTGCAGAACAGAGCTGGTGTTTATTTGGTAGGGTTCTATGTTTGAGATGCCATTTTGACCTTTGAACTGAAAAATATATATATATTTTTTTTTAACACTGGATCTAAGAACGTTTTTAATGCAATGTTTCTTTGCATGTAATGTGAAAAGTGCGTACTTTTAATATTTACACTAAATATTATTTTGGAATAACTTATGACACGTATTTAAATTTTAATGAGCTATGCTTTAATTACCTATGATTTAAATAGAAATTCAGTGCATTTATTTGTGCTTTTGAGTGCTTTGTATTTGCACTTAAAGTTGTAGCTTTAAGTATGTAATTTGTCGACATAACTTATAACACTTGGAATACGTTATACATGTCCTGCTGGATGCAGTGATATGCTGAAGTGTTACTTGTTCAATTATACTGCAACTAAATTGTACTTAAATACATTTAAATTGTTTCAATATCGCTAAATACACTTAAATACACTGAACAAATAAAACATGAATTTAAATGTACTTTAATAAAAATGAAATATGCACAGAGATTATTAGGAATAACTAAGCTCAACTTAAAGTATACTGAACTGTCATCAACATAAGTGTAATTAGAATATAAATGAACAAAACTGCAGGGAGCTACTGTGGCCACGTTCATTTTACAGCTCACACTACGTTCTAAACTACATCAACAAATCTGCGCCACCTTAATGAAGGTCTGGATGTAATTTTAGCAGGTTGGGGGAAGTTTTGATGATATATTCTTACAGAAACAATTTGGTCTATTTAGGTGACTATTGAGTTCTAGTGTTTGTTAGCAACGTTAGCCTTGTATCTAACGTTGTAGTGAATATTTTTCAAAATGAAGTGTAGTTATAGCCAAGTGGTGTTTTATTAAGGTTATTGGTCTGTAAACCAGCACAGATCATCAAGTTATTGGACACAAATGTTTGGTGGGCTTCTTTCGGGTGGTCAGGAAATTTTTAATGATATCACAGAGGTTACAGGAGGCCTATTCAGCACTACAATGGCAATATATTAACTGCAGTGTTCGGCACCTCACAGCTATAAACCCATTTTTTCCCATCGAGACAAAACGGTAGCAACAAGTAACTTTACAGTGCACAGGTTCACATAAACCCAGCAACCAATGCAACGTGTCTCTATAAGGCATGCGTCCACTCTTCACAAGCACAGCATTTACCCAATGAAGAAGACAAATTAAAATCAAACAGCTGAAATGTATAAAGTCAAGGAAAACAGCATCTAACTTAGCAGCCTAGGCTAAAGCGTACTGCCGCAGCAGGCGTGGAGAAAGAGACCGTTCGCAGATCAGTACTGACAAGGATGAAACTGAACTCTTGACCAAAGTAATGGCGAATAGTAAAACAGTTGTTAAGCAATGATTGGTCAGAGAAAATGCTAACATTTAAGGAAAACGTGGAGAGCGTAGATGTTCTCATAAATGCTCATGGGAGCCCCTTAATGGATCGGACCCCTGGGCACCGGCCCATAAAAAACCTAGGGGACGATACACGTCTGTCTGTAATATGAACACAGGCTGTTGTGAAGGACACTTAAATGATTCTTCAAAAGTCTCCACTGTACGTTTGTGAATGTAAAATCAATTAAACACCACAAACATGGAATCATCCATTTGTCACAAGCAAGATCCAGCATGTTTGGCGAAGTATCCCTTTAAAAGTCGTGTGCTGAGGCCTATAAATAGAATAGGCGGTGATGTCAGTGGGAGTGGTGACTGTACGACTGCACCTGAGGGCCTGAGCTGGGTGGAACCTCACTCAGATTTGGTGACACAAAATGTGGACTAGCGAGGTTTTCTGTTACTGCCCTTAGTTAAGGGGCAGGTTCTGAGCTCAGACACTAAACTATGAGTGAACAACTGTGAGACATACAAAGTTACTCCTTTATTTATCCAGTTTTAGGATTTTCAGAGATTTTTTCTTTTCGTTATCACAACTTGCTCTACGATGCTGACCAGTAAAGGAGAGCAGTTTATGTTTCATGTTAGCCTACAAAAAGATAAACTATTAATTTCTCAACTGTAAAGTTTTTGGGGGCCATTTTTTATCCTAATGCTCATCACCACATTGCGTCCAGTTTTAGTTATTTTTATTTTATCGCTATATATTAATTTGTGGCTTCAATATAGTAATTAGTGGTCTCAATATAGTTTTTGTGCCCTCAATATAGTAAATTGTGGTTTCAATATAGTAATTTGTGGCCTCAGTATGGTAAATTGTGGCCTCAAAATAGTAAATCATGGCCACAATATAGTAATCTGTGGCCTTAATATGGTAAATTGTGGCATCAGTGTAGTAATTTGTGGCCTTAATATGGTAAATTGTGGCATCAGTGTAGTAATTTGTCACCTCTATATAGTAATTTTGGCCTCAGTATGTTAAATTGTGGCCTCAAAATAGTAAATCATGGCCACAATATAGTAATTTGTGGCTCCAATATAGTAATTAATGGCTTCAATATAGTAACTAGTCGTCTCAGTATAGTTTTTGTGGCCTCAATATAGTAATTAGTGGTCTCAGTATAGTTTTGGTGGCCTCAATGTAGTAAATTGTGGCTTCAATGTAGTAATTTGTGGCCCCAGTATAGTAATTTGTGGCTTCAGTATAGTAACTAGTGGTCTCCATATAGTTTTTGTGGCCTCATTATACTAATTAGTGGCCTCAATATAGAAAATTTCAATACACTTCAATTTAGTAATTTGTGGCCTCAGTATATTAATTTGAGGCCACGCCTTAGTAAAAATAATCACTGTCTCACCTTACGGTCTCTGTATGGCTGTGTTAAAAGAGTTAATCTGTGAATTCATTGTAAGCCGTATGAGTAAAACCTAAAGAGTTCTATGAAAAATGGGTTTATTTGCATCATTCACTCTGTAAGAGTCCCGCTTTGTTGCCTTTGGCGCCCCCTGCAGGCGAGCGAGCGGAAGTAGAAATAGCCGCTTAAGGAATGCAAGGGGAGGAGGAAGAGACCAACAGACAGAGAGAGAAGGAGGAAGTAAAAGACGGGAGCGGCGGCGTTTAGCCTCTAAAAACCATCTTAAACTATCGACAAACTCTCTGAAACCCGGGACGCTTTGTCCTGTGAGCAGAAGGCCGTCGTTTAATGCCGTGTTTTGGTGGAGAGGAGCAGCGTTTCGTGTAGACGATGGGAGTGGGGGATCCAAACAAGATGGTAGGTGCCAACTGAACTTTACCCGTTTAACGTTAGGGTGAAAAGCGTTAACGGACGCGGAGCGATTTTCTTGGTCGACTACAGAAGAAATAAAGTTGATTTTTTTGGTTTAAAGACAAGTTTATCCTCAAAATCTTCGAGGCAGAGAAGTCGCGGAGGCGCGGCTGGTTCTTCGGGTTGAGCTGACGAAGTTTATGTTGGCTGCTGATTCGAATTTTCCGTTCCACCTTAAATGGTGCAGCAGTTACATTCTGGCGCCTCAGCCTACTGTAGTAACTGCTGCCCCATTTAAGGTGGAACGGAGAGTTCGAGCGAGAACACAGCTTGAAGTTCCTGTTTTGCTCAGAAGGGCTTTCTCAAGTGCTGGAAGACTCACTGTGGGGCTGTTTCCTCCTTCAGCTGCTGCTCTCCTGATTTACTCTCCTTCGCCTGGAGCTGAGGCAGTAATGACAGCTTTATCAGAGAGCTCTGTTTGCCCAGGTGGATTGAGCATCTGAGGCTGTGTGTTGTGTGTGTGTGTATGTGTGTGTATGTGTGTGTATGTGTGTGTGTATGTGTGTGTGTATGTGTGTGTGTTGTGTGTGTGTGTGTGTGTATGTGTGTGTGTGTATTACAGCAGTACACTCACTTAGGCATGTAGGAGAACAAGGCCTAGCAGGGTTCTCCATGGCTGTGGCCAAACTAGTTAAAAAGTGCTGATTGCCTAACAAGTCCTGGTTCTCAAGTGGTGAAGCCTCAAACAAGGCTGCTTTTTACATTAATATTAGATTAAAGTGAGTGTTTCAAAGTATAATGTATTTTATATGTACTTATAAGTGTTTAAATTTGTACTATAACTATATAATTGATATAAAAGGTGGTTACAACTCACTAATTCACATATATACAAGTGTAAATGTAATCGTGTGCTTAATCCTATTTAGTGGGGGTGCCCAGACTTTTGTCTTGGGGGCCAAAGCTGGGCCAATGGGACAAAAACATAAAACAATATACAAATAAAGAAGGTGGGCAGGTTTTAAATGAATTTTTTGAATCGTGTCATGTTATAAATGACACCACTGAGCTACAGATATGCAGATATATGTGTAATTACACAACATTAATGATATTAAATGCTAGTTTTAGGCCAGAACACTACCTGAACATGAATGTGCTGTTGGCCTGTTATTTTGTATTTCGCACATAAAAATAATTGTCATCTCTGAAATGCTGGTTGGTGAAACACCCCCCGCCTGCCCACCTCTAAGTTCTCATGAAACATCTTAAAACCACGCCCAATAACATTTATGCATATAAAATAATGTGCTTTGAATCATGAATTTTATAATGTGAAACTGTTTTGTTACTAAAATGTTTTAAAAATACAATGTTTAAAGGAAGTTATGGTACAAGTATAGTAAATGTATAGTTCTCTCATTGAAGGAGGGAGCTAAAAGCCTTAACATATCATTTTGCCATATGTGTGTGTGTGTGTATGTGTATATATATATATATATATATATATATAAATATATAAATAAACAATTTTCTTGGGTTCCTCAGACATGGTAGTCTATGTACATAACTCATTCAAAGATTTGGAGTCACTAGCCACATTAATATTCTTTTGACTTACTTTACTATATATATATATATATATATATATATATATATATATATATATATATATATATATATATATATATATATATATAGTAAGTGATTTTGGGCCATTTCTTCTGATCATTTGTCTTTATATTTTGACAAAAAGGAAAAAAAAAAGTTTTTTATCCTCATTTAAGTAACTTTAAGTATATGTAGTACTTGAAGTTCCAGAGTTCTGGAGTTCCAGAGTTTTTTCTCTCCTACATTCAAGTTCTTTTGATTGAATTAAAGTAGACAAAACACCCCACAGTCAGGTTCACATGAATGTTATGTTGTGCAAATGTTTATTTCTAAAGTATTTTTTACCTTATTTGAGCGCTGTATTGTGGTCAGACAGGACTGTAGCGCTCTTTTCAGGACTCGTTCTCTGTTATGCGATAGCCCTCTGCCATTCTGGAGGCCTCACAGCCACAGGTACGGGATACGCAGTGACGTCCTTAGTTTCCTGGTAACCTTTTGTTTATGAGGGATCAAACTCTCCAGAGTGTCGGAGACACTCTTTCTCCTGCAGTCATGTTCTCTCACAACGCTTACCTGGACAATCCTTATGCTGCTACAGATATGGTAAATACTGGATAAAAATCATCATTTTTTAGCTACTGTGTTTCTGAATGCTCCTCTCTTTAATACAGTAGGTGATGATTACTGAGGTTTTGTGTTTGCGCTGTTGTTGTTGTTGACCCAGTTAAGCAGATGAAGCTAATCAGGACGCGGTTAATTCTTCTTACTAATTCTGTCAGGGCGTGAGAGCTAACACTTTTATCAGCACTTCTACCAGACCGTTATGCTGAACACTGTACCGTACTGTCGTACACTAAGTATAGAGCAACAGCATCGAGGCAAGCAACATGACGATGTGTTATCAGTACCACAAAATGGTTTCCTGGACAAATGCAGGGCATTATCAGTATTTCTACAATGATCAGCTGCACACTTTTCAAAATGGAGATTTGGACCATTTGCTAATTTCTGAGAAAGTCCTACCTTCTTTCATTATTATTGCTACATCTGTTCATACAACTAGGTAGGATCCGTAACACTTGTGCTAACAGTCTAAAAAGTACTGAAACAATTTCATTAAAAAATAAACAGGCTTTATGTTCCATACAGTTATACATGTTTGAGAACTGACAAAATATGAATGTAGACCAATTTAAAGCAAGCAGATTGATTCTGGAAGCCACGTTTACATTACTCAAACCAGGGAAAGCTAGTCAGAGCATGGTTAGCCTAGATGTTAAGAAGGACTTGTCCATTTTTACTAAAATTTGTTGACAGATCTTATGTAAAAGATTACAAAGAATGGCATAAGAACAAGAACATTAATATTAATCTTTATAAAAATATTTTAATCACAGATATGAGCGCCGTACAGTCCTTTTTAATCTTTGTTTATCAAGCTAAGTTAAGAAAAGCTAACTAGTTGGCTAACTAATCTTAACATTGTTCTGTAACGTTGTGTCATTAAATATCATATCAAAATATTTTTAGCAAATGCAGTAACCCAGATAAAGTTCTGTCTGTTAATAGTTTTGACACTGAGCTATGAGTTTGGTTTTCCACAAAGATGAACCCAAAACTTTTAAGATTCAGTAATGAAACAAAAACATGACCATTTCTTAGCCTTCATACTAATTTAATGTCACTGCCGTTCTCACCGCAGGTTTGTTGTGAGGAGTTCTGTTAGATTATTTGTAATTGTTTTAGTTTGTTTTTTTGATTTGGCACTACTGTCTTGGCTGTTCATTAAGTAGACCTAGGTTGTAACTTGTTAGTAAACCATAGAAACATTACGTACATAGATCGTGTGTATCGTGAAGTATTGCAGTTAAAGATAGGCAGTATGGCAAAACATCAAGATACAGACATCTTCACAGTGCATGATATATGTAAAGATATTTTGCTTTTCTGAGGTTTGTGAATGAGTTTATTGAATAAAATCAGCACCAGTAAAACAGCACTGCCACATTTTAAAAAGGTTGTGAAGAAACTAGATACAATATTTTTTTTTAAATAAACAGTACAAAAAAAAAAGAACTGGAAAAATTAAACAATCGGTAAAAATACAACAAAATAGGATGATGTCATAATGGGCTGACATCCAATCAGCTGCAGTTATTCAATGTTTTAGAAGTATTGAACATACTCGTGTTTGGAAAAAAGTACTGTGATGTAAATTGTCACAGTAACAATAACATATCGTCTTGCCCACCGCTAAGTGCAGTTGCCCACCCTTACAAGAGCCTCTTCATCACTGTAGTTTTTACTGAGGGTGTGTATGTAGGCTACCAAAACATGAGCAGTAGTTGAGCTGTTCAGTTCTGCAATAGCAGCCAGACTTGTTTGCATTGTTCTTTTATAGCCAGAGTCATGCTACATCAGGTGTGGGTAGTCTGTACAGGTCTTGCAGTGACGTCTATTTTTGGCCCAGGAGAAACTTCCTTACATGTGACAGCTCTGCGTCAAGTCTGTTCTGGGGAATACACATTCCGCAGAGCATTCATATGTAAGGAAGACTTAAAAAAGCAATGACGTTAATCAGGTGAAGTTGGGAAAATTTATAGTGTTGTCCCTACTGAGATCAATCGGCCTCTGATATTGTTGCAGTTACCGTTTAATCTGTGTGACGGTCACTAAACTAGGCATCATTTAACCTGCAATTAACATCTTGTGGAGTAGCTTCAGTGTAGAGGACAACTTTTTCTTTCGCATAATAACTTTGCTGAACACGTTTTTTTGTTTGTATATGATTTGTTTTGTTTTTAACTTTTTCCACTAGCTCGGACGTTTTTCATCATCAACTGAGAACACGACCATGAGACTTTGTATTGCTGTGGTGGAGTTCACTTCATACCACAATAGTAAGGTTTATGAAGGCCATGGGTCAGGACACTTCTTACCGTGGTAGTGGAGTTTAACAAGGCTGTGTGCCGGGACATTTCTTACCACGGTTGTGGAGTTCTAACAGGGCTGTGAGTCGCGACACTTCTTACCATGATAGTTGACTAGCAAGCTGGGTCACTTTTCACTGCCGTAACAAAGTTTGTTTGGACCAAACTTTGAGATGGGCAGTTTGCATCATGACAACAGAATTTGAATTGGCCCCAAACTGGGTAACGTTTAATTGCGGTAACAAAGTTTGTCTGGGCCGCTAGCCAGGTCACTTTTCGCCGTGGCAGTGGAGTTTGACTAAGGGGCAAGCCGGGTCAGTTTTCAATGTGGTAGCAGAGTTTGACTAGGCCACGAGCTGGTACACTCCTCACCGTGGTAAGAGTTTTTCTAGTGCCTAGCTAGGGACTTTTTATCATCACAACAGAGTTTAAACTGGCTTTCAAAATGGGTCACATTTCTCTGTAAATATACGAATGGATATTTTTTAAATGCACTGGAATAAATGGATAATATACTTATTAGAATTGAGGCCGGAGTTGATAACAGGAACGTACACAGGGAAACAAGTGTTTATCTTTTGATTGTTCTACAAGGAGATAAAAATGTGGAAATTACAAAAGTAACTAACATTTGAAACAGCGTTCTGTATGCTGTCTGGCAACGGTGCCCAATTGTTTCAGTACTTTTGACTACTGATGATTGTTTTGTTTGGTGATTTATTTATTCTTGATACTGTTTGTGTTGTCTCTGAATGCAGTCATTTCCCTGAGTGTAGATTGATGACGCTTGAAGAAGAAGGAAAAAGAGAGAGAACAAAGGCTTTGTTCACAGAGAATACAACGATAGCTTGTGTATAATTTGTAATGCCTCAATAAACAGAAAATAAAAAAGAAAGTACAGCATGTTTCAAATAAAGTGGCAGTGAGTGGAAGTACATAGTAGGTGTTTCTAATAAAGTGGCCAGTTAGTAGAAGTACAAGGTGGGTGTTTCTAATAAAGTGGCCAGTGAATATGCCCTTATAACATTCATTGAAAACTCTCCCTGTCCTGTAGGAGCAGGGGGCCGCGGCAGGTCCCGTGGAGGAAGTGGACCGAGTCAAGACCCTGCAGTCTCAGGTGGATGGTGTAAAGGACATCATGACCCAGAACGTGGATCGGATCCTGGCCCGCGGTGAACGCCTGGACGATCTGATGGACAAGTCTGAGGACCTGCAGGCTGGGGTGAGCGGTTCCTCTGAGGAAAAAGAAGTGCATGCATTCCAAATATGAGCTGCAGGCTTTGTTTTCTCGTCTCAGTATGTGTATCTTTCTGAATAGCAGGAAATGTTTTTATGGGCCCTTAGTAAGCTTCCTTATTGTAAGTGTAATCAAACCAACCTTAGACAAATACACCAGAAAATCCTTTATTAATTTAGTTTATCTCTTTCTGTCTGTTAGTTTAATTGCATTTGTGTTATTGTCTGGCTGTTTATTTTTGTCAGAAAAATGTAAGTTCAAGTTTGTGCTCCCAAAACTGAAGTCCTTCCTCCGTGTAATCATTTTCTAACAGTCTGGAACAGATGTGCGTAGTCTAAACCCAAACTGAAGTAGAAGTGTTACTTTACTGAAACAATGTAATGCAAAGGTTTAGCACAAACTAACTAAAAAAGCTCAAGTGCTGTAAAATTTCCAGTAGCACTGCAGTGTAACTTCTTGGCACATTTAGCATCTGTTAGCATAAGTGGGTAGTTAAAGGGCATGAAAAAGTTATATGCAGCTTAGTGGTGGGCTGGATATTACAATGCGTTAATCAGGTTCTTAGGCAGGTAAAGTCATCTGATTGATTAATTAGAGGAAATCCACAAACAGCTTCTTTGCAACACACTAAAGTTCCTGCATCACTAAGTTCAGTAGTGGGTGTATTCATCATGCTAATCAGTCAGATTTTCAGCCCTGTGAACGCAAGAATTGTCATCTTAGAATACAGGAATAGGAATGTTATGTTTCTCAGTAAGATGATGAGCAAAAGGCAAAAACTCGGTTGTCCAGCAGCTCAGTGTCGGCACTGTGGTTCAAATTTACTGTCACCTCAACCAAAGAACCCGTTCCACATAATTAAAACACCCCCAGAATATCACAGAGCTCCTCCAGCTTGAACCACACCTTGAACACAGTCCTCATTGAAGGCTTTCTGAGGTCTGCGATGAACGCGACGCTGAGTATCATTCACATACAGGCAGAAACTAGATTCATCTGGCCGGATAACACATTTCCGGTCATGAACAGTCCAGTTTTTTCTCTTCATCCACTGTAACTGGGAAGCTTTGTGAGCAGAAGTGAGCAAAAGCCTTTTGCAAGCCACTCTGCTCCATATGTTCATGGTAAGCAGTTCCCTGCAGCGTGTTCTTTCAGAAATTGGTTGTGAAGAACCTGCACTGACTTCTAGAAGCAATTCTTGCCTGGAAGTGAAACGATTTTTATTCACAAGCAGTGAAACACGCCGAATTTCCTGTAGACTGGGATTTTTGCAATTGCTGGTCGACTCTGTGTCCGTACGCTTAGATACGCCTACAAATTCAGCTACTTCCTTCACACTGTGGCCTTTGGCACGCCCAAATGCAATCACTCCTTTTTGCCAATCATTAACATCTGCTTTGCAACCAATTTTTAACACGTCGAACGAGACATTCACTGCACTGTACCACCTTTTCTCAATCTATGAATCCTGTTGCACACCCCGCAGGTATTTATAGCCTGATCATCCTCGTGCAGCCCCATCTACAGGAGCCTGAAGTTACTACCACCTTAAACATGCAAAGTGACCTAATTTTTTTGTCCAGGGAGCTTATTTAATGCTTCATCAACTTTACTGTTTTTGTAAATATATGCCCATTCTGAAATTGATGACTGCGACACCTTCCACAAAAGTTGGGACAGGGGTGATTTAAGACTAGGAATAACAGGTGATGCAGTCATGCATGAGTATAAAAAGAGCATCCACAAAGGGCCTAGTCCTCTGGATTGAGGCTCACCACTTTGCTAGAAAACTGCGTCAACAAATAATGCAGTTTAAAAACAGCGTTCCTCAACACGTTTGCAAGGATTTCAGATATTTCACCCTCTACAGTGCATAATATCATCATGAGATTCCGAAAATCCGGAGAAATCTCTGTGCGTAAAGGACAAGGCCACAATTGAATGCCTGTGACTTTCAACCCTTCAGACAGCACTGCATTAAAAACCAGCAGTCATCATGTTCATCCTTGCATCTACAAGTGCAGGTTTAGACTGTACAAGGCAAAGCAGGCTTATTCATATAGCACAAAAACAATTAAATGTGCATTACATAAATAAAAGCAAAGAGAACATCAAAAGGAAAAATAAAGGCAAAAATCTGTAGTGATCTAGTCTTTTCCAGCAGCCCGTGTTAGGAAGATTACCACCCTTTACTGGAAAAATGAAAGCCATAATAAGAATATACTTTGAAGTAATACACAAAACCTCTAAATAATCAGTATTTGGGAAAACAGTTTTTACATTTAACCTCCAAGAGAGTAAAATAAACTTGGATAACCAAAGCACTGATATCTAATACTTGGACCTTCTCCAGCACCCCAGAGTAGTCCCTACTTTCTGTATGCAAGCAAATGAGCTTTTCATATTCACTTTCTCTGTGCTTTAACACGTTAATTTGTGTGCATTACTGCATGTAAACATGTAGTAAATATGACCCGAACGCTGACGGTATTCACCATGTTCTCGCAGGCACAGAACTTCAAGCAGACGTCTCAGAAGGTGGCTCGTGCGTATTGGTGGAAGAATGTGAAGCTGATCTTGGTAATCGTCGTGGTCGTCGTTATCATTGTGCTCATCATCGTCCTGCTGGCCACCGGAGTGATTCCAACCAGCGGGTCCGCGCCTGCACCGCCTACACCGCCTACACAGAAACCACCAAAGTGATGTGATTCAGAACCATGTTAAAGCGATGGTTCGGCCAAAAATCAAAAGCACACGATACACTAAATGTAGTTGAAGACATGTTTAGTGACGAACTGTTCTCTATATCAATGGACAAAGTAGTATTTTATCTGTAGTTTCATCATCAAATAACACAATATAGGTGCGATAATTTAGGCATGCATATATCCTGTAAGACTTCTTGTTAGCCACTAAATTTGGGATAAAGGGTGAAAAATGTGCAGGTTTTTGATTTTTGGCCAAACAGTCTCTTACATATGTAGCTATAAAAGCCCACATGTACACACATCCATTCCTAAAGACATAAACATGCATACGAAGGTCGTCCTCCTCCCAAAGTGCCACAGGACATGCAGGTTTTTGTGCCAATCCTGTATGGACGCACCTACCTCAGCCCTATTAAATGTTGAGAAGCCTCTGAATGTTATAAGTCATATGCAACATATTGATTTTCTATGTGAAAAAACATTAACACATCCTGTACAGAGAACACACTTGAATATTTCATTTTATGCAAATTTGAGGGCACAATTTTTACATATTTAGTTTACATATTGGGGGGAGAAATAAAACCAAAAATTTTAAAATGTGCCATAACTTTTACACAGGCCACATTTTATGTTTTATTTTTATTTCCAATGTGTTAAACTGAGCAAATAAACAGTAATATGAGGATGTGTTAACCAACATCAGTCAACATGTAATTCGACCAGGGGGGCCTAGACTTTGGTATACAACTCTATGTGTGTCAGATCAGGATTAAACTAAATCCTGCAAGACTGTGGCACAACCGGAGGAGCGACATCCATCTGTCATAAATGCTGGTTTTACATGAATTCTTTAAAAAATTCCTTTTATTTGCACGTTTTTGCTCAGACAGTCACAGTGCTCTGGTTTTTGACCGTCTGCTGTGGTTACAGAGCTTCCAATCCACGGTTCTGCAGTTTAAAGGCCTTTAAACAGAAGCTTTGAAGCAGTACTTTCCTCGCTGTTGCTAACATTGCTGACAGTGAATGAAAGCTAGAGCAGGGTAGCATTAACTTCTTTCCAAAATGCAATTGTCTCAGTTTCATTCATTGTTAGCAATGTTAGCATTCTAGTGGAAAATATTCCTTTAATATGGTTTAGCGGTACCAAGTTCATCATCACCAGACTCCTGCTTCACAGTGATGCATGCTGTTCATTTGGCATGCTAATGCTATAAACAGTGCCTGGTGTTCAGTGTAAACCTGATGTTACATATTTAGAAAAACCTGATTTTACTCATGAATTATAGGCTATTTATTAGACCACACACATCGAATCCATCTTGAAATGGCCCTGAATGCTGGAAGTTAACATTCACAAGATTTGGGAATATAGAGACATTAGCGCTGAATGTTTCAGTAAGTTACGTATTGTCACTGTCCCAAAACATGAATTTTAATACAGCACCTGTTCTTTACAGTGTATAAACGTATTATGACCAACAAAAATGCTCCAAAATTACTTGGAATAAAATTTTCTTATATTAACTTACATTAAAATTGAGTAACATTTCTGTGAAGTTGCCATTACCACCTGTTTAGTGGTGTTGTTTTGGACCGTGATGATATTCAAGAAATATATATATATATGGAAATGAACCCTTTATGGTACTTATAAGAAGTTTTGTATTGAAAATACACACAAGTTCAAGATGAATTTTGGGATTTCGCGTTATTTGCTAAAAGCTCCATACTGAAAATTTGTGGAAATTAACCCTGAATGCTTTTATTATTTTCTTTTTTTTTCTTTTTCTTTTTTTGGAGGGGGGGTTACGATTCGTAAGGTTGACTGTTGCTTATATGTAAATTCAGTTCCCTTCTTTTCTGTTATTCATGACTTTAAAGTAGACAGCTTTTCCATTTTGCTCCAGGCTAGTTTTGGAGTTCCTCCAAAGACATGAAGTGAGATGCTAACTCATGCTACTGGATGTCTACAGCGAAGACATGAAATCTTCAGAGGGTCATCACAAATGTGTGTGTGTACATGTGTGAACTGAATGAAGTTACTGTATGAAAAGTTCACGAGCATCATCTTACCTGCTTTGTTTCTTTAGCCGTTTGAATGTGTTTCATGCTGTGGTGACCCCTGGGGAAGGGCAGACTTTGAACAATACTGCAATTTTGCACTTTGGCTCAGTGCGTTCCTGCTGTGGGTAAAATATTGTTTTTAGTTTGTTAAGCTTATTGTGTGCAATTCAGTCACTGATGTATTTTTTCATTTTTTTCTCCTCAGTGCTATGAAGGAAACCCCTGACCTCTTTATATTCCTTTTGTGGGTGGCTAAAAGTTTCGATTCAGACAACTTTGCACGCCTCTTCAGTTCAAATGCTGAGGGTGGGTTACACCAACAAGTTAAGTCGAACAGAGTTTTAGGGCTAATCAAGAGCTAATCCATTTTAAAATCTACGCTTATAGCCTTAATCTGTGGTTAAAACCCTGCCATGCCACCAGTTTTCATTGTCCGCCATGATGGATTTTCAGCAACAAACAAACAGCAACAACGATGTTCTTAATGCTAATCATTAAACTAACCTACACTGTTTTCAGTTTTAAAGAAAAGTAGCACAGGGCTTCACTAAAAACAAATAGGAAACTCACTTAATACATTTGCTTAGCTCACTATGTGGATCTACATGACAAGATCAAAGATCAGAGCAAAATCGAGGAGGTGGACAGGAAAGGAAGGTTCATTCAGCTATTCGGCTGCAGCTTCTGTTAAACAGTTTTCCAGCTAAAAGGTATGAAGTGAAGTGTTGCTGTGGTTCATTTATCTGTTTCTCTTAAACATCTTAAATGAACTGCCTCTTCAGTGTAAATTTAAGCTACGTGTGATCTAATGTGGATGTTTTTGCAGATTAATGTTGTACAGTACAGTAATAGTGTTAGTTTGCTACCTAGCTAGGTAAGCAGTGTTTGCTAAAAAGCTACCTACAGTGCAATACGCCAGTAACTGAGGCACTCTTTGGTTATCTATGCCAGTGATTGAGTGAGTAATGTTTCATATGCCAGCGAATGAGTGAAATACAGCAAAAACTGAGGTAAATCTGCCTTTGGCTAAGTGAAATTCAGCAAACGTTGAAGTAAATCTGCCATTGGCCAAGTTAAATGCAGCAGTAACTGAGGTAAATCGGCCAGCGGCCTAATGAAACATGGCAGTAACTGTAAAAATCTGCTAGTGGCTGAGCGAAATATGGCAATAACTGAGGTAAATCTGCCAGCGGCCGAGCATAAATTGACTATAACTGTGGTTAATCTGCCTTTGGCCAAGTAAAATACAGCAGTAACTGAGGTAAATCGGCCAGTGGCTGAGCTGAATAACCGTTTGTGAAGTGTAGATGGGCTTTGAGTAACTTTAAAATCCTGAATTACTCAAAACAACAGGCCACTCACCAGCTAGGAAAAAGTCTGTGAATGGAAGAGCAGGTAATGTTAGCATATCCAGATCACTGCTCCTTTTCTTGTTTGAGAGTTTGTGTGGATCCAGACTGTCAAAAAGGCCAACTTTTATAATTTCATAGTGGTTCGGCAACCCTCTGGAGTTGGTAAAAATATACTCCTTTCTCATTTGCTACCATTCAAAGCATGACAAGACTGAAAAAATGCCATAAAACAGCAATCTCAAAGCAATTATCAAAGATAAAAACCAGTATGACGGAATGACCCTATTATGCATCCATTCCCTAGCCCTACTGTGTCCGGAGGCTTGGCGTCAAGGGGAGCTGTTTAGCCAGCTCAGAGAAAACTTAAAGTATACATAAAACTTGTTGGTATATTTAGTTTGTATCCGGTCATTTACATCATATACATGCAGTTTGTAACTGCAACTTACCTTCATTAGTGAGATCCTGCTGGTGTACGTTTCTTCTGTTTCACTAATGCACACGAAAGTTACTTGAGTGCTAATAGCGCCCCCTTGTGGAATTTTCAGCCTGTAAACCATCAGTAACAGAGGGTTACAAGCATGTTTTCTGAGGTGCTTTATATATTGTCACTGTCAAATTTGAAAGCTCCAGTCACCCTTGGCACTGTGTTAAAATTTTATAACGAACGGACCAACAGAAAAAGTCAAAAAACATTTTGGAGATACAAGGTTTCGTTCTGATAGCAGCGATAAATAGTTTCACTTGTTTATACAAGTTGTTGCCAAGTTGCAAGTTTGAATTTGTCCCCTGAATGAAGTTTAAATCTGAGTTTAAAGTAATTGTGCAACTGGATCAAATTTAATCTTTCCGGGATTAAAATGACGGTTTAAATGTAACCTTGATTTATTGTTAAACAAGGTTTAAAGTTGGTATTAATATATAAACCTTGATTCAGTCCAAGGTCAAACTTAATCTCTATTGGTGCAGCCCTCCCTCAATCTCCAGATGACTTTGATGATAATGTTGAACTTTTGTCATAAATCTCACCAAGTTGAGCAGTAAAGCCAATCGCTAACACTTCACTCTAACCCTGCGACATAACATTGTCATGGAATGGAAGATGTATAATGTTATATGCTGTTATGGCGGATTATGTCCAGTAATATAACAGTATTGTGATACTGGTAATTGTTATGACCTCTTATGTAACATGGAAATATTTGCTGTGTACTCTAGTTTGCCGTCATGACATCAAACATTTTGGCGTCTGTCATTGTCATTAACAGTAATGCCAACATTGCATTGCGATATTACTTGACATTATCTGTTATGACAGCATTCGACTATTGACATGACATGGTTAAGGAATGGTTAAGTCAGTGTTATGTAGCAGGGATCAAGTAAAGTGATACCAACTTAAGTCTCACATTGGCTCTGCTTGGTTTCTCCATCGACGCCCTGCTGTGGAGATCTGGAGAGGTCAAACGTCTGGCTTTTGTAAATAGTTTGAATAGTCTCATCTGTCTCTCTTTTTTTCTGCTAAATCTCCTGCTGTAGTCTTCATAGAATGTTACATATTCACGTTTATTTATTGTTTAATTTTATTTCCCAGCAGTTTTAGGTGTCTTATTATTACTAATCATCATTTAAATCGAGAAGTGATTGTTACAAGTATAAAGTGCCTTCGATTTTTATCTCGAGTCCTAATCTTGGAGTCACTTGGTAGCCTTAACAGTGTCTTCCACACCAAAATCGTTATGTGCTGCTTTATCTGCCCATCAGACCACCTGATTTCGCTAATTTGGTTTTTCTCTTTATTTACTTCCTTGTCTTTGTGTAAACAGCTGGTGTTGTACGGTTGGAATAAACCCTTGTAGACACATCAGTGATTATTATGTTCTTCAAAGGAAACCTAGGATTTGTAGGTCAATAAATTTTGAAAGCTTCAAATCTGAAGATTGATGTTTTTAAAATAAACAGTTAATATGCAATTAAAATGGGTCTTCAGCTTGTTTTATTTCCACATGCCCACTTTTTAAGAGAATTCCACAGATTTTTGGTTAATGTATGCAAAATAAATGGTTAAGAAGTAAATCTATGCTATGAATGAGAAGATTTCGGCCTAAAGCAAGTTTTTAAAAGCCTGTTCATAGTGGAGATGCAGGGTGCAATAGTCCACAAAAACATATTAAATATACAAACTCAGAAGACTTATAAATCAGAAGTAGGTTCACTAGTGGTTTTGGATAGTAAATAAAATGGCTATATATGTGTTGTAGACATGGTGACCCCTGGTTCCCATCACCACCACTGTAAAGAAAACATACAGTCTGTAAGTGGAATAGTGAGTATGTAGCTTGTGTGAGGTACAACAGTTAAGTAGAGTTATAACTTTTACATAATAATCACTTTATCTGCTCAGACTAACATCAGTGAACCACAAAAATGTATATTCCTAATGAAATTACTGGTAAAACAATACCTAAACATTCACAGTTCACACTTCAGTAATAGCTCCACCTTGCTAGTCTACAGTTAGCCGCTGTAGCTCATCTGTTGAGTTTGTGTTGGCCTCATTTTTGACCACAGAGCCATTTCTGACTGGATATTTTGGAGTGGTCGACTCATTTTGGAGCTGGTTTATAGAAGAAGCTCCAGACTGGGCAAAACCTCAGCTTGGGCAGAAGTTAGCCAGCTGACTAATGGGCTACTGAAGTTAGCTGTCTAGCTAAAGAGTTGGTGTGGTAGCTCCCATTAGCATTAGGTAATGTATGTTTGTTAGCGCAAAGAGAAGGAGTGCTAATGCAGTGAAAATAATTACATAAAATTGGAAAGCTTAATTCTTTCTGTATCAAATTTTTTACCTGAAGTCCAGTTAGCTGTCTGGCTAAAGTGTTTCTGAGGCAGCTCCCGTTAATATTAGGTAGAAGTGTTTTAGCGCAAATGATTATTCCTTCAATTGATTATATATGGTTAGTAAAACCATGTTTAGCAAGTGTTCTCTCAGAATAAAAGGTTCAGGGTTAGAGTTTGGGATACTGTTAGCTACACCCTCAGCTTTAGCTAGCTAACACGTACAGACAGAAGTTATTATACTGAAGCTCGCTAACATGGCTGGAGGGTGTAGCTAACCATATCCCAAACCCTAATTTTGACAGTTTACACTAGCTAAAATTAGTTCGACTGACCATAACTATGACTAGACTATATTCTGAAAGAACTATGTACACTAAACATGGTTGGGGAAGTAACTATGACCCTAGCCTTAACCATTTTATTGTGAAAGAGCCATTTACAGTAGCTAATGTGATTGGTGAACTAATTTACCACATTTACCGTGTTATTTACTTAATGTGAGCTACCTCACCATCGCTTAAGCTAGCTAGCCTAGATAGCTGGAGAGCTAGTTGTCTAACATTTGCTCAAACTGAGGCCTTTTCCAAGCTAAGCCTTTCCCCAGCATGGGGCTTGTAGCCTCAGCTGGATGCTGCTGCAGATGTTTTCCATATGTGTGCACTGATGTAAGTTTGCCACAAGAGGGAGACAAAACATGCCAAACAAGTCATGCAGTTCCCAGTCAATGTAGTTTAAGTGAGGATGTTTATATACCGTTTACATAAACTGGACCGCTTATAATCTGTACCAGTGACTTATTTATGATATGCAAAATTGCAAAATAGAAAAAACTGTGCACAGAGACACAGATTCATGTGTTTCTCTTATTTTGGAGACTCGCAAAACATAAGACCAGCATTATAAACATTAGTGAAATAAATGAACATTTTATTATCTTACAAATAATAAACTCTTTACTCTGTGGGGTTTGGGCTGGGGAGTGAGGGGTTATGACACATTAGGGGAAGCATTAACTACTTTCACTTCAGCAATACATGAAATGTGGTTTGCCAAAAAGAAGTTATTTCATATTTTATATTTCACGTTTTTTTCCCAATTATCTTAAACTAAGCGACGAAATAGAAACTGTGCACGAAAATTTGGATGTGCTTACTTTCACTTCAACAAAACATGTCATTTTTGACTGAGGGGGTTTTCAGAATTTCCGTACGATGGTTATATTGCATCAACATATTTGCTGCCCCAGAAGTCAGAGAACTGAAAGACAAGCGTATAGATTTAATACATTATCTGAATATTTAAGTTAATTCAACACTGTTTTAACCAATGTATGTATTTACCAATGAGCACTATCTGTCCAAAAGTTTGTAGACACCTCATCCAGCATTTCTTCTATCTTTTTTACAGTAAAAACATATAAGAATTCTTTTGGAAAGGCTTTACACTGGATGTGTACATGAACATTGCTGTGAGGATTTGATTGCATTCAGCCACAAGGTATTGGTACAGGTACTGATGTTGGATGATCAGTTCTGGATCGCTCCAACTCTTTCCAAAGGTATTGGATGGAGCTCCAGACAACACAGCCCAGTGCTGGGTGGGTATAAAGTCCTGGGCATGGTTACCTTAGGCTCATGTCCCATTCTAGTGGTCAGTGCTTTTCTAGGGAGATTATACAAGCTGAGAGATGATTTGGTCATTTGCCACATTCTGAAGGACAGTATTTGGTGATGAAGCATTGCTCACAGAGCATAATGCCGTACGGGAATCAGGCCAAACGAACCGTAAATGAAGCATAAAGTGGACTGAAAGGATCTGCCATGTCACATGGCAGACTGCGTAGGCCGGCCTGTTTCTGTACCAGGCGAGAGAAGTTGAATGTGCCATTGTCTCACTGGGAAGTGGAGAAAAGCCAGTAGTGATTCACAGAGCTGTAATACAAAATCATAAAAAAAAAATTACTGCTGTGAGTAAAAGTGAGTGAACACTGTGGCCTCCAGCCTGTTTTACAACTGCGTGGCCTGTTTTTTTTTTCTTTTCACTTTCATTTCTATCTTTCTTGCGGTTTTAAGGCCTTCCTGTTCTCTGCTGTCGACACACCTCTGAAAGCACATTCTTCTTTTGTAAGCATGAAGCCACGATGGAAAACAACATTGTGTTTTGTTTTTTTAGATGCTCTTTGTAGCACTTTCCACCTATAATCTTCAACTGTTATAATTAAGGCTGGTGAATCATTGTCAAACAGAAACTTCATTCCAGATATTCCTGATTTGCACCCACGTTAAATATCACACCTCATTAGGAAAAACAGCACACTGAGGGCTGCTTTCCTGGATTAATCCTAGTCTTGTATGTACAGAAGTCCAGAGAGGCTGTGTGATAGTTATGATTTCTGAACTGTTATCTTGAGATAGTGAGTTAACTATCTTGTGATCTGAAGATAATAAAGTTGTTATCTTGAGATAATGAGTTAACTGTCTTGTGATTTCAACATAACAAAGTTGTTATTTTGAGATAATAAGATAATTACCTTTTGAGTCTAGAGAGACCATGAGCTGTTGCTGTAATTTTATCTTGAGATCACTATATAGATAATTACCTTGTTACCTGAGGATAATAACTTTGTTATCTTGAGATCACTCATGATCTTAAGATAACATTTTTTATCATGAGATCATAAGATAGTTAACAAGTTAATTATCTTGTGAGTCCGGAGAGGCCATGAGCTGTTGCTGTCATTTTTTTTTTTGGATTGTTATCTTGAGATAATGAGTTAATTATCTTGTGATGTCAAGATATCTTGGGATGACAAGATAATTAACTTGTTAATTATCAAAGTTGTTATCTTGGGATCACAAGATAATTAACTCATGATCTTAAGAAAACAACTTTTGTTATCTTGAGACCACAAGATAGTTGACAAGTTAATTATCTTGTGAGTCCAGACAGGCCATGAGCTGGTTTTGTAATTTTCTGGATTGTTATTTTGAGATAACAATTATCTTGTGATCTAGAAGATAAGAACTTTGTTACCTTCAGATCACAAGATAATTAACTCATTATCTCAAGATAATAACTGCTGTCTTGAGATCACAAGATATTTAACAGATGATCTTAAGATAACAACTTTTGTTATCTTGAGATCACAAGATAATTAACTTGTTATCTCAAACTGACTTTCGTACTTTGAGCCCGAGCTTACAGTTAATCTTGAGGGTTTCAGTCTTGCGATGGGCCTCGATGGTATGGACCATTTTGCTGAACTCATTCAAACTGTGGTTCCACAGTAAAAATAAAACCTATTATAAAAATAAAAAATGAACAGTGAACACTCGCCAGAAGCTCAACAGAGTCACAACATATCACACAGAGCTGTGGGTTTCTCAAAAGTTCCTCCCACCTCCAGGACATTATCAGAATGGGGTCATGACTCATCATCACAGTGGGGTTTTCCTAGCCTTTAAACTGTAAAATGTCACCGAGACCACTGCGGTACCACTGTAGGAGGGGAGCCTACATGTTTACAACAGAGTAACTCACAGAGCAAACAACTCTAATGGTTCAACAGGTATTCTGGGACTGATTACAGATGCATTCGATTGCTTCCTCGTGGGATCTGAAAGTGTCCCACAGGAAACTAGTGGTCTCTTATAGTAACCATTAAGCCAACTCCCATTAAAAAGGCTTTAACCCTAACGGTTCTAATAGTCCTTTTTTTGCAGGGTTGTTTGTTTTCCAATACCGGTCAGGTAAGGTGAAAACAACGCAATGAAGGTTCTGCTTTTCATTGTGGCAGTAATGACGACAGTAATGCCATGCAAATTCCATTTCAGGTTTTTCCACGGTACTGACTGCTGATCAGTTGGGCACAAATTCTTCTCCACAGAAATTTTGGTGGAATTCCCCTTTAAGCTACCTCACAGCCGATATGAGTCATTTAAACAGTCCTGAAAAAGGAGAGCAGAGTTTAAGTGGACCGTTTCCTGCAATCAGGCCTCAAGAACTGCAGAAAGGAGCTTGTAAGGGTCTTTCCAGACGATCTAGCGCTCAGATGAAGTGGAGAACTATCACCAACATCTCAAACACCAGCCTACTTTCCGCTGATAGCAGCCCCTCAACGCTGGGTTCACACCCAGGGGGGTTTCCCATCTAGCTTAAAGCTCTGATGTGAGAATTAAAAACAGATTTAACGAGGCTGAACTCATCTTCGCCGGATTTATGTTCGAATCTTCCCGTTCCACCTTAAATGCTGCAGCTTTCTTCCCAGCGCCTGAGGCCTTATAATAGTAACTGCTGCATCATTTAAGGTGGAACGGGAAGATTCGAACAAGAAGCTGGCGAGTAAGAAGCTGACTTAAGCTTCGTAAAATGTGCACTTATTCGACGTATTTTCCTAAAACTAACCAGAATTAATCTCGACTGCGAGGTTTTAAAGGAGATATATGTCCGTTTTATCTCATCTTTCTTCGCTAATGTAAGCTAGTTAGGCTGAAACAGCCTGCTCGTGAAACCTGATCGTTATTTGTTTTCCCACCCATATTGGGGCAAATATTTTAATCATTGTAATTTTTTTTTTTTTAAATGTACTTGATTTTAATATGTTGATATGTGAAAAAAATATGTCACATAAACACGGCTATCGCTAAAATAAAAAAAAATCTAATGAAAGAAAGTGGGTTTATTATTTTTATTTTATTTTTGAATTTAAATTGTCGTGTAATTTCACATGGAAAATAAACAACGTGCCATTTTCAGTGTAGATTATATGTAATAAATAATAAACAATAACTAACACCGTTTATTCTTTGTTAATATATTTCATGTCTTTGTCTTTATTTTTCTCCCACCCGTTTTCGCACCAAGCCCCGCCCCCTCTGCGCAAGCATTCACTGTTAACTCGATTGGGTCCTGTATCAATACGGGTGGAAAACAAAAGGCAGTAACGCGGAGTGACATATATAGACGAAGTGAGAAGACAGGAAAGTTTTCAGTTCATCCACAGCGAGACGAGAAGACAAGCCAGAGACACCCAGCGGATAAAGGGGAACTTCTTCTGTCCTTCGTGCCCCACTTTTAGAGGTTTTGGGGGGGATTTTTATCGTGTTTTTAGATGCTGAGTAGCGAGTGACAGCCCTGCTTCAGGAACACAGCCGCACAGAGACAAACATGGTGAGTTATTTGACATGTTAAGCCCGTCAGGCCTCCTGCATGTGTGGTATTGAATAGTAACTGCACAGTTTTACAGAATATCTGTAAAATTTCAGGGTGATTCCACCAGTTTTTTTAGAATTTCTGTCAAATTAAAGGGTATTTCCACCAGTTTTTCAAAAATGTCTACATAATTCAGTGGCTGAGATATAAACAAGGTACCCTGAATGCAGTGGTTTGGTGTGAAATGGTTCATTGTAGAGAAACTTATTGAGATGTATTAACAGTGGTGGTGAAACCAGAGGTCACTCTGTCTACTACACAAATATAACCATTTTATTTACTGTCTAAACCATCAGTGAGCCTACAAGCATATCCTGTGTCTGTATCCAGTGAGCCTGTATTCTGCATTTTTGCATGTCATGTTGATGATGGTAAAATAGTGATAAGTCTGAAACATATAAACGTATTTTCTCTGGGGACTGTTTTGCCTCAGTGTGCCCTCCCTGTACATCTCCACCACTGTTGGAGATTGTATTTTACCATCATTGGACCATTTTTCGACTTTAAAAATGACCTTTAGGCCCAAATTCTTTCAAAACTATCATAAACAAAGTGTCAGGCATAGATTTATGGATACAAGTCTATGACTACGTAGTTTTAAAATTCACGTTTTCAGACCAAAAGCTCATCGCAGACATATTGTAAAACAGTGTCTCAGGCAGCGAATTCATAACCGTTTCACATAAGAACGTCCTGTGAGGGAGCTCTTAGAGGTGGACGTCTGGTTCCTATCACCACCACTGTGAACAATTCTGACTCTCAAGAATTAAGCATTTCACACCAAACCACTACTTAGCCATTAAACTTTGCACAGATTTTGGGAAAAAACTAGTGTGTTCCGCTTTACGCAGCATCCTTGTACGATAGTACAAGACTAAGTCTTATCCACAGCACACAAGAGTTCCGTTTATTTTATTGCACCAGCTGTTAAGTGGTGAACGGATGTCTAGCCATGGCACTCACTACATAATATTGCTAATAATAATGGAATAATGGGATAATAATGGAATTCTGTAAGGAATAATGATATATTTGAGTTGATGGACTTCATTATGTGCGCTGTATTTGGTAATATCGGGGCTTTAAAGTATGTCTCATTCATTGTGTTAGAGGATAAAAGGGGAAACTCCATCTTTATTGATGTCTTTATTTAATGCGCTTTAAAAACAAGGACTGGGCGTGGATGTGGCTTTGAATGGGAATGTATAGCAGCCGGGGGTTTGCCTAAATCTGAGGAAATTCCAGGTTTCGTAGAGCTTTAGAAAGAAAAAGGAGGAAGCGAACAAAAGAAAAAAGACGGTAGAAAGGAAGGAAGGAGGCTACAGAGGGAAGTGAGGAGAGAGGCGTATCCTGCTACTGCCCATTCATGCACCGACTGGATTCACTACCCGGTCGAATGTAGGAAGAACGAAGGTTAGTGGCTTTTCTGCCATTTCCACTACAAACCTTGGGGAAATGGTCAGTTATTGTTCGAAAAATGTTTACAGGATCAGGAAAACAAATGTGACCAAGTCCTCAGTCTCCGTGGTGATGGGATGTAGCCACACAGGTGTGACTGAAATGTAACATAATGGCTATTTTTATGTGGATCTTGCAACAATCCTATTCCAGAACCTCACTGGGAATTCCAGAATTGATTTGAATGAACTGGGAATTGGCAAACCTTTATTTTTGATGTCACAATAGGATCTAGTACACTTCCGATTCTAGAACCCCACTGGGAATTCCAGAGTTTATTTGAATTAACTGGGAATGAACATAATGGCTGTTATTATTTGTGATGTCATAATAGGATTCCGTAACCTTCCTATTCTTGAACACCAGTGGGAATTCCAAAAATCAGTAGAATGACCTCGGAATGATGATGAGATCTAGTAACAATCATAAATCCTATAAAGAATTCCTGAATTCATGTAAATGAACTTGGAATTAACATAAAAGTGATTTTCATTTGTTATGTCACAGTGAGAATTCCAGAATTAAGTGGAATGAACTCGGAATGAACATAACACAGATTTCCATAATATCATAATGGGATCTGGTAAAGTAAAATTCCAGATTCCGATAAAAATTCCAGAATTGATTTGTATGAACTCGGAATAAACATAATGTCAATTTCTATTTATTATATCACAATAGGATCTAGTTACAGTCCAATTCCTGACCCCTTTCAGGAATTTTAGAATTAATCCAACTGAACCTAATGAACATAAAGGCAATTTTTATTTATGTCATAGTAGTATCTAGTCACTATTTCAGAACCCCATCAGGAATTCCAGGATGTATTCAAATGAACTTGGAATTAATATAAAAATTGTTTTTATTTATGATGTCACAGTGAGATCTAGTTCTGGAATTCTATTAAGAATTCCAGAACTGATTTGAATGAACATGGAATTAACATAATTTATTATATGTATGTAATACATAAATGTATAACTTATATAAATGTAAATGTAAATATCAAGTTAGGATCTGGTGTTGATCAAATTCCCAAACCCCAGGAATCAGGAATTTCAGAACTCATTCAAATTAACTCGGACTTAACATAATGGTGATATTTATTTATTGATTTATATTGATCTAATAACAGTCCACTGGAAATTCCAAAATTCACTTGGATGGCCCTGGAATAAATGTGGCTCTATATTCACTGCAGTCTTGGAAAGGGGCTTTCGGTGTCATAATGCTCACCTACGGCTGTTTCCTGTTATTGTGCCATGGAGGCGTGTGCTGTTTATGTGCTGTGAGGCGGCGAATATGAAAAATGCGTCAAGTTTGCTAGGATGTCCATTCATCTCCCGTCTGACAGTTTCCCAGCTCTTGTGGGTCACTCGCTCTTTCGGCCGTGACTCCTGAACCCCTTGCTTCCTCCCTCAGCGCCGAGACAGAAGGGGACGGGCAGGGAGGTCAGTACGATACATGGCTCCCTTTGTTTGGCCGGTCGATCAACATCTTTAAATGCCTGCATTTCAGAATCCTCACTCTTGTGTTGGTCACAACGGCTCCGTTGTGAGTTTTGGTGGTCTGTTTTTCTAAAAGGCACAGAGCGTCTCTAGCCTGCTCTGTCTTTTGTTCAGCTGGGCCTGACAGAGCCGCAGGGAGAGTAAGTGGAGAGGCACGCTTCCAGAATCGCATTCCCCATTTATACAGCAGTCAGGCCTCCGGAGAAAAGCTTCCAAGAACCTTTTAACCCTGGAGGACCATGTGGTGTAATGCAGGGCCATCTGAAATTCTACTTTTTGACTTGATGGAGCTAATTAAATGCAAAAAAAACAAGGATTGATTAAAATTCCTTGCGTTAAGCAAAGTGCTTGTGGAAAGACCTGCTAATTAGATGGTTCGGGTGGGATAGAGCAGAGAGAAGAACAATATGTGCAGCCAGGGGTTCTCCAGGGAACCATATTCTTAGGCTGCGTTCAGATGACAGAGCGTATTGCGTTAAAAATCTGTGGCTTAACCACGAGGACTCCACCCATGACAAGTTTTGTAAAGCGGGAAAAGGAGCAGATCTATGTGGGTGAGAAGTTTGACACCACACCACACATCGCAATAAATTGGTAGGCTCAAGGAACTAGAACTTTCTGGACGAGAAAAAGTCCACCAGGTTTGATTCTTCCTAATAGGCCCATATGAAATTTAGGATTGTTAGCGCGTGACAGTGGTGAGGAGTACTCATCACCTGTTTCTCAAGGGTAGCAAAACTTGGTGTTAGCGATGTAGAGGATGTTACGTATGCCAGCGAATTAATATTCATTTTTAACAGAACATTTTGAATGGTTTTCTGTTTCTGCAGTGTGTCCACGGAAAGAGCTCCAGTCTGGATTTGATGACATTCAAAAGTCCAAACTTTAAGTCCTACCAGAAACCTTCTGACTTGAATTGTTTTGAATGCACATGAATGTTTCTCAGTACAAATGCTGTAAAATACCAGCCAAATTTAAACATCTGATATGATGTATACTGATATGATTCCGAGATCATCCCTAGAAATATATATATATATATATATATATATAAATCACTGCTCTCAGGAGAAAACCTCGTATCTACATTTTTGTTGTTTTTCAGTTTTTGACAAAATTTGAAAATACCTGTTACCCTTTTTTAGGGTAATTTTAGTCTCGTTCCGTTGACTTACATTAAAAGTAAAGTAGGTTTTTTCCTTCTCCTGTAAAGTTATCACTTTGGAGATACAAGGTTACACCACACTTTTGTGAATGCTGGCATTAACTGTGGATTCTAAGGGTTAAATGTGACACCAGATTAAGCCTTATACAAAAAAGGCTTTTACGCAAGTAGTCTCGGGATTTCATGAGGATAATAAGGAAGTTTGACTGTAGAATGACTGTAGCGTCCATCCGTTTAGGAGCTGAAAACATGCTTATCATGACAAACGCAGGACAGATAGATCTGCTAATCTGTATCTCATTCGTCAGGTGCCCAGCCCTTTCCTATCCTGTCCTGTCATTTTTACGGTCTTGACCTGTTTCAGGTCCTGACCTCTTCCGCCCCAGCACCCACCCGCACAAGGCCTGCTTTCCGGTCCAAAAGCCCAAACTCACTGATCCTGGCCTTGATCCTTTTCCTGAGACTAACGCTCATGCTGTTCTGTGCAGGAGAACGGACAAAGCCGGCTGCAGCAGGTCCAGAAAGATGTGGAAGATGTGAAGGTCATCATGCTGGACAACCTGAACAAGGCCAACGAGCGAGAGGGCAAGCTGGGCGAGTTGGAGAACCGGGCCGACATGCTGCTCGAGAAGGTGAAGCCGTTCATCCTCTACCACACATTCTGTAGTAAACAAAGATGTTCTAAAGCAGATACATTTTGTCCTGTATATATTCCCTATTGGATCCCCTATTGGATCACTGGATCCTTTGAATTGACCACTTGCAGAAAGTAGCATGATGTATACATTAGCTTGCGGTTAGCGTCTGTCAACTCCTAGCTTTTCACCAAATCTGTTTCCATCGTGTTTCCTAATTATGTTTAAATCCATGTAGTAGATGTTGTTCTTCATGTTTAGCGTTCATTTTTGTATATTGTCTTTTAGCCATGCCAGTTGTTCAACGTTCGACAGCTTACTTAGTGCTGCGTGAGGTATTTTGGTGAGGTTGCTAGTCTTGAAGTCAGTTCTGTGCACAGCAGTGTTAGCTCGCATTTAGCATTACTTATAGTTTGACTACTGTCGTTCAGAAGATCCAATGATATTCAAAGGAAAAATATACACAGTGAGGAAACAAACGTTTGTTTATCAGGCTAAATGCTAGCTTGTTAGCAAGTTAGCATTGCACAGCAGACCGGTTGGCTGTTGATACTCCATTCTTTGAGACTCTGATTAGTAGCAACAATCAGTTTGAGCTCAAGACTCAGTCCAAATAAGTATCCTTCAGCGCTGGATTGCTAGCCTGCTCTCCATTACATTTATTTTGGAGAAAAAATACTAGCATGCAGGCTAGTTAGCTGACTGGAGATGGAAGATGGAAACTTATTTAGTACCTTATTTGTTACCACTTAATTGATTATTTAGCTATTAAATGTAAAAATGTACTACTTAATAATAAGTTAATTGTGTTTTCTTTACAAATTTGCATGTTTGTATTTCAGGTTTAAAGCAGTTGTGAAGGAATGTGACCCAGGGTGTAATTTTCCTATATTTTTGTTGAGTCTTTTTTGGTTTTGCTATTGTTAGTTTCTCTTTACGTAAGTCAAGTCATATCCTCTGACTTGATTGTGTCTCGTATGCCCGTGGCGGCTGTGCGGACATCAGCCCTACTTTTACGGCTGTCTGGTCGGAAATCAGGAAGCCCCCTGAACACACTAATCATGATTTTTGGCCCACTGCGGGCTTCACTACACTCCACAACTGTTTCCAGGGTTCCAAGGTCTGACAGCGACCAGGGAGATGTCAGGAAATGTCATATTGGAGTCTATAAATATGCTTTAGGTGGAGTTTAAGGGAAAAAGAATGTACAATTTACATCCTGATTTTAGCTGCCGGTGGTAATTTTAGAAAGCTATTTCCTTTCGTAATGAGATGAATGAAAAACTTCTTGCCCAGCGTTTGTGTGCATGTGTTTATTTGTCTCGAGTTTGGGCAGTGAGGTCAGTTAGTTCCCACATTGCTCCCTCAAGTCCCACAGAACTCTTGACCCAACACAAACAAAAACAAATCACAGTAGACAACAAGAACAAGATTCCAAATATGGGAGGGCGATATAGCAAAGCATGTAGGGCTGAAAGATGAATCGTTTCATAACAAAATCGCAATTTGAAATTGTGCAGTTTTAACAATGTTGTGAGTTTAAGATGATAACATTGAACCTAATAACCTGGATTTTGTGAACAGCATGATTCAGACCAATCAGAAGCAACCAAAACAGCTAACTGGTTCAGTACATTTTAGTGTTCAAACCTCAAGCAAAGTTGATCTTTTTGGCCAAAATAAGCAGGCCTGTACCTTAATTTACAGAAAATATTAATCATTTAAATCTCAATTAGATACTTCCCCAAAATCATTCAGCCCCATAAGTAATATTGTGATACTTACGATGCACAATAAGCATCACAGTATTGTGTTTTTACTAGATTTGGTAACAAGTTGAAATGGACAAAATGCACCAGCAATAACACAACAAAAAATGTTTTTCATATTTATTCACCATATAGAGGAGCAGCACTGTGTGCTTTTTCCATTGGTTATTGGTCCAATAATTGAGGTTCCAGTTTTATGGTTTTTAGTTCCTGCTAACAACAATTTAGTAAATTCAGTAGACACAGGCAAGTGAGCTCTCACATTGGTTAGGACTTCAGAAGCTGAACTGATGGCCTGATGGGTCAGTTTAAGTACATAATAAGGAAGTGACAGTGGAATCAACAAATCACATTTTGAGTGGGCCTTCTGGAAGTTCTAGATATGCTATTGACTGGAAAGTGGTAGTCTGACCGATACGTTTCAGCTGGTTGTTAGAAATGGTATTGATGTGTCAGGGCCCTGAATAAGTTTCTGCAAAACTCCAACAAGATATATATATAATATATATATGGATGGTTCTTTGAGTTGTCATGATTCTAGACAACCATTGCCTTCACTAAAGAACCCTTGAAGAGTCCCCTTTCATGAATGTACAGTAGCAGGTACAGTTGTGGACTTAATGTATTTGTTTGTCTGTTTTCAGAGCCAGAGCTTTCACAAGACGACAGTAAAAGTGAAGCAAAAGAAGAGACGGGAGAACATGAAGTGGAAGCTGATCTTGGGAGGCGTCATTGCAGTCGTCGTCATAGCCCTGATTATCATTCTGGCTATTACCACAAGCAGTTGAAACTCCGCATAAGAGGCCTTTGGAAACGAAGAGCCTATAACGTCTCTTCAAGATGCTCGAGGGCGTTGAACTGTAGCTGCAGCTGTGAAAGTTCAGGATGTTAGGAGTGTGATGTGAAGTCATGAACTAGAACATTTTCGTTCTGTTTTTTAAATCTCAGAGGTCTGCATGTACAGCTGTTTGCGCTAGGCGATGCAATGGTACTAGTTGACACTCACTGCTGCTTCTGCCTCTATTCTAATGAAAAAAAAAGGTAACGTCCAGACCAGTTTCTATCCTGATACCTGTGGGACAAATCTGAACTATGTTGAGCTGAAGATGAAGAATTTTCAGCCGTTTCTGCTGTTTTGGCTTCTTCAAAAATGGGGATGTGTTGGATCTTTTTACTCATCTAGCTACATCGTACAGCCTAAATCGTCAGTACACTGATACAGAAAGTAAAATTTTACAACATATTTTAAAATTTCTCTATTGAAATGTTTATAAAAGTTTATGTATCTTTATAAAAAGACATTTTCTCAAATTCAGAAGCTCACGTTCTCTCTCTTTGGAGAGGTTTCTGTTTCTGAGTTTGTGGTTTGTGTTGAAATGTTCTGGAAGTTGCCATATCTGCAAACGTGATCACTTTTGTCTTAATGTAAAGTACCATTTTCCTCGTTAATGTGGTTCTGTTTTTTGCTCTTGAGCAATCTACACAGTTCATCACAGCTGGGGTCTAGGCTTGCTTTGTGGAGTTTACTATGCAGTGTGAATAAGATGGGAAATGATGTGGTTAATAAAACTCGGCCTCAGCGGTTTGACAGAGTTCACGACTTTGTATCCTTTTTGTGTTTTCGGCCATCAGTGTTCTTTCACTATAATACCCAGCATGCATTAGGTTTTAAAATACAGACGTAATATACTTAGCAGTAATGATAGCTATCTGGCTTCCTTCTACTTTAGCCAGCTAGTGGGAAAAACACACTTCAGTCAGCGTCACAAAATCCACCCCAAAACAGTTTTTGCACCCCCCCTTCATCAGAAGGTGATTGTGGCTATTATGGCGCCACTGTTGATGAGCAGGCATGCAGACATCTATAAATAGTTTGTAAGTTAATTAACTGGAGTACATTAATGTATTAAATAACAGAAATGTATAATAAATATAATACATATGATAAATATAAGCAAATAAACAATATTGAAACCAAGTAAGGTATAATTTTCCTAAGGGAAATGCTAATAGACTGACATGAAACAGCCTATAGAACAACAGCTAACAACTTTTGTAATGAATGTAATAAATATAAATAAGCAAATTGTAATGAACCTATTAAAAAAACATTAAAAATGCTTAGTTTTACCATTTTTTAACATTAACATTACCTTTCTTGTTAGCTTTGTAGCTAAGTAGTAAGATGGCTAACAACAGGCAGTTAAGCTAGAGGTCTCAGCTAATATCACAGTGTTTACATTAATGCTACCTATATTATTTACATTAATCAGACAAAATTCTCTGCATTGACATTGTGTGAAGTGATATGACTTTTTTGCTAACGCTAGCTAGCTTAATTAGTAACGTAACCTAGGCTTGGCTAAGTTCGCTAACAGAATAACGAATAAAAACTTGCTAGCTAAAAGAATTGTCATATTACTGACCTGAAATTGGTAATAAGCTGAGCACAATTCATAAATTCTTTATAAATATATAAACAAAATGTTTTTCTTCGACCATTTCTGCTGAAAAAGGAACATTATAACCATTACTGGATTTTCGCATTGTACACATCGCGACCCTCGGTTCCTATCACTTCCATTGTAAAGAAATATGAGTTGGTAAGTTTCTGTTCAGTGAAACGTTTCAGCGTTTCATCAAAACACTCTGACTTTGTTTACATCTAATTTTGGTGGAATTCACATAAGACAATGTGAAAAAGTTGAATAGCTATCCGCGTCTCCTGCTTGAGTTTGGTTTGCCTACACAGCACCTAACATAAGTATTTTCTAAAAAGGCGTGGCCACAAATTGCTATATTAAGGCAACAAGTTTTTCATAATTTAATATACTAACCTGTGGCCGTGATATAGTAATTTGTGGCCCCAATATGGTAAATTGTGGCCTCAATATAGCAAATTGTGGTCTCAATATAGTAATTTGTGGCATCAAAATAGTAATTTGTGCCCTCAATATAGTAATTTGTGTCCTCAATATATTTTGTAGCCCCAATATAGTAAATTGTGGCCTCAGTATGTTAATATGTGGCCTCAAAATATTAATCTGTGGCCTCAATAAAGTAATTTGCGGCTTCAGTATATTAATTTGTGGCCTCAATATATCTATTCTTGGCCTCAATATAATAATTTGTGGCCTAAATATATTAATTCAATATATTAAATGTGGCGACAATATAGTAATTTGTGGTCTCAATATATTACTTGTCGCCTCAATATAGTAACCTGTGGCCTCAGAATAGCACTTGTGGTATCAAGATAGTAATTTGTGGCCTCAATATAGTAACCCGTGGCCTCAGAATCGAATTCATGGCCTCAATTTATTAATTTGTCGTCATGCCTCATTAAAAAATAAACCCCATGTCACCTTCGGGGCTTTCAAACAGTAGATCTGTAAAACTACACACAGTATTTCTGGGAAGACCCTGAAGTTTCTTCGGTTAAAGTGAAACTAAAAAAAACCCGAAAGTGGCTCAGCTGCACCATCTGGCGCTGAAGGTGACGGAATCCGCCGCCACGGTCACAGTTTCTCCAGGCTGTTTCTCACATGGGTCCTTACTCCCTACATAGTGCACTACACCGGCCCTGAAACCGGGGCTCCTTCTGCTCCCTACATAGTGCACTAGGACGCCGTTTGGGACCTGGCCCGGCTGGTTCGGTGATGACAGTGCAGTGTTAGCTCAGCTTTCACCACTCCAGCGACAGAAGGTGAGATAACGTTACACTTTTATATGTACACGTTTCATAAGAGTGAAATACAGAAACAACCGAGGAGTAATACACGATAAAAACAAGTAAAAACCAGGTTTGTTTTTCTGTTTGAGACTCGCTTTGCGATAATGGGAGTTAGTTAGCTAGGTTAGCCGAGCCGAGCTGCTGCTGTTAGCCGAGTTCCCAATGGTAAACAGAGCTTAGCTGGCTGACGTTAGCTAACAACTCTGAACACAACTCAGTGTGTAAATGTGTTTTGTTTTAACGTAGTTGGACCAGTAACTAGTTAAACATCCCAGACAGAGTGGAAGGAATGAAAACTCGGTGGGTTTTAGCTTCTAAAATTGAAATTTTACCAATTACTGCATAATTCAGAAGTTGAGAGGTAAACAAAGTCATTCAGAGGGGTTGAAATTTGTTCACAGTGGTGGTGATAGGAACCAGACGTCCACCTCTAAAAGCTCCCTCACTGAAAGTTACTACATGAAGTGGTTATGAAGACTCTGCCTGATGACTGAGACACTGGTTTACAATAGTTTTGTGATAAAATTTGTGATAAACGTATTTTAATCTATTTATTTTAGTCCATTCATGGTGGAGGGATACATTAAGGGTTTTATTTGGCAAAATAGTCCCCAAAGAAAACTATTTTTTTCAGGTTTGTAACTATTTTACCATCAACAGCATTACATATAAAACTCAGAAGGCATGTGTAGGTTCACTGGTGGTTTTGGACAGTGAATAAAGTGGGTATATTTATGTTATAGACATGGTGACCTCTGGTTCCTATCAGCACCACTGTAAAGTCTCTACAATCAACCATTTCACACCAAACCACTCTGAATGACTCTGTTTACATCTCAACCACTGACTTTAAAATGTTGGCTAGAGTTACAGAGAAGTGATCCTCCTGTCATTCTGTAACATTGAGTCTCTCATTAGGTTGTCTTTTTTAATCCCAGGGCCGGGATGACTTCGTACTTCGACGAACATGACTGTGAGCCAACCAATCCTGAGGAACAGTACAGACAGAATGCCCTCCTAGAACTGGCCAGGTACCTGAACCTCCTGACTGGTGGTCTTTAATGGCCACTTTATTAGGAACACCCACCTTGTGCTTCCACTCACTGGCCACTTTATTAGAAACACCCACCTTGTACTTTCACTCACTGGCCACTTTATTAGAAACACCCACCTTGGCTTCCACTTAGTGGCCACTTTTTTAGAAATTCCCACCTTGTACTTCCGCTCACTGGCCACTTTATCAGAAACACCCATCATGTACTTCCACTTACTGGCCACTGTATTAGAAACACCCAGTTTATTGGTTCTGTAGTTCCGCTATACAGTTGTACAGTTACGCACTACAGTCTGTTTTCATGCACATTTTGTCAGCTCCACTCTACCCTCACGTCTACGCTGTACCACTGATTGAGAAAAAATTCAGCCAAGAGAGGCTGTGTGGTCAGGAAGTGACCACTGATGAAGGACTACATGATGACTAACACAAACTGGTCATCAACAGATGAGCTACAGTCTCTAACTGTACACCTGCAAGGTGGAGCTACAAGAGAGGGGTCTCTAAAAAGAGGCTGGTGAGTCTACAATCAGCCAGACCTGTTATAGAGCAACTCCCACTGTTGACCTTTTGGTGGTATAATTGTGTTGAAGGGGAATTACACCAGGTTTGATGAGAAACGTACTGGCTCTGATTTCTTTACAGTGCTGGTGACAGGAATCCCTTTTAAGAAGATCAAGCCCAGTATTGTGGAGTGATGGCGACTGTATTTCACATGTTTGATCTTTGTCTCTTTAGGTCACTAATGCAAGGCTTGGACATAGACTCAGGATGGTTGGATGTTTCTGACTGGGACCAACGCCTCCCCCCTCCTGCAGCAAAAGCGGTGGTGCAGAGCCTGCCTTTGCACCGTATAACCCCACAGCAAGCAGGTAACGGCTTGTTCCTGCCGTCTTTTCCGTGTCAGTGGTCCAGACAAAGGAATGAAAGAAAGATATGACAGCATATGAAAACATCTTTGCTGTGTAGTCCTGATTAAAGTAGTGATTAAAGTTTTTCCCCTTACCCTAAATGTTGTCGTTCAGCTGAGTGTCTTTTTCTGAAAACTATTCACATCCAAATGATTACAGATGCGTGAAGGAGTGACAGAAATGCTTTTCAGTTTATTAGGAATGAGGTTTTTTACAAAAAACACAGTGTTAATTCTGAGTTAGTTCTCGAGAAGCAACTAAAACACACAAAGAAATACATACATTTTAATACACCTCTGGGTAAAGGGGGGGTTCACCTCTTCTGCTTCTGTGTCCCTCCCATTTTATACATCTCTGCATAATCTGGGAACCATTAATTCTAAAAGTGACCTTACTGACTACCATTATGTCCTAATCAGTATATTAATTTCGAGCCATGTCCAGCTTTATCTGGAAAAGTGCTGTATCATTCTTATTCGCCATTTTCCAAAACCTTAGCTCAAAAAAGCCCCCCCCATTTCTATTCTAGGGATGCGCTTATTAAAAAATATACTCAAACGGTTCCCCTTATCTCCGTCCTAGAGATGCACTCATTAAAGAATAATTGGTTATTGAGGTCATGAGGCTGGGATTGCAATGTTATAAGGGTTATGAGAACCATCTCTTTAGAAAGGCACAGTAAAGTAGTGAATATTTCTTCAGTTTTGATCTGGAGCTACGAGGCTAATGTAGCCAACAAATAATGGAAGTTTATACCACACCAGGTAGCTGACAAGAGGATTCCCGAAATCAAGTTTTTCCGTAATCCCTAATAAACTTGCTTTTGTGGACAAAATGTTATCTATAAACATGGACAAAACTACAGATAAAATCCAGGCTTCAGTGCAGCTGATACCACTGTTTTTAGCAATGCTAACAAACTGTTGTCCATGTTTATAGATAACAGTATATCATACATTGTCAGAAACAACATGAGCAAGTCTGTTAAAGATTTCTGAACAGCTTGTTTTCAGGAAAGTGATTTTCACAATGCTAATGTGTGGCTTCTATTACTTGTTAGCTACATTACCCTTGTAGCTCCAGTGCAGAACTACAGAAGCAAACTCCAGACACCAAACCTGTCGCTTTAAGCTGTTGCGTGTAGTCGAGAATTTGGGATTTTTTACCTTTCAGGAACAGGGTGGTATCAACTGATTACTTTAACAGTGCGAAGGGTTTGATGTGAGCTCTGATTTGAGTGGCAGGATTTCCCTCTGACCTGTGCTGTTTTTGTCCAGATAAAGGACTGAAGTGTCCCGTGTGTTTGCTGGAATTTGAGGAGGAGGAGACGGTTCGTGAGATGCCCTGTAAACATCTCTTCCACTCCGGCTGCATCCTGCCCTGGCTCGGCAAGGTGAGCGGCAGGTTACAGAGTTTTATTCGCTCAGTAGTGCAATTCAGACAGTAAAATAACACACCCTGCATTTTTATGGCTGAAACTTGATAAAAATGTTGGCAAAAGTGAAATAGTAATTGTGCCTTGTGCAAAAATTTGAGGACCTTTCAAAGTCGGTGCTTAGTAACATCCCCTTACCAGATAACTCAGCTGTAGCCAGCTAGAAGTCTTTCTAAGTCCCTTTTTATTTTGCAGTATTCTTGGGTCGTCTTTCACGCACAGCATGTTTAAGATCTGCCCTCAGATTTCTAGTGATTTTCAAGTCTGGACTGTGAGGGGCTTTCCACAAGCTTCAGCTTGCATTCTTATAGTAGTTCATGGTGGATTTTAAGGTGTGCTTTGGATCATTATCCTTTTGTCAGCTTCCAGAATTTGCTGGTGTTTATTAGAATCCATTCTTTCATCTTCCCACACAACGTCTCCTGTGCCACTGGCTGTTACACAACCCCAAAGCATTACATATCTACCTCCATGTTTAACAGTTGGCACAGTAATTTTTCCGTGAAATGGTGCGCCTTTCCAAAATGCCTCTGGCTTATCTATGTGTTGTTTTGTTGTTGTTTTACTTCAGATGTTGAGTTTTTGATGAGGGTGCAGGTGAGGTAACCTTTTGATGAAAGCCATGTCTGTACAAGCAGCTTTGTGCTCCCCCACTCCTGTCTCAGCTAAACTTTCCTGCAGATGTGGGAGTTTGCTTTGCCTTTCTGGCCAGCATACCAGCATTTCTCTCTCAGAGTTTTATTGCGCTTGATTTCCACAGTTCCCGTTAACTTCCATTTCTTAATGACATTTCAGGCAGTGGAAATTGAGATCTTGAAGCTGTTGGATATTCTTTTATAGCCTTCTCCTAGTTTGTATATCAGATTAATTTCCAGATCCCCAGCCATCTGCTTAGAGGAGCCCATGGTTGTTGTGTGTAAGCACAATGTTTGAAGAGTCAGAGAACTTATTACGCTGAGGAATTTTCATCAGCTGAAAACTCATAATTACAATTCCTGACCTGCCAAACTGGTCCTAACAGGTCAATTAAGACCTAATGAGTTAAGTTCTGAGACTTTACAATAACTATTTTATGTATTTCTAGTTCTTAAGTTAATTTAATATAAAGAATGAGAATAAAAAATGCTTTGTTTTTAAATAGTTTGCTGCAGAGGTTGTGTTTATTTCTTTTCACTTCAAAAATCAACAAAAGATGTCATTTGACTTGGGGTGCCAAGACTTACGACTGTAAAATCACCACCTTCAGATCAATGCACTGTAATGCATTATAAACACCCCTAACACACTCCTCACTCTGTAATCGCACGACTATATTATCCAACATCAGGAAATTAAGTACTAAAACATTGTGATTTTTGATGCTGAGCAAACACTTAATTTGATACTTTGTTAACCAAAGTTTGTTTTGCAGACCAATTCATGTCCACTCTGTCGATTTGAGCTGCCCACTGACAATTCTGACTATGAGGAGTTCAAAAAAGACAAGGTAAGCAAACATGAATCAGTGAAGGAACCTAAAAGCATCCAGCAGAAGAGCAGTTAAGGTTGTATACAGAAGTTTGGCCGACCCTGGCTAAATGACGTTTTGTTCATTTTCTAAGTGAAAAAAAGTTTAAAAGAAATTCTCCACAGAGAACACAGTTCTGCACATTAATGCACAATTACTGTTCATTTGCTGAATTGAAGATATTGGAGGACAAATAAAATAGAAAATGAGGCCTGTGCAAAAGTTATATTTTATTTTTCCCACGATATGTTAAACTCAGCAAATAAATAGGAACTGTGCACTAAAAAAATGTTTTCATTTAGAAAATCAACATAACTTGTAATTTGACTGGGGTGTTTCAACATTTACATATGACTGCAGTAGCCAAATGTTAAAGACTGAAGTGGAACTGAGGAGAAGGCTTACTTTTCTCACAAACATAGTTGAGTGGAAGTAAAACTGCTATATATAGACACCCTGGCCACCTCATTAGGTACATCTTGCATGTGGTCTACCACTTGTGGCTGAGTTGTTGTTTCCGTTTTACCTAGATGCTTCCATTTCACAATAATGGCACTTACAGTTAACCAGGGCAGATCTAGCAGGACAGAAATTTCATTAGTTGACTTGTGGCAGAGGTGACATCCTATGACAGTGCCATGTTTAGAGTCACTGAGCTAACCAGTACGACCCATTCTACTGCCAGTGTTGGTATATCGAGACTGCAAGGCTATCTGCTTGATTTTATACACCTGTTAGCAATGAGTGTGGCTGAAACACCTGAACTCAATCAAAAGGAAAGGGGTCCACAAACTTTTGGCCATATTGTGTGTGTGTGTCTGTGTGTGTGTGCGCACAGGCATTAGTCCTTTTGTAAAATCTTAAATTACTTGGTTAATTACTCTGTTATAAATGGCTTATTGGTAACTAGGCAAATTGTTTTCTTCATTTTGTTTTACACGCAAATGTTAACGTTGTGTTTTTGGCGTTACATACAGGAGCGGAGAAGACAGAGAGAACACCGTCTGGAGGATCTGCATGGAGCCATGTACACTTGACCTCATCACCACCCCCAACACCCCTCCCTTTCGCCACTCAAATGCACATTTCAAATGCAGGGTTTAATGACGACGTGCTGCCTCAACAGCTGAAAGGCGTGTCATTGATCTGAGGTTGGACCATGCTCTGGAAGCTTCTCTTCTACTTGAAAACAATTAGCTATTTTTAAGAAAAAAAAATGTAAAATACATTTTTGTATGCAAATGCACTAAGATCAGTGTTTAAAGGACCTATGAAGTCTACAGAGTGATAATTCTTTTAATGTCCTGTGATCGTTCGTTAAGAGGAATTTTCTTTAAAAGGTTTTTTTGTGCATAAGAATTGTGTGTTGAGAATTGCTGGCACTGTTATCTTTCAGGTTTATCTGTCTATTTATTTCTGCTTTTTTAATAACATTTGACCTCTTTCAATTTCTCAAAGTGTAAAAATAAAGCTGAGGAACTTGCAACATGTATGTGGTTAGTGTAGTGCACTTCAAACTTTGGTGGTTCCGACTAACTTGGTTCAAACCACTGTGATCCATCTGAGTTGCCATGGTTTTCAGAAACAGCCATTAGTAGGATGATCATCATTGTCTTGGAAATACACCCCAGATCCAATCCTCCAGTGTGTGTAGTAAAAAAATCTACCATTATATATAAATCTATACATTATATGTGATTTATTATTTGTTTCTCTATTATCCAAGTACACACTTATTTAAGTACAAAGCATAATAAGAGAGTAATGGTCAGTCATTTATCATTATTTTTAAAAGAGCTTTTCTTGTAGGTCTTGCTGATCTATTTGAACCTGAAATATAACAGACAGCTTGTAATAACTATTGAGTCATTGCAAAAGTAGTAAAAAAGGTATAAAATCTTTCATTCCATGAAAGCCCCCATATATAGTACCAGTCAAAAGTTTGGACTCACCTTCTTATTCAGTGTTTTTTTCTTTATTATTTTCTATATTGTAAATGAATATTGAAGGCATCAAAACTATGAAGGAACACAGTTCTATTTAAGCAATAAGCCACGAGAGGCCATGCATTACAGTGATTTCATCACAGGAAGGATGTTCTTGGGCACGACGCAAAGCAGCGTCTCCCTTCCCTGTTATAAAATCACTGTAATGCACAGCCTCAACTGGCTTATTGCTTTTATAAAACGGCTGCCAACATAAAATATGATAAAATACAAAACTTTTAGGAAAAAAATGTAAGTTATTAGTAATAATAATAGACAAACAAGTATTCCGCCAAGAAATGTAGTTCCTTTAGAGTAAGCAACCATGGACCGCTGAATGAGGATAACGTTCGATCGCCCATCGCTGTATGCTGCGGTCATTTCATGATTTTTAAACTTTTTGTCATATAAATATGAACATATGAGAACACAGCAATGTTTAATGCAAAAACTTTCATTTTATAAGTACATTTTAGTCCCCAAATCACCACAAGTCTTATTTAGCACCAACTAGCGGCGCCCATTTCTCATGTAGGGCTGAGTCTCAAATGGCTCCCTGCTCCCTGCATAGTGCACCAAGTCAGAATCTAAATATTGACTCCTGCACCACAACGGTGTAAAATTAGCTAAGAAATAGTCATTTGGGATTGTTTAGACTGTTGGCTCTTTTAGCCTGTTAGCTAGCTGACCAGCCTAGCTCTAGTTAGGAACATAAGTTGTCAGCCCTCAGTTTAAACAAATAGAAGAAAATAAAAATCAAGAAAACTATTGAACGATCTGTATTTACACAGATTCTGAGTGTTGCACTATTCCTGTCTCAGTACATGGACTCTGGGACTGACCTATTGTAAGTGATGGTCGACGGGGGCCCCTGTTTGGCTTCGAAAGATTTTCCGCAGGACCATCTTGAAGTGATTCCGAAATTGTACACTGACAATAACATAACACACTGGATTAAGACAGCAGTTGGAAAAGGCCAGCAGCTGGCAGACGTAAAGTGCATAGTCAAGATAAGTGGAGACATCACAGTCTGTAAAAGGCTCCACCTCATGCTCAGTTAAGGTGTGCAGAAATATCACAATGTTATAAGGAGCCCAGCCAACAAAAAACATGCCCGCAATGCAGAAGATGAGCCTTATAGTCCTGTGTCTTTTGTTTCTTCTGCATATGGTTTGAAGAATTCTTATGTAGCAAAAAGCCACGACCAAAAACGCCACGACAAAGAAAATGTTCTGTTGGTATGTAGCGTTAACGCTGGCAGCCATGCTGTCAAACACACAGTAGAAGACGTTATAGTCTACTGGGTCACCCATGACTTCACTGTACAGTAAAGCTGGCATTGCTGCTCCAAAGCTCACCACCCAAGCAAGGATGGGAACAGCTGCAACCCGCTGTCCTCTCTCGCAGTCGGACAGAGGGTGGACCACTGCTACATAGCACTGAATGGTCATCAACATCAGGAACACAATGCGACTGTAGTATCCAGCTGAGAAGACAAAGCTGATACCTTTACAAACTGCATCCCCAAAGGTCCAGCCCCAGATGTACTGAGAGGACCAAAATGGAAGTCCAAGAGTGAACATCAGGTCCGAGAGAGCCAAGCTGAGGATGAAGATGTTGGTCAATGATCTGAGGTTCTCGTAGAGGCCAAGGATGACAAGAACCAGTATGTTACCAACGAGACTGAGGAGAACCACAATGGAAAACAATAAAGGAACTGCAGTGGATCCAACTTGGGCCACAGTTTCCTTGAGACAAAAGCTGAAACCTGTTGAATTATCTATGTCATATTCATATACGCTTTCATATTCCGCCTCGTTAGTGTAATCTGGAAAGCAATGAGAGGATTGTTAAACATGCAACAAACAAGTGATGATTCTACTGCTCAGCTTCTTGAAACTAGAGAATCTATTTCGATTTTGTTATTATTTCACTTTTGATAGCAGTTTATGAGGCTCAACGAAGAGTTTGTATGTATTGCACATGGGAGTGGCACAGAACCAGTAATAAAACAGGTTTTGTGCTGCTTTCAGAACGTGTTTTTTACTGGTTGCGTGCCAAGTTTACTTGGGACAAAGGCTAAAACGTGTTGAATCATTTGTGTAGTGTTTAATTGTAACACTTTCATATTCTGCCTCGGCATTGAGTGCATTGAGTTTACATGCACTCAACAATTCGATCATAATCAGATTTCTGCAGTTATCTGATAATTCAAATGGTCATGTAACCAGCATACTCCAAACTAGAAATCCGATAAAGAGAGCTGGATTTTAGCTCAGATTTTCCAGTGCATGTGTACTCTTACTCTGATTACTCTTTCTTTCTGCGAAAACAGTCTGTACCAGAAATGATCAAGCATCGTTACTGCGAGATGGCAGTAATACACTTTTGGAAAGAGGCTGAAACCAAATACATGCTTGACAAAATGAAGAATTTAAATATTCTTCATCTTCAAGATGATGTTCATAGTTTCGGGCAAAGTGGCGTGATGTTTAAATAAAGCCGTAGCATAAAGTTTGAGTTTTCTATCACATTTACGTCACTTGTTCTTCTGTGAGTTTATTGACTGGTTGCAAAGCGAAAATCTGGTTACTGTCTTACTCGTGTAGACCCGGAGTTTCCCCATCATCTCAAGTGCATATAAACGTGTTGATTGGATTACTGACAAAATCAGGTTTTCTGCAGCTATCGGATTATTGAGTGCATGTTAGCGCACTCAAAGAGACCTGGATTTTAGCTCAGTAATCAGATTTCTCAGTGCCTGAAAACTCTTACTCTGATTTCTTTCGGATTTCTCAGTCTGTTTTTGCTCATGCATGCACAGACTGAGAAATCTGAAAGAAATCAGAGTAAGAGTTTATATGCACTGAGAAGTCTGATTACTGAGCTACAGACTGCAGTAGCAGAAATGAGCAAGCAGCGTTGCCGTGAGACAACAGCAAAACACTTTTGGAGCGACGGTGAAAATGACTACATGCTTGATGAAATGAAGGATTTAAATATTCTTTATCTTCTAGATGTTTTATGTTCATATTCTCAGGTAAAAAGCCGCAGCATGAAGTTTGAGTTTTACATTACATTTATGTCACGTCTTCTTCTGTGAGTTTATGGTTGGCTGCTTGGCTGGTTGCAAAGCAGAAATCTGATTACTGCCTCACTCATGTAGACTTGGAGTTTCCCCATTATCTGATTACTCAAGTGCATATTGATCAGATAACTGACAAAATCTGATTTTCTGCAGTCATCGGATGATTAAGTGCATGTGAAGACACTCATTTAGCATTTCCAAGGTCACATTTGTTACACTTAAAGTAAAGAGCATGATTACGTAATGGATGAATGTACGTACTGCAGTGCTTTAAATGATAACTAGCTAGTAGCTGTCAAACTAGACTCACTGTTTAAAAATAGCTCTACATACCCATTTCGTTTGTCCCCAGTTACTGGTTGCTGTTTATTTCATAGACCACCAAAACCACTTTTTCTTTTGGACTGAACAGAAATGTCTTTTCTCACGTTTCTGTCAGCAGATTGAGGTGAATAAGACTGAAGTGGGTCATTATGCTGAATGTGTGCTGAAGGTAAAGGTGTCTCCTCCCCTAAACTCCACCCCTTAATCTTCTTCCTGTACACACAGCAGAAATCTCAACCTGCAACATTCATCTTTTTACACAGTGCAGATTTCACATAGTACAACAGTCTTTGTACTGACCACAGACAACAACAGCCTGATTGTCCACAGTTTCCTCCATCCAATCAAGTAATGCAGTTTAGGTTATTAATTAATTTATATTAGTTAATACTAATTTATTAATTATATACACCTAAAGCACTTGATCAGTTATCAAATGCTTCATTGGTCCAGTTAGGCCTGTTACAGTGGAGAAGACACTAAACTGTGACCCTTCATGCCTGGCGATGACCACCTCTAGTCTGTTCAAGGATTATCAATATAAGGTCCCCTTTGTGGCTCCAATATAACCACAAAAATTTCATAAAAATGCAAAACAGTTACTGTTGTTTTGATTGGTTAAACGTTTATGAATACATCAGTGTCATGACATTTGCTTTGAGATTTTCCTTGAATGGCTGCAGCCTGATCATCTTCAGTAAGTGTAATAAATGATTAAATGACCTAAATGTCTTCAAGTCCTAAACATGTTTCACAATTTGAAAATTTCAGTTTTGAAAATTTCATCATAATGTTTTGTGTATGTCCATGAAGCTGCTGTCTACCTCATCCTAATGGGGTTATCAAACCCTGGCTTTTGACATTAGTGACATCAAAACCATCGTTTTCCTTATCTTGGAAATTATTAACAACCAAAAAACTGCATGCACAGTAATGCTCTACAATTAAAATGTGAATCCTGCTATGATAAATTCAGCTAGTTAATGAAATGTGTAACAGTATTAGTACTGATTTTTGTTTTGTTATTTTTTTTTAATTATGGTACATTATCGTCTTTTCTATGCATTCTGATGTCTATCCCTGAATTCCCAGAAATCTCTACAAAAGTAAACTGGAAAACTGTGAAAAGGGCAGGAAACTGACATTATTTAATTATATTTGATTAATTTAATTGAAATGTTTAAAATGTTCTCATGAAATGTCATGAGTTCAAACTCTCATAAGTGGTCAAAATTTTAAGTAGATTATTATACATTATAAACAGCAACAAGGCAAATTTGAATGTTTGTTCATTGTCTGATTGCAGGTACTAAATAAAAAAGTGGGTTGTTTTTATTGAGTAAAATAAAGTATTCTTCAGTATAATAAATATAGAGCACTTTAAAGAATTAGAAATCAAAACTAAATTTTATTGGTTAGGACATAGGAGACCCCAGGGCACCGTGTACTGACAGTGACCCTCAAACTGTACTGAACTTTGTATTGAATTGTATGAGGTGGGGAGATGCTGCTTTCCTTATGTAGAGTGCTTCTTTTCCCAGGTAAGGGAATTCTTTTCCCAGTTGGCTGGGGGGGGGGCATTTTTCCCTAGGTGGTGGGCTTCTTTCTCCAGGTCCCAAGTAGGGAGGGGAGCTTCTTTCCCCAGGTACAGGGATCCTTTACCCAGGTAGGGGGCTTCTTTTCTCAGGTAGGGGGATTCTTTCCCCAGGTACAGGGATTCTTTTCCCAGGTAGGGGGCTTCTTTTCCCAGGTAGGGGGCCTCTTTTCCCAGGTAGGGGGAGCTTCTTTCCCCAGGTAGCAGGGGGCTTCTTTTTTCCAGGTAGGGAGGGGGGTCTTCTTTCTTTCTTCTTTCCATAGGTACAAAGTCTAGCTTTGTAATGTTCCTAGAACCCTGAAAAGATCCCTGTTCACCCAATGAATAAGGAATTAGCATTATTATTATTAATTATGGGTTTTTCTCGCTTGGCACTTGAAGATCTCACAGATCTCAATTGTACAACCTAAAATCCACTACAGATAAGTATACTTTTTTCTACTCTGTCAGTTTTAGGAATAGAATGAGTAACATTTCCTTAACCTGTTGGTTTGTGACTGCCCTGCTTCAGATAAAAGCTCTATGTGGTTAATAAGTGGAAACTGTCTGGGTTTAGTGGAAGCCTACAGCCTCATTATGGTCGCTGCAGTCTGTGTGATCAGGCAGTTTGTGGCTTTTACAGTTTTTACGTACTCATATTCAGGTGTAAAGGCACAGTTACCAGACATAATGACCTAGAAACAGCTAAGCTCTCCAGTCAGCTGGGACACTTAATTGACATCATTAAACTGCAAACCTTACCAAAATACCCCACAAAAAACAGCAAGAGTGCATTAGGGAGTAGCTCAGGGGTCAGCAGCATGTGGCTCTTTTACTGCCCTGTTGCGTCTCCACTGCAGAATTAGATTTGTAGGTTAAAATAAAATAATCTTCCTTTGCAGTCAAATAGAGCGCTCTCCTGTTCCACCTTAAGTGATTGCAGCAATAGGCACCATTTAAGGTGGAACGGGAAAATTCAAATGAGAAGCTGGTGAATGAGAAGTGACTTCAGCCTCATAAAAAATTAAACATTGATAGACGTTCTACAAGAAAAGAAAAGTTTCCTGCTGGAGATGCAAGAAAAGCAGCTATAGCGGAGCTAAAGCTTAAAGCAGAGCAGAGTAAGTCTGTGTTTTCATTTATATTATATTTTTATCCTACACTAGGACTTTAGCACATACTGAGACACATTTACAGCCAAGATGGCTAAACATTACTTCAATAAAATGGACATGAAATGTTGTTTCTCCCAAGGTGGATTGATTTTTGTTGAAAGGACAAAATGGCTCTTCTTAACATTTGGGTTGCGACTCCTGGTGTAGCTGGTGTTGAAGTTTAGTAATAGACTTACTTTCATGCAACGTCTTTTCAATACACAGAAGTGTTAACTTCCTATTACCATGAATGTAGCAGTGCTCATATTTAGACATCTTAACAACCTCATAATTCAGATGATCCAGTGACATTCATGGAAAAACATACGTAGGGCAAAATGTCGATTTTTGATTCCTCGATCCACAGTTTCACATGTGTACCAGGAATACATCATAGAAGGCATTACCACCCACAGTGGACAGCGCAGTGGCCGCCCACCGGTGCTTAATGATCATGACAAGCGGCGTCTGGCTAGAATTTTTCAAGAGAAAAGACAAGCAACTCTGGCAGGAATCACATCCACATTCAATGCAGGAGGCCCCACACACATAACCCACAGGTCAGTGCGCGTTGCTTAGCTTCCATGGGATGTGGGAGCAGAAGACCCACTAGAGTGCCTCTGTTAACAACACAATACCGGACACAGTGCCTCGCCTGGGCTCGTGAGGTTGCTAACTGGACTCTAGAGGACTGGCAGCATGGCAGCAGAGATGGTAGGGTTCATGTGTGGCGCAGGCCCCACAAAGCCATGGACACCAGTTGTCAACAGGGCACTGTGCAGGCTGGTGGTGGTTCCGTACTAGTGTGGGGTGTGTTTTCGTGACATGGGTTGGATCCACTGGTCCACCTGAACACGTCATTGACTGTTTCACTGCTTGGTGACCATTTGCAGCCCTTCATGGACTTCATGTATCCCCACAATTATGGGATATTCCCATATGTTAATGCACCGTACCATCAGGCCCAAGTTGTCCAGAATTGGTTTGAAGAGCATTCTGGAGAGTTCCGATGAATTATGTGGCCTGCACGTTCTCCCCAATCAAGCATTTATGGGATGTGGTAGAGCGGTCCCTTCACACCAGAGATCCTGCACCTACAAACACCACAGAGCTGTGGATGGCTGCCCAGACAGCATGGCTGAACATCCCTACAGATGTCTTCTGGCTAGAGGGGGTCCTATACAATACTAGTTCCTTCCTGTCCCGTGATTTTTGGCATGTTACTGTAAACTGCCAGCTCTTCTTGTTTACTGATGTCTGGCTGCGATTTCATATTGCGTCATTGCTATTATATACAAGGGATAATGGAATATAGAACAGTGCTCTTACCTGTATTAGAACCCTTAAGGTGGAGTACCTAAGCTCACTGAAGCACACATTGTTGAACCATGTCAGGTGAAGGCTGAAGTTTGTGGTTTGGTACTTCTGTAATATTCTGAGTGATCTGATCTCACGAGGTCTGAGTCTTTTGAAGTAAAGATGCCCACAAGAAATTGTATGCGGTATATACAGCTACACCCTGAGGTTCTCAATATAAGTTCTCATGATTTTATTATTTAGTTTATTACAGACATTATTTTAGGTATTATCATTCTTACTATTTTCTCTCAGCCAAACATTTATATACAAAATTATTAATGCAAAAAAAAGCATTATAAGAAACTAGCTGACATTTGTCATTGTTTTCAGAACTTTTCTCAAAGTCCCCACCTTCCAGTTTGATTTGTAGCTCTCCAACTCCCTCAGAATCTTCAAAACTGCTAATTGATTTGTTGCACTTACAGTAAAAATATACATCAGATCATTTCTCACACTCACTCAGACGAGTCTGACAGTTGCATAATTACCTCCATTGTTGTCTCTGTATCAGTACATGGAGCCCTGAGAACCCTGAACTGCAGTTTGTGGCTGATGGGTGTCCATGTTGCTTTGCTCACAAAATAGGTTACGAACAAGGATCTTCAGATGATTCCGGAATTTGTCACCAACAATAACATAAAACACTGGATTGAGACAGCAGTGGGAAAAGGCAAGCAGTCTGCAGACATAATAGGCATATTCCAAATTATCAGTGGCATAACATTCTACAAAAGGTTCAATCTGATAGTAAGTGAAGGTCTGTAGAAATATGACGATGTTATAAGGAGCCCAGCTGATAAAGAACACCACCACAATGCAGAAGACGAGTCCTTTAGTCCTGTGTCTCTTTCTTGTTTGAGACTTAAGGATAGTCGGTAGAATTTGTATGTGGCAAAAACCCATTACCAGAAAAGCACTTGCAAAAAAGATGTTCTGTTCATGTAATGCCAACGGTGGTTTTCATGCTGTCAAACTCACAGTAGAAGACGTTAGAGTCTTCAGGGTCACCCATGACTTCGCTGTACAGTAAGGCTGGCATTGCTGCTCCAAAGCTCACCACCCAAGCAAGGATGGGAACAGCTGCAAACCGCTGTCCTCTCTCGCAGTCAGACAGAGGGTGGACCACTGCTACATAGCACTGAATGGTCATCAACATCAGCAACACAATGCTACTGTAATATCCAACTGAGAAGACGAAGTTGACACCTTTGCACACTGCATCCCCAAAGGTCCAGCCCCAGATGTAGTAACAGGACCAAAATGGAAGTCCAAGAGTGAACATCAGGTCCGAGAGAGCCAAGCTGAGGATGAAGATGTTGGTCAATGATCTGAGGTTCTCGTAGAGGCCAAGGATGACAAGAACCAATATGTTACCAACGAGACTGAGGAGAACCACAATAAAGGAACTGCAGTGGATCCGACTTTGTCCATGGTTTCCCTGGGACATATTTCATCATAATCGTCACTATACTCATATGGAAGATCTGCACTTTCTGCATCTGAACTTTCTGCAAAGCAAAGAGAGTAAAGAACAGATCAGTAGTCGGTTTTGTCCTACACTACATCTGTCTGTACAGTGTCGTATTTAATATCATGTGAAGAAAGGAGTTTATTGCTCTGAAGAAAACAGTCATAAATACTTTAGTCAATAAATTTACACAGTACAGTATAATGACCAAACTAGACATAACCTTCGAAAAATGCCTTTAAGTACCCATTTCTTTTGTCCTCACTTATTGTTACACTTTGTCTCAGACCACCAAAAACCTATGTTGCCTCCTCTAAGGTGAATAATTGAAAAACAGTATGGACTCATTTAGATTGTAAAGAATCTGGATGGTTTAAAACAGATCAAAATGTAAATGAGATGCTTCCTCAGGACTGCTGGGACGTTTTTGGAAGGTCCTCGAGACTGTGCTGGGACATTTTTGGAAGGTTCTCGGGACTATGCTGGAACATTTTCGGAAGGCTCTTGAATGTCATTTATGTTTTAATTGGATTTTTTTAATGAAAAAAATATACATAATGCTTACTTAAAAAAAATAATCATTTTGTTATTTTGAAGAATAAAATTAAATGCAAACATCATTGTTCTATAAAAACATTTCTTTTGCTCTTTTGCTGGTGGTGCACACAATGATCAAGGTTACATGCCTGCTCTCACTGCAGATTCTTCACATGTTGGAGCCTAAAACAAATTTGCTAACATTAGGTTTTATATTGCAGCCTCTGGTGATTAAACCCTTAAAATCTCAGGCTTATTACATTCATTGGTCTTCAAAGCCACTTCCCCTCCTGGGTCGCAGGAGGTGCTGGAGCCTATCCCAGCGGTCATTGGGCTAAAGGCAGGATACACCCTGGACAGGTCGCCACACTCACACCTAGGAGCAATTTAGCATCTCCAGTTGGCCTGACTGCATGTCTTTAGACTGTGGGAGGAAACCGGAGCACCCGGCACAAATCCATGCAGACACGGGGAGAACATGCAATCTCCACAGAGAAAGGACCCTGGTCACCCGGCTGGGGAATTGAGTACAGACCCTTCTTGCTGTGAGGTGACAGCACTACCAGCCACACCACATGTGCTGCTGTTGTTGTTTTTGTTAATAATCATAATCATGATGAAATAGCTGAAATTACTGCACAAACTTAAACCCAGAACCAGATCACTAAAAGCAGCCAGTCATGGTTGGAAAGATGGCAGATCATGACTTAATTGTGTTGTGATCTCGAGATAACAATCCAGAAAAGAGCCACAGCTCCTGGCCTCTCTGAACTTGAATTAAATGTAACTGAGTGCGTATTTTTAAGATGCGCCCTCTGGTTGCTGGTGCTGGAATGGCAGCTGTAAATAGCCATGGTAATGCCGTTTTTTTTTCTAAAAAAAAAGTTTTAACAAACGAATGATTGTTTTTTTACATTCCATTTATATCATTTAATTTAGCCCTAGTTGTGACACATCAGGCTCAAAGTTTAGTTAAGTGTTTGCATGATAGTTTGGCCATTTTGGCCATTTTGAGCCATTAGAAGAGTCATTTTGTCCTCTCAACAAAATCTAACCATCTTTGGAGTCACAATATTTAATGTTCATTTTACCATCTTGGCTGTAAATGTGTCTCAGTATGTGCTAATGTACTACTATAGGCTAAAAACCATAAACAAAAACACAGGCTTACTTTGCTCTTCTTTAATCTTTAGCTCAGCTATAGTCGCTTTTCTCGCATCTTTTCTTTGCAAAAGTGGAACAGTTTCTTGTAAAATGTCTCTTAACGTTTGATTTTTTATGATCAGCAGAGCTTTATTTTACTGCAAGGGAGGATTATTTTATTTTTGCCTAAAAATCTATTTCTGCTGTGGAGCCGCAACAGGGCACTAAAAGATCCATTGTCGACACCTGGTTTAGGCTAATGGATCATATAGGATTAAACCTTTCTCTTGCTTCCAGTGATCCAGTGATTTTGGCTGGTAACGGACCAATACCGATACTGAATGTTGGATCGGCACATCCCCAGTTATGTTTTACTAATATTAACTCAGTTATTTTTAAACTGTCACAAATGTAATACATGATAGATCGCACGGGACAGTGTAGAAGATCTGCTTTTACAGTGAAAATAATTCTGATATGACAATATTAAAACTAACGTAGAATCCAAATTTATGGAGCAAATGGTTTACTGTCATTTTCTTCAAGTGATGATTCTAGTGCTCAGCAACTTGAAAATAAAGAATCTATTTTAATTTTGTTTTTAATTTTACTTTTTTTTTTACATTAAATGTCATAAAAAGCATCACAGTGCTAAGCTATGACAGCAGTTCACAAGGCCCAACTAAGAGTGTACATATTGCATGTGATAGAGGCACAGTTGGGTGACACGTTCTCTTGGGATAAAGGCCAAAATGTGTTGAATTATTTGTGCAATGTTTAAATGTAACATATTCTGACTCATCGTTTTCTGGAAAGCAATGAGAGGATTGATAAACATGCAGATCACGTCCATTTAGCATTTCCAAGGTCACATTTGTTACACCTGAAAGATCATGAGATCAATGGGTAAATGTACATACTGCAGTGCTGTTGATGATAACTAGACTAATAATCAAGTGAAAATAGCTAGTAGCTGTCAAACTTGACTCACTGTTTAAAAATAGCTCTACATACCCATTTCATTTGTCCCCAGTTACTGGTTGCTGTTTATTTCATAGACCACCAAAACCACTTTTTCTTTTGGACTGAACAGAAATGTCTATTCTCACGTTTCTGTCAGCAGATTGAGGTGAATAAGACTGAAGTGGGTCATTATGCTGAATGTGTGCTGAAGGTAAAGGTGTCTCCCCCCCTAAACTCCACCCCTTAATCTTCTTCCTGTACACACAGCAGAAATCTCAACCTGCAACATTCATCTTTTTACACAGTGCAGATTTCACATAGTACAACAGTCTTTGTACTGACCACAGACAACAACAGCCTGATTGTCCAGTTGTTCCACCTTCGCCTAACTGTACCTGGCGTCACTAAACTCACCCACTTAGAAAAGAAGGTTATTTGTATATTTGAGTAAAATGTACTATATGAAGCTCATGTGTGGAAGCAAAGTTCAGTCTTAGAAGTTCGTTGCACTTTCTGCTTCTCACAGTTGAAGTAGGACCAAACACATTCAGTGATGTTCAGGTCTGGACTCTGGGGTGGTCAGTCCATTGTTCAGCTTCTTTGTTTCATGTGTCTGTCGCCTTTTCTCAGTGAGGTTCTTCTTGACAGCTACACACCCATAGCGCTGAGTCGTCTTCTTACAGTGGAAGGATGGACAGAAACACCTGTGGAAGTTTTCAGATCTGAAGCAGCTTGATTTTCTCCTCTCTCTCTAAGATGAAAGCTTTAAGTGCTGTTTATCTGATGGGGACAGTTTTGGTGGCTACCAGGTCTTCCAGGTGGTTGTTAGGAGTCATGTTTTCTCTGCAGCTCAATCATTTTTTGACCTCCAGTTTTGGAAACTCTGGTTCTTCTTTGACTTTTTCTTTCTATAATCCATATACAAGGGATTATCTTACATCTAATCGCCCCCAAAATATATTGTGAAAAATGAACAATTTGTACTTAATGGCTTTCAACTGGAAACTGTCACACAGTATTGTACAATCAAACTTAATATATATATATATATATATATATATATGAAAGTATATATAACTTACCCACTATTCCAATAGTAGCCTTAATTTGCCTGCAATATGAACTGGTAGGGTCACTTGCCTTTGACCCTCATATTGTCCGTTTTGCTGTATTAAGCATATCAGAACCTGCTGAGTCATTAGCTGTGTCCTCTATAAAGATGCTATCAGCATCCTTAGCGTTCAAAACAGGAAAACTGAGCTGATAAGTGAGGAAATTTATCAAAAGTGGATGATGGAAGCGACTTCCCTTCAAAATCTACAGTGGAATTTCCCATGATGTGGGAGGAAAAAAAAGCACACACAAGTAACATATATTCTTGTTTATTTATCATTGTTTTTTTTACTGTAATTTAATATAAATCTCTGATCAAAGAAAAGAAAATCATTGAAATGATACATAACTCTTACTTATTTACATAAGTGATTTATAAAATAAAAAATATTCTCTGCATTTTTTTTTCTATTTCGGGTTGTGGTGTTTTGGAACCTCACTTCTTCTGTCGTGTACTCGTGAGAAGCAATCGTGCTGATAAAAAATATTTCCGTATCTTTTTAAAGGCATCAGAAAAATAACTCCTGTTCGGAGATAAAACTTACAGGCAGAAAATACATCACAAAAATAAAGTTCCCTCCTGTCACGCTGTAAGCCGGCATGAAACGATTCCACCCATCGTGACTTTTCTAAACAGCTTCTAACCATCTACATCTTAAAACAAGTTTTTCAGTACGTCAGTTGGCAGGCTCTTAGCTCTGAGCAACGGAGTGTGTTTGGCTAGTACAATGAACAGAGCAACAGAGCTCTGAAAGAAATGTGAGACGTTTGAATAAACAGATCTCCGGTTCTCCTACCCAACTTGGAAAACCCCCTCGCAATTTGGTTAAACAATAGACATGCGATGGAGGTCCAAGTTGCCTTTACAGCAGTTGCAAGGCTTTGTGTTGAGGCGCAATACAATTCCACACAAAAAATATTGGTTTGTAAGAAAAACTTTAGGGTTATATATTTATAGAACCCTCTTGCTCTTCATATCTGGTGGTACTTCACCATAAAGAAGCTTTCCAGCCCAACAAGATTTAAGGAACGTTCACCAGACTCTGGCTTTGGCATGATGTCTGTCGACATCTTTCAAAACCTATTGACCTTCGGAGGTCCAGAGGTAGATGGAAATACACGGTAAAAAATACTTCCTACGCTGACAATTGTTGGTACAACACTACACTTGTTTACATCCTCCAGACTGTGACCTGGACCAAACCAATGATTTTAAAAGCTGGTGGTACCTTAAAAAGTTTGGTTTGAAGATCAAGAGGTGGCAACGGCTGGGACGATAAGTGATCAGGACGAAATGATAGACAAATAAGACTATTTTCATTAACACCACAGTTTCCGACAGAGGAAGGCGACGAAGCCAAAGGCCCAAGTCCATGGTTTCAGACTTTTTGCATCCAGTTCTGAATGCATTTTATCTGTACCTACACACCAGATGATAGATCGGAGCAGAGATGGTTGATTCTTTGTATGGTTAAGTTCTTGGTGTGGTTCAGTTAATTCTTCGTATGCTTCGGTAGTTCTTGACGGGATTCAGCTTTTTTTGGCTATGGTTCGGTAGTTGTTGGTGTGGTTTAGCTGTTCTTGGTGTATTTTGGTTGATTCTATGGATGGTTTGACTGTTCTTGGTGTATTTCGGTTGCCCTTGCTATGGTTTGGTAGTTTTTGGTGCGGTTCGGGAGTTGTTGCTATGGTTCGGCTGTCCAGGATGTCGTTCGGTTGTTTCTTTGTATGGTTTAGCTGTTCTTGGTGTAGTTCGGCTGATCTTGATGTAGTTTGGTTGACTGTATGCTTCAGTTGTTTTTGGTGTGGTTCAGCTGTTCTTGCTAAGATTCTGTACTTCTTGGTGTGGTTCGGTTGAGTCTTTGTATAGTATGACTGTTCTTGGTGTGGTTCAGTTGTTCTTGCTATCTTTCGGTGGTTCGTAGTGTGGTTTAGTTGGTTCTTTGTATGGTTCAGTTGTTCTTGGTGTGGTTTGTCCTTATTATAGTTTGGTTGTTCTTGCTATGGTTTGGTAGTTTTTCTGTAGGTTTTATAAATTGCATGCGTACAGCCTATAAATCTTGTGAAAATAATTAAAGGACATCAAATGCGAAGTAATGTTTCTGTAACTATCATGAATCAGCTTAAGCCTAATGGGTGCTCAGCAATGGAAATAATGAGAAAATGCATGATCACAGATTTGCACCGTGCCGTATTGCAATCTGGTGGAGAAGCGTTAAAAATCAAAACCAATTACATGAAAAAGGTTTGTGGTAGCTACTGTCTAAATATTTGGTTTGAAGTAGGGGTGGGCGATATGACGATATATTGTTATCACGATAAGCTTTTGTATGCACATGGATATTGTTCACAAAAACCACTGACCAACTGCATGTTTCATTAAAAGGAGAGTCCGATACTCCGCCTTGTGGTAGCTGTCTAAAGATTCACACTTTTATGGAATTTGATTCCTTGAAAACGACATGAGTTCATGAGAATGTAACTGGCTCTGTCTAATTGGAGGTAGTGCAGTGCAGTGCATGTAAAATTTCATTAAAAAAATGATTGTACTCAGATTTTGAACTGTAAAAATTTGAAATATAATTTATAATGTGTACTGTATTGCTACTATTTTGTAGCTAGTATGTTAGCTTGCTGCTAGAGCATTCAATCAGGAGAACCGAATGCTACAATATTTGGTTTAAATATTGTATTTTTTTGAATAATGAAATGCACTATTAAACTGAAAATCAAAACATTACAATATTAATGTAAGCCACTCTATTTTTGCTGTTTTAAAAAAAATATCGAATCAACACACCAATGTATCTATGAATGTATCTCTGAAAGTGAAAAGTATCAAAAAGTATCGCGATATCAAAGTCATATTGCCCACCTCTAGTTTGAATGTCCAGTGGTGACTAAGCCTATACAGTGCTGAGTAATAATGTACTGTTTTTGGACTCAATCAAATCTACCATTAGCCATTAAGGCCAGATTTGGCTTGGTTTGGTTGGAAACCCTCTTGAGCTGCACCGTTTACATATTCAAATACTCAAATTCTTTAGCACAGAATGTAAACAAGCCATTTGGGTCAACGAAGTGTGTAATGAAGCCTAACCTATAATAAGCTCATGTCAAAAGCTTTGGGGAGCGAAACAGCACAATCCTTGTTGGGCTGGAATTTATCGCAGTGATGTTTGGTAGAAGACGCTAGAGGGTGCAATTAAATAAAAAAAAACACAAAAAAAACAAATAACAGACCAAAGGTATATCGCAAACCTCCTTAACCAAGAGTGAACGTAAGGGGTATATACACAATACCCATCAAATGTTTGAGGACGCCTAGCTTTGAAAAGTGTTCTTAACACAAATTAGCATGTTTTCTTCGTCCGTTTATAATAATTTAACGTATTAAATAAAAAAACGTTCCCATTTTGTTTTGCAGAAGCAACCTTACTTGTGAATAAAGCCAAAAGCCACTCATTCTGTTGTGATCTCACCACCAAAAGAGTGCTTTGAGCCAATTTTTCCATTTTTTAAAATTTCGGAACAGAAAACGAAATCACTATTCAGGCAAAACCTTCATACCAAGGAAGACATGAGTTTGATGAGTATGAAGCTCATGACTGTTGAAGATAAATGTATGTGTAGCATTAGCATATAGCTGCTTTATGCTAACAAAATGTATGTATTTCTTTCTTGTCTAACTAAAAATGAACAAAGTCAAAAAAGCCAAGGTGACTTCAAACTTGATGGGCAGTGTATGTGTGACCCCACTTTACAGGCAGATCGATGCTAGCTTCGACACTCTCCATTACAAATGCTAACTCACAGAAACAGCAGTAACAGAAGATTAAGGCCCCCAACAGCTTTCTCAGACCTTTCAAACATGGTTTCCCAGGAACCAGCCTGGACACCAGTACAATTCTCGAGTTCAAGTCATTTATACATCTGTTTAAAGATCATCACTACAGCGCCTTGGCACCATTTTCCAGAATGGCATTCAGGTTTCTCTAGTTACTGTGTCCTCTTACTACACGTTAACAGCACTATCCTAAGCCATAGTCACTGCAATACAAAATGTAATGAGCAGAATTGCTTTGGTGGACCATGGCAACAGAATACAAATGTACAAAAACAAAAAGAACTGGCCATCAGTCAAAATAATTGACCACCATGTTGGCTTAAAAACATCACTTTGCATGAAAAAGGTGTTTAGGCTGGCTTTATATGGTGAAACTTTTCATAACAAGCCACACTTTGCGTGAAGTTACGTGAAACATAACTACATAACTACGTTACAGGAAACCAGTTCCTATATGGGGAAACGTTAGCCTAGTTTCCTACACATTGTAGCTTTCAGCCTGTATAAAATCTGTGAAATTTATTTTACATTGTGTCTTTCTATCACTTTTGCATCACTACATAAAAGTAAATCTTTTATATCACTTTTTCAAAAATTAAAAACCCAGCTACAAAGATCAACATAGCAAGCTAAAATTGCAAAAATTCCAAACCCAAATACGACCAGACTCAATAATATGTCAAAATACCACACCAACAATGTAGCATGTGTAGTATGTGGTTTTGGATACAGTCCTATTTGCTGAAGACAGCTGATTCGTCATCTTGGTTGTCGCTCAGGCTGAAAGATAAATTGTTTTTATATCGAAATCGGAGTTTAAGAAAGAGTAATTTTCAAATTTTCAAGCAAGAGCTGCAATTTTTCAATTATAGTCTACATTATCAAAAATGCTGTCTTAAGTTTTAAGTGGGGAAATTTAACCTAACGAAATGGAGCTGTAGATAAATTAGGCCAAACAAAAGCAACCAAACCTCCATGTGTTGTGACATCACAACCACGACTTACTGGCACACTACAGGTCAAGCCTCAAGCCAGAAAAGGTGTATATTCTGGCCTTCTCGGCAAAAATAAAAAAACAGACCGGAACCTTAATTTAAAGGAAAGATGAACAATTTAAACCATAGTCGCAATATTAGTCGCAATTATTCAGCCCTATTTGTCACCATTCCAGCATCAGAGACCGCAGTCGCATGCAAAAGTTTGTAAAAATGGAATATAAATAATGTTGGGAAAAATTGCGCTTGGCATTCAAGATATAAGTTATGCATTTGTTTGAATTAATTTACTGATGTCTAAATAAATCATTTAACAAAGTAGAATTAATGCAGGTGTTAGCTTGCTGGCTAGCTAGCTACCGAGCTAGTTAAGCTAAGTAGTTATCAAAAATATACAACAATTATTATTAAACAACCAAACCTCTATTTCATTTTACCATCCATAATGTATCGATGGAAATCAGTCTCTTGAAATGATGCCTGTTTATGTGACTACATGATACATTCTCAGCTCAGCTATTGGCTTGTTTCATGAAGCTTAGACATTTCCAACTGTTGCAGTTGAGTTTCAAACAAGTTTCACGCAAGTTGCATGGAAGTTGCACCATGCAAATCCAGCCTAAAACCAAGGAAAGATCAGCAGTCACCTTATGGTAATGAATACAACTCCGAAGAACAGAGGGTGGGTGTAGGTAACTGCTGAAGCCTTATGGGTTAAAAAAAATAAGTAAAATAAAATAATCACTGACATGGAAAGATATGGACGCTTGTGAATAATGTGTATCATGCCTATAGCATAGAGAATAAAAAAAAAAACTATATTGATATAAACACAGGCATGTTAATAATTTGCAGTGAAAAGCCGTGGTTAACAATAACCAGAACAAAATGGTTATCCATGATTCCATAGGGAAAGATGTGCAAGATTAGTATCAAGACACGCTTTTCCTCAATTTCACGCAACCTATTCTATCTTATTCTTAGATTGTTTCGCTAAATTCATACGTGTGCACAAGTCATACAAATACAGTAACATCCTTAACTATAGGCCGAGCGCCACTCACACATTCAGAATATACTTCCGTCTCAGTAGATCCATAAAACAAAACACAAAAATGCTTAATTTCTATTTCATTCATCGTGTAACGTGCAAATACTTCATTGTCGAACAGTAAGGGGCAAACAGTAACAAGTTCCAGCAGACCGAAGGACCGCCCCTTTTACCATAACAACCCCCTCACCATTCCTTCGGTTTCTACAATCCAGGCAGCAACGAACAAACCTCACAAACTATGTGCATCGAAAAACTCGCCGAAGCTAAGCCAGCTTGACCCATAGGTTCCTGACCCCGAATGAAATGACCAATCGCTTTCTTTTTGGCCCGAATATCATACCTCTATTACACCAGTGGAGAAGTCAAATCTGGACCAAGTGGAAATGACCTGACGGAACAAATGCCACTGCGGACAGCAGTAGTGAAAAAAATAGTTTAGCGTAAAAACAAATTTACGAAATTTTCCCTTTAGCTCAAATATAATCAAAGAGCTAAGACATCTGACCTCCTGTTATCTGTATAAATGGACAAATGTGTCCTAGCATGGCTAAAAACGGCAGTCGTGGTCATGAAGACTACACTTTTGTCCATGTTTATAGATAACAGCATCATACAGTGTCAAAAACCACACATGCAAGTCTATTTCTGAACAATTCAGGTGTGCAATGATTTAGAAATGATGCTAATTGGTGCGGTATAAGCTTCTATTACTCGTTAGCTTCATTATCCTTCAGTGCAAAACTAAAGAATCAAACTTCAGACACCAAACATGTCTCAGCTGACTGATTACATCTGAAGGTGGGGAAACTGCATAAATTTAATTGTTCGCCAAACTATTTTGTGAAAAGGGTGGTTGTTGACTTACCCGCCTCAAGTTAGGCCAACATATGCTCTGTACTCCAGGGTTACCCCTGCACTGCACTAGTGGTTTACCTTCTAAATCATAACTCCCAGAGCAATGCACTAGTGTTGTGGAGCCAGAAGTGATCTCGTAATGAGAACGCTTGGGGACAGACATGAGAAATTTTGGGCTAAATGTGGGAGGGAATGTAGACCTATTAGGGTAGGAACAAACAGTGAAACTGCTAAACCAACCTAATGCCCAACACCCAAGAGCTCAAGGTAGGGGCCGATGGTGCACTCATCAACACCGCCCAACGGACAACAAGACTGTTGTTAGCCCATGGATGTAGGATTAAGTTAGCATGGATGTCCAAAAAAGTACAGATGACATCATATGTGTGTCAAAAATAAACACTACCTTTTTCCGCAGGAATGCAGTTCCGTTAGCTAACAATACCGATTCGCTAGCTAGATTGTTTTGCTTATCAACTGAACTCCAGCGCACGGACCACAGGAATTGGTGGGCGATGTTTAGAGAGGCCATACCCTTGTTAGCACCATGATCTGGCACCAAAAGTTTAACAAGTTGTCCCAAGACGTGTATTCTCGTTACGAGATCGTGCCTGTGCAACCACTAACCCACAAGTATTCTCAAGTAACTCCGGACCTTAAATCTAGTTTCTAGTCCCTGGATTTTGTAATTAGTGGTACTCAACAGAAATGCTGTTTAGCTACCTGGTGTCATACTTGATGTGCTGGATCAGGTATACTGGAGAGAAAACTGAGACAGTGCAGAGCAGAGGGTACCCAAGAATGGAGTTGAGAAACTCTGTTCTGTGACACAAATTAACTACCAGTGATTACAAAACCCAAGGCCAGAAACTGAATTTGGGGTTGAAGAACTCTACACCAACCCGTGCAAAGCAGGACTACTCTGATATCAGAAAGAGTAAACACTGCTTTTCGCCCTCTATGGGTTTGTCCTGTCACTCAGCAACTTTTCAGGCAGTCTTTGTGATTCTAAAGCATAGCTATGCTCTCCGGTGTGCAATTCAAATGTGTTGAGGTGCTGCTCCCTCCGGGTGACTTCAGACCCTTTGAAGCTCCTCCCCCGAGGCCTCCAGACCCACCCCTGAGAATGACGCTGGACCCATGAGGAAGGTTTCTCTGGAGGCCGGCCATCATAGTCTCGCTGGTGACAGTGCCAAACTCGTAGGTGAAAGTTCCGTAGAAGACAAGGATGACCACAGTGAAGACCCACTCGCAGATGGCTGCGGCGTGCTGCAGGACGAAGCTTTCGTGGATGAAGAAGATGCCACCTGAAGTCAGAAGTTATGGAATGTAACAGCAGAAATGCTGACCTAATAGGCGAGCCTAATCCAGGTGTTGTTAAAATGGTCCTCAGGGACCCCCAGACAGTCAAGATTTTTGCTCCAACCTGATGTGCAACATAGAATAGAGCAAAAAAGTGGTCTGGTTTGAGAACCATCAAAATAGAGAAATGTACCTTCAGTCTTATAAAAGATTTTATGCCAGATTAGCAACAAATTACAACAGCTGTATGCAACAGTTTGGACACCCTCTGGTCAAACTACACATCTTGTTGATTTTCTACATGAAAAGACGAGATCTGCATGGAACAAACTTAAATATGTCTGCAAATATTAATGCACAATTCTTGTTCATCTTCTGAATTTAACATGTTGGGGGAAAAAACAAAATAAAATGCGGTGTGTAGATTGGTCACTCTTTTAGTTGCTCAAATAGGGTACATTTTTTTTTCCAAAGTTCTAGAGGTTTTTTGACTCATTAGGCCTTAATCCAAGTCAATTTCAAAGCATGATGAATTGGCGACTCTTTAAAGCAAGATGTTGTGCCTACACGTATGGGCTCATTTGAGCAGTTGAGTGAGGAACTAAAATGACAGTAACTGATACCTGCAAACCTACGGAAGACCATCCTGCTTGAGACAAGACAAGATCTTGAAGACGTTGAAAAATCTCTGAAAAACTCCTCTTAAACTGGTCAGGTGAGCAAACACCCACACCACTGCCAAGAACCAACAGGAAGATCTGACTGACATTATAAAAGCGATAGCCACTGTGTAGTGTTCCATTGTTCCAAGCTTCTATTACTTATTAGATACATTAGCCTCACAGAATCAGTGCAAGAAAGAAGTAAACTTCAGACACCAAACATGTCTTGGCTGACTGACATTTGGGTTAAAGGGAGGAAACTGTGTAAACCTGGTTTATTGCCAAACTGTTGCTTTAAAAAGGCCTAAAGATGCCTCAATTAATTATAAATAATACTGTGAATCCTTTTATTGCAATAAAATTACTGCCATCTAAAAACTATCCTCAAAAGACAATTCTGCATGTATATGAAGTGTTGTTCACAGCACGAACCATCAGCTGCGATCATGAGCCTCAGTATGTGCTCCTACACTGGCAGTCACAGCTGCTCTCTGAAGGCTCCATGCTAGGAAGAAAACTCATGCTTTATTCATGGAGAGACTGGTTAATTATCCATCTACTCCCACCCATTAGCATCTTCTCTTCCCCCACAGTTACCTACTAAAGTCGCTTCTGCTGTCCCTGTTTCTACTCAGCATAAACAACTTCAATTAGTATTTGTAAGGTTTTAATTATATGCACTGTACTGTGCAGAAGTCAGAGACCAACCTTCATTTATTTAATTACCAGTCAAAACAGCCATTAAATACTTTTAAGTTATTAAGTTATTCATATCTCAGTGTCAGGAACAAAACATGAAAACATGCCTTTAATAGAAACTGTATATAATATCAACTTTTTCAGTATTTAGTTTGTCTACCTTTATTACAGCTTCTATTCTTGTCAGGAGACACACTTTCAGTTTTTTCGAAGAAATCTGCAGGGATATTTTTCCACTCCTCCAAAGTTCAGTCTTAGAAGTTGGGTGTATTTTGTACTTCTCACAATCCAAGCAACTTTTGTAAAGTCCTGTTTTTCTACTTATTTTTACTTTAACTTTGACATTCCTTACACAAGTGGATTATCTTAATCTTAATCTTCTGTACTGCATGATTAACAAATGTTCAATAACACAGACCAAACAGAGGTCAAAAGTCCTAGAAAAGATGGAGTACGCTACTAATTAAAATGTAGCTGGAAGCAATGAAGAGGGTGGAAAACTCAAAACTGGAAATTCTATCAGCTTTTGAGTTATATTTAATCCTGCTATCTACTTAACTTCTGCAGCTTGAGACACTTTTTCTGTTTATTTTTTATCTTGCTCACTGTTGTGGACCTCTAAGAAAAAAAAAGGCCACGCAGTGCACCTCATGTTTTTCAGCCTTCAGAAAAACCCCAACCTGAACACTTGCCCCTATATAACACACTGTTATCTACATAAATTACATCTACTATTGCCTTTAGTTTCAATGTACTCTTGTTCATTTCCATAGAGCACAACTTCAGGCATAAAACACGTCCACAGCTGATCAATTACATTCTGAATAAGTAGAAAAATGTCTAAATTAGATTTAGATCACTTTAAGACCCAAGTTTTAGAAGGATACTGAGGACGAGAGACACCAGGGATCCGGCGGCGAGAGCAACGCGAACGTGGGCCATCCAATAGTCGAGGGCAGTGACGGCCACCCGGTAGGTCAACACACACTGCAGGCATACGAACACCATGCCGGCAGGAAACGCCACACCCGCTCCCACGTAGTGAAGGGTCTTAGCGTGGTCCACCTGCTCACAGGACAAGAGGAACAGCGCTGTTTAGAGTGAGATTATAGTTGATTAGCTGATTATAGTTCAATGGCAATCTGTGACTGGTTTATCATATTGGATCCAGAGTAAAGAGCTCTATAATACATTTTCTTATATATGCAAATGTATGAATATATGTATGTGTTGATATTTGTGACATTACAAAAACAATCAATTCAAAACCAGGCATATGTATGGACTGTGGGGTGAAAGGTACCTTTTGAAGCATGTTTTTATGTCTACATCAAATTCATATCTTAAAAAAAGTGAGGACAATGTGGTTTCCTATTTTATGGACCATATTGGATTATCTAGGGTCAGTGGCTGACAGTGAGGTGTCCATTAACTTTTAGAACAATTTGAAAGTGAAAAAGTAACCAAATTTGTGTACAGCTATAAAAAATGCCTATTATATTTTAGTAATTACAAGTATAATCAGTTGTGTTGCTACAAGCAGTGCACAAACAGCGTTTTAATGAAAAATTTGGTGTGGATGAAACGCTGAATCATTTATTAATATGTTATGGTCACACAAAGTCAGTTAAGGCTCTGAAACATGTTTTGAACTGTTCTGAATTTTAAAAGAGTTTGGTAGATTGATTGCTGTTCAGTCAGTGGTTACAAATGAGGGGGCTTCAATCATGGACACTATGCATGGTTTGTAGGATCAACCAAAAAAAAAATGCTTAAAATTAGCGGCGTTAATAATTTATGGCATTAACAGGGCATCAATGGCCTCTTTTCCACTGTCGAGCCAAACGGTGGTGTGGACTCGTGAGACCAGTTATGGTTTCTTTTTCCATCTGTTGTGCCGCTAACGCCCGAAACACCAGGACACATTTCATAACGCAACGCAAGCTGCATTGTGAGCATTACAGCAAGGGGCGATATAACAACAGCCAAGTGGTCTTCTATCACCAGCGTGCTTTCTCAACTGCCATAGCAGACATGCAGTTGTGTCTCACGCAAAGATGGCTCACATAAACATAAAAATATAATACATTATCGCCTTTCCATTCCAATAGAAGGGGTAAAGCAGCTCACTCTCCTCTACTTGTCCATATTTATCTGTTGAAGCTGTTGGAATAACAGTACATCTAGGGTTGGTTTATGAGGCGACTGGATACTTCCTATTTCCCCCATTATATCAAAAACATTGACTACAAAATGCTAGAGGGTGCCCGTGAGCAAGTCCTCAATGAATGGGAGAAAATTCTGCTCAATGGCCAATAATGAAAATTTAAAAGTTTCTCATCACTTGCCCAGAATTTTCTTTTCATTTTAGAAAGTAAAAGGATACAAAGCAAAGAAAACTTACATGTATGTTTCCTTTTTTCTACAGCAAACGGGTTTTGGGCAGCAGGACGCTAACATTACCACTACTGAGTGCTGATTGGCTGGCAAGAGGAGCAGCTCATTGGCTGTTCGTGCTCACTGATGTCATGGACGTAATTGAGGCACCATTTTAAACTCCTATAACTCGAGTTCAAAAGTGTTTACACTACAGCCCAGAACAGTTTGAATTTCAGCTTTCTGTCCCTCCAACAACTGTTTGCTTAGAGTTGAGTCATTATCATCAAAACTTGTGTCAGTAAAGCTTCTGTTAGTCAGAATCTAACCTGTTCTGTGGTGAGCAGAGCTGGCAGTATGCTAGCTAAGCTAATGATAACCAGCTACTCTCTCCAGGTTATCAGCACCATTTAACAATTAAAAATTGGTGTTAGACTGAAGCTTTGACGTTTATTGAATGGTGTCCGGCCCTCCAGTGGAGAAAAGGCCAATGTGACCGAAAATTCAGGCTTTACTGCTGCAGAGACTGACCTGGAAGTTTCCCACCATGACCAGACCCACTGCATTACTGAAGCCGGACACCAGGCCGCTGGTGTTTGTCCAACAGTGATGATTGTGCTCGATAATCTGAGCATAACGCAGAAGACACACCATCACCACTACAGATAGAGACAGAGAGAGAGACAGAGACAGAGAGAGAGAGAGAGAAATAAGTGATTTGATATATCAAATACACAAGGATATATACAGTAAATAAAATATAAAGATAAAAAAACATAAATCATAGGCATAAAAGAACAGGACAAGGGCCCATATCCTATTTTATTGAGGTCCACCGAAAGGTCATAACGCAATTTACACGACCATTTTCCAATCTCTCTTTATCCCTTAAGATTAAGCAGTTAGGTACAGTAACCAACCTTTAAGCCTGATATATGCAAATGAACTCTGTTCTGATTGGCTGCCCTGTACTGCACCTAATTCAAAAAGCAGTCTAGGCTGAAACACTCCTTATAACTTCAGTGTGAGTGGGCAGGGCTAAACTGCTGTAGGCTTACTAGGTGGACATATGTAAACATGGTGGCTTTTGTGATATCACAAAAACTAATTCAAAAGATGAATTAAAATCGGGCTGGATTTGCAGATCACTTTCCATATTTAAAAAATATACACTGCAGTGAGATGGCAGCAAAGTCCTTATAGAAAAGTCTGTCTACTCATTGGCCATCTTGGCAACGCCACCAGACAGTTATTTCCAGTCTCCTATCTCTCTAAGAGAGCTTAAAACTCAAAACTGAAGGCCAAATCACCATTTAAAAGACATATTTGAAATCACTCATAAAATGTGACTAAACCCTCATAAATAGCTTGTAATGTTTGGTTTAAAAAAAATTCACAACAAATGTGATTTTGTCATGTTGTTTTAGCCAATGTGCTTCCTGCTCATGGCTTTACCAGCGAACCGACTGGCTTTATGCAAGCGTGGGACTTTCCCCATAAACAGATGACACATTGAGCATTACAAGCTTTCACTTTCATTTTCCAAAGGGATCTGTCTCCTTCTTTATAACGTCTTGATGCCAGTCTTACCCATGAAGGCTCCTACGTTTCCGATGAGGCTGAAAAGGCAGCTCTCTGGTGGGAAGGAGCCACATTTACTGTAAAAGAAGCCAAAAAACACACAAGATTAAACATTTAAACTCAACAGCGCCTTCCTTAAAGATATGATTAAGAGTCATTCAGAGTGGTTTGGTGTGAAATGGTTGATTGTAGAGACTCTGATTTCTTATGTCAAAAGAATCATAAAACAATGTCCAGACATCAGGCAGTGTATTCATAACCATTTCATGTAATAACTTTCTGTGAGGGAGCTTTTAAACTCTTCAGACGTCTGGTTCCTATCATGACAGTGTATTCCCACTTGAAAGGGTCAATCTGAATGAGTGAGCTAAGATGACAAACAAGACATGTTTTGCATTATCTGTCATATGCACTTCAGTTTGGCTGATAAGTAAATAGCTATGTTAGCTGTAAAATTAGCTATCAAACACGACATTGACAGGACATTTTTCCTCAAATTTGGGTGCACAGTTTCTATTTACTGAGTTTAGCATATTGGGGAAAAAAATAAAGCATAAAATAGAAAATGTGCCATAACTTTTCCACGGACCCCTTTTCCATTTTATATATTATACCATTATTGTACATTAAAATGTTCTCCGTAGAGGAAGAGTGGACTTATTTTCACTTAGCAAATCAACAAAACATGGCACTTAACTGGAGTGTCCAAACTGTTACACACGACAGTAAACATATTTGTGCTCTTGATCGATCCGCTCACTGTTGTGCGAGTGTCACCTGATGAGCGGGATGTCCTGAATGGTGCAGCATGTTTTGGGGAAGCCTGGTTTGGCCGTCTCTTCTGAACACGTCACGTTGTAGGACCTTCAGATGAGAACATCCATGAAAACCTCGCAGTCATCAAGCAACGGAAAAACTCAATCATGACATACATGAAATCTTCTTACCAGTTTTCCACAGGACACACGTGGTGGTTCATCACGGCCATGGCGTATCTACGGAAACAAAGTGTGTCACAATATAAGCAGGTAGATTTGACAGCTGAGGTCAGCACACATGATGTGAGACTGCAACTGTGTTATTATTGTATATCCTCATGATCACAAATGAATAAACAGCACTAGTACTGAATGTTAAAGGTGCTGAAACATCTTTTGGAGTCAATGCCAACGCCAACTAGAAAGGGAACATTCGTGAAGGGGAATTCCAGATTTTTCAAAATTTAACTGCATAATTAAATTGTTAAAGTGTAGACAAAGTCAGTCAGAGTGGAGTGGACTGGTGTGAAATGCTCTGTTTTAGAGAAACTTACAGTCAGAATCGTTCACAGTGGTGGTGATAGGAACCAGACGTCCACCTCTAAAAGCACCCTTGCTAGCTGCTGCTATGAAATCTCAGGTGGTTGCTAAGATGTTGCTATGTTATCCCAGGTGGTTCCTAGGGTGTTACTAGGCCATTGCTATGGTATCCCATACATACTACGATTCTGATGCCAAGCATGCTAACCGAGCTCATACTTATAATGACCATGAGCAGTGTGCTGTTAATGTAACGTAACAGGTCCACTCACACTCAAGGGCAGACGATTGGGCTATTATAATACTTTTCCAAGACATTTTTACAATGTAATGTATGTATTGCGATAGGAAATGTTCCTCAAGATTTGAAGAGAAGGTAAAAAGGACAAAATCTACTGGCAAAACGGTTTAAAAAAGCCAAAAAACTGAGTACAGTGACACTCAGAAAAGCATACTGTGATATAATTTACATATCGGTCCTGTCTTCCACCTTTACTCACACTATCCATATTCCGGTGATGGAGAAGGCAGCCAGGCTGACAGGCAGGACGATCCAGGCAGTCATTGGGCTGGCGCAGAGGCAGCGACGTCCTGTGCATGAGGGGTAGGAAGACACAGGGTGGAAGAGGGGAGCACAGACGGAGACAGAGCGGGGGCGACGAGGGGACACCGACGGGCCGGGACACACGGGGGAGGGACATGAGAGGAGCACGGGGAACGGCACGGTGCTTTCTGCTCCCTGCCAAAGCCCAGGCACAGGTGGTGTAGCGTCAAAAGCTGAGGGAGGACAGATACACAAAGAATAAACAAACATTCACGTTATTACATTTTCCCATCAGCTAATCTGTTTGTTTGGTGTCTGAAGGCTGTAGCGGAGCTTCAGTGGGTGCTGGGCACCCATGGCCAACTATGCAGATCCTACAATAGAGTAATATTATTTGGAAAATACTCGTTTATATTAAATAAGTACCTTACAGAACAATTTCTGGCCATTTTACATCAAACTGACAGCAGCTAATCTTCATACCACCGCTCTGTGGAAATATTAGTGACCAAATACAAAACTCAGTGGCAGTAACGTCAACCAATCGGCACTCAGCGGCTGTAACGTCAACCAATCAGTACTCAGTAACAGCCACCCCCACCAATCAGCACTCAGTAGCAGTAACATTAACCAATCAGCACTCAGTAGCAGTAGCAGTAACATTAACCAATCAGCGCTCAGTAGCAGTAAGGCTAGCCAATCAGCACTCAGTAGCAGTAGCAGTAACATTAACCAATCAGCGCTCAGTAGCAGTAAGGCTAACCAATCAGTGCTCAGTAGCAGTAACGATAACCAATCAGCGCTCAGTAGCAGGACATGCAGTTGGCATGATGCTAACTGCTGGTGTACAAGCTTCCAATACTTGTTAGCTACAATAGCCTTGTAGAAGTACATCGACTACATTTGATTTTCTGCCATGACTTTTGTTCATTTTTCTCCAGTTATGAACGTAAAAATCAGAGCAGCCACAAAGCAGCTGTCCAGACGGAAAACCTGTCAGTCGAGAAACACTTTTTACTGTATAAAAATAGCACAGCTCTGAGGTTCTTTGTGCATTTGAAAACCACCTTATGAATGTGGAACAAAAACCACAAACAACATAGAACATGTTATACCGGCTCACTTCTTTTGTCTAAAATGAGCTGTTCAGTATGCGGTAGTGGACACTGTGACCTAATAATAGTTTCCCCGTCCGGTTCTTGTAGCTTCCCAGCACTGCATGATTTAGTATTTCCTCCTACAGTTAGAGCTCTTCATGAAACAAAACTGCACTATATGTTGTAGGGAGCCACTTTAAAGTGATTATCAGTTCATTACTAAGCTCTTTGTAATGGTAAAATGTTTTAGTTATGCGGAGTTGTAGAGTTTAGAACTGCAACCTCATTAAAACCACAATCTATTTAACTTACTCAAAACATGCAGCACACTGCGCTTATATACACTATTGGGCCAAAAGTATGTGGACACCTGACCATCACACCTATGTAGATTTGTTGGACATCCCATTCCAAAGCCATGGGCATTAATATGGAGTTGCCCCCTCTACAGCTATGCTGTGTGGGTCTGTGGGAATTTACGCCCATTCAGTCAAAAGCGCATTTGTGAAGTGATTGTGACTGTGATGAAGGACAAGAAGGTCTGGCTCACAATCGACGTTCCAGGTCACCCCAAAGGGTGTCAGGTCAGGTTCTGTGCAGGCCATTGGAGTTCCTCCACACCAAACTCATCAAACTATGTTTTTATGTAGCTCACTTTGTGCACAGGGGCTCAGTCTTGCTATTTTCTCAATACACATTTACTGCTGCACCAAATATTCGATAAAAATCAAAGCATTTGAAAATGGAAAGGAAATTTGAATAACCAGCACCTGTTTTTAAGAAAGCACACAATTCAGATCAACATTGTTTTCGCAGCTAAACACTAGCCAGTAGCAGCACATCTAAAGAGACCACAATAAGCTGCCTGCACATAATCCAAGAGTTTAGCATCATTTAACACATCTGATTCAACTTCGCAGTTCATTCTCGAATCCTTCATGAGGAAAAATGGGGTAAAATGAGTGCTTCTGGTTAGTAACTCATTTCTTAATATTCTCAGAATGAGCAACAATTAGCCAGCTGGTCCGCTCTGATGTTTACGGCGGCATTTTAGGGCCACTGTTAATAAAAAAAGAAAAACAGTAGACTTTGAGAATAAAGTCGCAACATTGCGACCTTTCCTGGTATTAATGCCACATTATTGTTGTAATCCATACCTGAAGATATTTGCTTACAATGACGATTAATTACGATTAATTAATGTACAAGCCCAAAGTGGCCCAACTGATCAGCTCTCCCGTTCGCAAGCTGTCGACACAACAGATGCAGCTCAAACTCAAATAAACAAACAAACAAACATCACTCACCGCCGCCCTCTAAAGCTGAGAAAAGGTACTACTGTTGCTTTCATAAGAACCTGATGGGTCTCAATAAATGTATTTTCTGCTTTCTTTTATTCAAATGTATTTAAAATGCACCCAACAGACATTCTGTTTGGTACAATGGACATTATTTTGAAATTTAACAACTCTGGATTATAATTGCCATCAGGCAATTATGTGGTAATTGTGACTGGCTTATTTGTCGCATGTGAGACTCCATAGAAAACTAGAAAAGTCAGTTAAAGACCTGAAAAAGTCAGTTAAAGACGTCAAGGCATCAAAGTGTTGCAAAAGTGTTGCCATGGCATCCCAAGTTGTTGCTAAGGTGTTGTGTCACTGCTATAGTATCCCAGGTGTTGCTATGGTACCTCAGGTGGTTGCTAAGGTGTTGCTAGGCGGTTGCTATGGTATCACAGATGGTTGCTTAGGTGTTGCTAGGCAATCCCAGGTGGTTTCTAATGCTTTGTTCAGACTATATGAATTCAGCCTGAAATTTCCAGCGTCAGACCCGCATATGAGTGTTCTTTAAGTCTGACATAATTGAAGAACAGCGAAGTGGTGTCTGGGAAGCTCCATGACACCCTGAAGAAAAATTTGTTAACCACTAGGATGACAAAGCGCTGTCTGGCGCACATACGTAAATATGGAGAACAGAAAGAGGGATGCTGCTGTCGCAGCTGTCAGGTGGAACAACGAAACAGAGGAAAAGTTTGAGCTGCGGCAACAATACCGCTGTCTTTCTGACGTTTCCTCAACGAAGCACCATGACAGAGTCCAAAAAGATCAAGAACAGTGAACAACAGTGTTTAAAGCGTTTACATTCAGCGAACCTGGTGGCTATATTAACGTAACGTTCTCGATATGTTAACACATTCGCTGCCCCAAGTTCCTTTTGAACAACAGACAGTCCATACTGTCCTCTTCAGGACACAGAGGAAAGGGTCCACAATCACTTTTTCTTTCTGTGCTTTTTTAGAACACAAAAAATCTCACATGCTTTTGTAGCTATGATTGACAGTTTCTTTACCCTCCTCCCACACAACCTATTAACTTGTGCAAGAACATGAACGATGACTGGTCGGCATCAAACTTGTAGCGTTGCCAGTCTGTCGACCAAGACACAGCAAGACTGTGAGAAGACTGAGAAAAAATGCCGGTATGATTGCATAATATAACACAGTGACCATCGTGAAAGACAAAAATATTGCACAGTCTGATCCTGGCATTGCTAGGCGGTTGCTGTGGTATCCCAGGTGGTTGCTAAGGTGTTGTGAGGCGATTGCTGTGGTATCCCAGGTGGTTGCCGAGGCGTTGCGAGGCGATTGCTTTGGTATCAACGGTGGTGGCTAAGGTGTTGCGAGGCGATTGCCGTGGTATCAAAGGTGGTGGCTAAGGTGTTACTAGACAATTGCTGTGATATGAAAGGTGGTGGCTAAGGTGTTGCGAGGTGATTGCCGTGATATCGCAGGTGGTTGCTGAGGTGTTACGAGGCGATTACTTTGGTATCAAAGGTGGTGGCTAAGGTGTCGCTCGGCAATTGCTGTGGTGTCAACTTAAGTGTTGTATTTCACTATAATGCCAAGCAGAATGTTTACCTCATCATCGACAGATATTTACATGAAAAATATCAGATATCGGCATCGCCTCCGAATTTCCATATCGGTGCATCCCTTGCTTCTATAAGACTAAAGAATCTGAGTGGAGAAACTCGTGTTCTCGTGTAAAAGGAGCCCGAGCAGCTGTCTGATGGGACCATGGTGTAGTTAAGGGGATAAGGCTGAAATATAGGGATTCATTTTAGTGAAAAAGGATTAATTACATTGGACAGAAGAAACTTCAGCACGTCAAATTACGTTGTTCGGTAGTGGCAGCATCAACACTCGTCACGTTCAGGTTCACGGAGGGCTGAATTTCGCACTATTATATTTGAGTAAAGGGTTTGACTGTTGACTCGCGGTTATTAACTTAATAAACGAAGCCAAATCGTTTAAGTTTAGACTGTCTTATCTCGTTAGAAGGGCCTGTTTTGCTTATTACTTAACTAACCGCCGGTTTAACTACTTTGTTCAAGGTTTTTTATATCGTTCAATGTGTTCAAACACTTTCTGCACCTCTTCAGCTGTTAAATTAGCAAATTAAGCTCATTTGGAGCGAATTTGTTCGTTAAAGGTTTCTAAACATCAGTCTGTAAAGAGAGATTCAGCTAACAGCTAATGCTAACGAAGCACGATGCTATGCTAGTTAAATGCAGCGGAAGCTCACAAACTACGGCCAGTTCGGCCCTCCTTTAGGAGTAAATACAGTCCGTTAAAGATGTACTAAATGACAGTTTTTAAAACATACCTTATATTCCGTTTTCCCTCGGCCACCAACCTAAAATAACCTTGTCGGTGTCGCTTTAAGGTAGCTGGCTAACGTTAGCTCCGTCCGTGTTGCTTTCCCTCATGGTCATTGTAGTTCTCTGGCGCCGCCGTCGCCGTTCAATGAAACCTGTTTCGATGAAGGGAAGTACTACACTACCCACAATCCTCCCTTTCTGCGGTAGATTTCGGTGAATGAAGTGCAACAGACTGTGGTTCCAGCTTAAGGGAAAAAGTTTGAGCCCTTTTAAAATGTCTGGATTTTTCCCAAAATTAGATCTGATCTTCGTTGAAATGATGAAAATAAACCAGCTACTTCATTAAAACCACCTCCTTGTTTCTACACTCATTGTCCATTTTAACAGCCTCGCTGACCGTATAGGAGCACTTTGTAGTTCTACAGTTACAGACTGTAGTCCATCTGTTTCTCTGTGTACTTTGTTACCCTGTTCTTCAATGCTCAGGACCCCCACAGGACCACCACAGAGTAGGTACTATTTGAGTGATGGATCATTCTCAGCACTGCAGTAACGCTGACGTGGTGTTGTGCTGGTCTGAGTGGATCAGACACAGCAGTGTTGCTGGAGTTTTTAAACACTGTGTCCACTCACTGTCCACTCTATTAGACACTCCTATCTTGGTGGTCCACCTTGTAGATGTAAAGTCAGAGACGGTAGCTCATCTGCTGCTGCACAGTTTGTGTTGGTCATCCTCTAGTCCTTCATCAGTGGTCACAGGACGCTTTTGGCTAGATATTTTTAGGTTCTCAGTCCAGCAGTGACACTGAAGTGCTGTGTCTGATCCACTCGTACTAGCACAACACACACTAACACTCCACCACCGCATCAGTGTCACTGCAGTGCTGAGAATGACCCACCACCAAAATAGTACCTGCTCTGTGATGGTCATATGGGGGTCCTGACCATTGAACAACAGTGTGAACAATTGTGAGTTGTTAGGTTTCTCAAAATTGGAGCATTTCACATGAAACCTTTTTGCATGGCTTTTACATCCTAAACTATTAATGATATGAGAATTTTAAAGGGAAAATTCTTAATAATTTGAAAGGGAATTCCCCTTTAATTGTTTCCTTCATACTAGATTTTGAATAGACAACAATAGGCCATGAAAATATAAATTAATCCAGGAAACTGGCCAGTTTGGTGGAAACACCAGGGTGCGGGTCAAGGGCATTTTGGCTGTGTCATTGTGAATTAATCTTCACAACATCGTGCGACTTACTTCACACAGACGAGCTCACAAAACTGGTTTATGTTCTGCAAGCATTCTTTCACAAAGTTCATTCAGCAGCGCACGGGACAGAGGAACACTTCAACACTGATGAAAAATACACATGAAATCCTCTGCAGTGAAAGGTAAGATTCATTTTACACCATTTATGATCATAATTTATAATGGAGAAATGAAAACAATATAAAACAATATTGCATTATATCATAGATTGTCTTTTGTAGTACCAACAAAAACTACTGTATAGTTTAACATGGTTTCAAATGCACTGCATAAAAAGTGATAGGTACTTGTATATAAGGGGAATTCCACCAAATGTTCAAAAGTTCTGCATAAATAAATGGTTGAGATGTGAACAAAGCCGTTCAGAGTGGTTTGGTGTGAAACGCTCCGTTCTAGAGAAACCTACCGAGTGAGAATTGTTCACAGTGGTGATGATAGGAACCAGACATCCACCTCTAAGAGCTGCCTCACAGAAAGTCATTGCACAAAGAGACGTTTCGATAGTTTTGAGATAAAATTAGTCCGTAAGAGTGTTTTTTTAAATGCTAATCATAGTGGAGGGACACATGTAGGGTGTTGTGAGGCAAAGTAGTCCCCAAAGAAAACTTATTTTGCCCAATTTACAACCATCACCCATGTAGGACCACGGGTGGTTTTGGATAGTGAATAAAATGGCTATAGTTGTGTTGTAGTCATGGTGACCCCTGGTTCCTATCTCCAACACTGTAAAGAAACCTGACTCTCTGCAATCAACCATTTCACACCAAATCACTCTGAATGACTCTGTTTACAGCTCAACCGCTGAATTATGCAGAAAATTTTAAAATATGGTGGCATTCCCCTTTGAGCAACAGAACAGGAAATAAGCTATGAATAATTCATTTAATTAATCAATAATAATGAAGAAATGTGTTAAAAGCCATGGTGTTTATCACGATAGCACACAACCTTGAGTTTTTTTAACTGCTTGTGCAAAATAAAGGAAATAGTAAAGCAAAGAAGCCCCAGTTATTGTCTCAAATGTCCTTTAATATTGACAAATCCTTCCGCCACAAAAAGTAGTACCATATTTTATTACAAATAGAAGTGTCACAATATCAGGTTCAGCTCAGCTTTTTCAATATTGGCCAGATTAACTTGAATACCGTTTTCTTCCAGGTCATAAAGTGTCTAAAATTGTCTTTTTCTCTATTATTCGAGGTATTTAGTTCACACAGAGTCACACTGTATTGTAAACTACTTTAGAATAGCCCGCCAACCAAAAATCCAGCAGAGAACTCTGACTACTGCATTACTTAAGTTTGAATGGAATAGACATTAATAAACGCCATATTTGAGTTTGTGCTACAGAAATGGTGTTGCTGAGGTCTTAAAAGGTATTAAAAACCTCTCAATTTGAGTTTAAAAAGCAGCATTTGGCTGATTGACCAGCATACCAGCATCCAAAACACCATCCATGCTGGTCTATGCTATTTTTTCTAGCCGGCAGTTCAGCGTATCACTTGTTTACAAGCTCCTCAATCCACCCTTCGTCAAATAAGACTGGAGCTAAGAGGCTAACGTAGCTAACAAACAGTGGAAGCCAAAAAAACAATGAAAATTTAGCCTTCATGATCTGATACCACTGTTTTTAGCTATGCTAACATACTTTTGTGGACGTTTATAGATAACAGTGAGTCATACAGTGTCAGAAACCGCATTAGCAAGTCTGTTAGAGATACTGAACAACTCCACACGGTTTGAGGCAAGTTTGTGATGATTTAGGCCTGCAGTTAGCACAACGCTAATTAGTGCAGTATTACTTTCCATTTGCTACATTAGCCTTGTAGCTCCAGGGCAGAACTAAAGGAGCAAACTTCAGACAAAAAACATGTCGTAACTGGTCGACTACTTTTGTGTTGTACATTTGATTTATCGCCAAACCATCCTGTAAAAAATGGACACACACTCAGTATGAACTCCCTTCAGTTTACACAGCTTCCTCTCTTAGTAGGATCTCTCCGGACCAGTCACGATGCTCGCCCTGAGCAGTAGGATGGTGCTGGTGTTGCTGTGGCTGGCCGTAGTGTCCAGCACAGCTCTGACTGAATGCTTCCCTGACCGCGTTGACCCCTGAGTACCAGCTGAATCTCATTCAGGCTCCGCCTGCACCCATCCAGAACTCAGCTGGCTCTCTGGAGCCTCTCTACAACTTTGCTCGGCTGTTCCTGCTGGCCGTGCAACCATATGGGTTTCCCTTAGGTGGGTAATGATTTTGACTAAAGTAGCTCAAACACAGTTAAAATACTATATATATATATATATATATGTGTGTGTGTGTGTGTATATATATATATATATATATATATATATATATATATATCATATGTTACATTCATATATTACATTTTATATATATAAAATGTTGTGTAATATACTATCGTTCCTGTAAGTGATGTGATTCCTAATGCAAGTGACTTTAAGTTCTCTAATGAATTTCAGACACTGCATCCCGAGTATCGCAGAATGAAGCTACGAGCTCAGAGGTAAATTATAGGACTTTTTAAAAAGGCTATTTCCTGATGGACTGGTTTAAAATCACAGTGGTAGAAGGTTTCAGATTAACCTTGTTCTAGAGAATGCATGCTTCTCATTCCAAGTTCCTGATAGCGTCTGTGAGCCTCTGACATTCTGGCATGCAGGCTGCACTTGAGATTCTCATCTAATCAGCCAGACCAGTTTAAACACTGCCATGTGGTTTACACGTGGATTATCATGTTGTTTTAATTAAGCACTGCCAGCTATCAGTTAAGCCCATCATAACTAACTACAAGCGTACACTATATGGACAAAAGTATGTGGACATCCCTCCTAATTATTGAATTTAGGTTTTTCAGCCACAGCCTTTGCTAACAAGAGTATAAAATCAAGCACATAGCCTTGCAGTCTCCATAGACAAACAGTGGCAGTAGAATGGGTTGCACTTTAGAGGTCAGTGACTCTAAACATGGCACTGTCATAGGGTGCCACCTCTGCCACAAGTCAGTTTGTGAAATTTCTGCCCTGCTTGAGCTGCCCCAGACAACTGTAAGTGATATTATTGTGAAATGGAAGCATCTCAGAGCAGCAACAGCTCAGCCACAAATCAGTCGACCATGCACTCACTACAGAGCTCCAAAATGCCTCTGGAAGTGACATCAGCACAAGAACTGTGTGTTGGGAGCTTCATGAAATGGATTCCCATGGCTGAGCAGCTGCACACAAGTTTAAGATCACTATGCGCAATGCCAAGTGTCAGCTGCAGGGGTGTAAAGCACATCATCACTGGACTCTGGAGCAGCAGAAACATGATCTCTGGAGTGATAAATCTGGCATTCTGCTGGACGAATCTGGATTTGGTGGGTGTCAGGAGAACGGCACCTACTGGAATGCGTAGTGTCAAAAGTAAAGTTTGGTTCAGGAGGGATAATGATCTGGGGCTGTTTTTCAAAGTTTGGGCCCCTTAGTTCCAGTTAAGGGTAATGTTAATGCTACAGAGCACATTTTAGACAATGATATGCTTCCAACTTTGTGGGAACAGTTTGGGGAAGGCCCTTTCCTGGTTCAGCATAACTGTGCCCCTGTGCACAAAGCGAGCTCCATAAAGACATGTTTTAATGAGTTTGCTGTGGAGGAACTCCAGTGGCCTGCACAGAGCCTGAACCTCAAACCCACAGAACACCTCTGGGATGAATTGAAACATCGATTGCGAGCCAGGCCTTCTTGTCCAACATCAGTGTCTGACCTCACAAATGCTCTTTTGACTAATTGGGCACAAATTCCCACAGACACTCTCCAAAATCTTGTGGAAAGCTTCCCAGAAGAGTGGAGGCTGTTTTAGCTGACAAAAGGAGGCCAACTTCATATTAATGGCCATTTTTTTTTGGAATGGGATGTCCAACAAGCTCATATAGGTGTGATGGTCAGGTGTCCACATGTAGTATTTTAGGCCATATAGTGTATGTTGTGGGCACCAAACTGCCCAATTGCTTCCATTCACTGACCACTTTATGACTAACACTTTTGTCTTATAGGTCCACTTTATAGATGTACAATGATGGACTGTTATATTTGATTATTTGTGCGTTTACATTTGCAGAATTATTTTTTAATGGTGCCCAAACTTTTGCAGATAGCTTCCTCGCATTGTATTAATAACAAACCTGTGTGTGTTCTATCCACAGGTGATCCGCTATGAAGCTGGTTACATGGTGTGCCTCATTCTCGCTGTTCTTTACGTTGTGGCAATCCCTGTAGCGGGTATAGTGCTTGTGTGGCGATATTTCCACTATAAAAAGATGCCAGTAGAGAGTCAACCATCACCGTCATCATTACCATGGTACCAAAGGAATGTCACTGTGATTACATGCCTCTCTGTTGTGGTCATCTTACTGCTGTAAGTATCATTATTGTGAGAAATAATGAGTATATCATATAAAGAGTTGGGCAAAATACATTGAAAAAGTAGCGATGGCTGAATATACACTGTCTTAAACTTTTCACTTGCCACTACTGAGAAGAGTATTAGTTTGATCATCTTTGAAAGAACTCGGTAACACTGAGATTAACAACAGATCATCACATTGATTTATCAGTCTACTCAGGCTTTAGCAGAGCTCAGTAACACTGAGATTAATAACTGATCACATTGATTTATCAGTCTACTCAGGCTTTAGCAGAGCTCAGTAACACTGAGATTTACATCATCACTGTAACACTGGTTATCGACATTGATTTATCAGTCCACTCAGGCTTTAGCAGAGCTCAGTAACACTGAGATTAATAACTGATCACATTGATTTATCAGTCCACTCAGGCTTTAGCAGAGCTCAGTGTGTGTGAAAAAGAAGCTAATTGAGATCCTCTTTGGAATTCACAGGTTTTAAAATAGATATAATCAATGTTTCTTTTGAAAATTGTATTTTTGTAGATTAGTTGCTCGGTATTCTAAAAGTATCTTCCAAAAATGTAACTGTATTTTGAATGCTGCCTTTACCAAATGTAACTTGTAATACATTGTATGTGTAATACAGATACTTAATTTCTGTACTCTGAATACGTATTCCTAATACTGGTATTTCATTACATCTCAACCCTGATCATATGGATATCATCAGTACCTTTAAAACACTGAACATCTGCATTTATCAATGGACGTTTTTCCACTGTACAAAGTCTGGAAACATTGGCACCATTACCAAAGGTTCCATTTTCATGTTTTACTCAAGATTAGTACAAAGAGAACCTAATGCTATCTGAGAGTTCTTCTCTGTCTTTGGTAACACCTTCAGCTGAAGCTAACAACAATTTAGCGAATTCATCGCTCTTCCAGGTGAAGGTTCACATTGTCATACTAGTTCAAGAAAAATATAAACTTTGTTTAATTCTAAACATGATTCTCTGTAAATGTAGACAAGTTCATATAAGCTAGTCAGGAAGCTAACACTAATGTTGTTAGCACTTACGCTAGTTGTGAATGAGCTTTGTTCATATTTTCATTTTTGTAAAAGGAAAATATAAACTTTGTTTGATTTTACACATGGTTCTGTGCAAATGTGGGCATTTGTGGGACCATGTGAGCGCAGCAAAGCTCATTTTTCCATGTCAGCATAACTAGCTGTCGCTAACACATAAAGTGTTACACTCTAAAGAGAAAAAACTGAAGCTTCTACATGTGATTCTGTGTAAATGTAGCTGTTTTTGTGAATGTAGGTAGACAGAACAGTGGAGGAAACTGTTCCATGTTAGCTAATAAGCTAGGCTTACTAACAAGCAACATAGCTAATTAGCCAAATTAGATGCCTAATTTTATTTATTCATTTTTACCAGGTTTTAAATTTTTTTTTCCCTCTTATTTTTTCCTAAGTGGTTTGTTTTTGTAAATGTTGAATAACATAGAATAGTTATTTTGTAAATGTGGTTCAACTGGTTTGCTGGTGCATTGTATTGGTTCTTATCACAGTATTGTGATTAGATTTTATCTATATCACCCAGTCTTAAGATTAAGCACAGCGCTGTGCATAGATTTATCTATAGAGAAAGAAAAATGTTATTTTTCATGTTATACAAGTGTCTTGTTATCAAGTATTTTAAGCCTCACTTCGGTTGTGCAATTTTATCTGAATGCTGACGTTTCGCTTTATATTTAGAACAACACAAAGTACCTGCTTTGCAGCTTTAACAGCCTGGCTCATCTATGTATTTGTGTATATGTACAAAACGTACAATGTACAAAAAGTTCCAAAAAAAATTTGACACAGTATGTAAAATGCAAATAAAATTGCAAATGATTTGTAATTCCAATTCAACCTGTGTTTACACAAACCAGTAGAAAGATAACACATTTAATCTTTTACCTTATCAACTTAACCGTTTTTTGTAAATATATGCTCATTCTTGAAAGCCGAAAACCACAACCAAATGTCCGCAACCTTCAATCCATCAATGGTACTGCATTAAAAATGGGCATGCTTGTGTGATAGATATCATCACATTGGCTTGAGAATATTTTAACAAACTACTGTCAGTGAACGCAATTCACCGCTGCATCCACACATGCAAGTTAAGACTGTACTGTGTACCGCGGAAGTCCAGAAACACCACTGACTTCTGTGGGCTCGAGGTCATCTGAAATGCACTGATGCACAGTGGAACGTGTACAGTGGTCTGACGAATCCACCTTTCAAATTGGTAATGGAAATGATGGACTTTCCACGGCAAGGACGAAAAGAGCCATCCACATTGTTACCAGCATAAAGTTCAAAAGCAAGGGTCTGTCATAGCATAGGAGTGTATTAGTGGGTAACTTCCATTAATGTCAAAAAATATATACATATTTTGGAGCAACATATGCTGCCTTCTAGATGACATCTTTTTCAGGACTGTCCATGCTTATTTTAGTGCATGGCTGTGTATGAATGTGCACATTTATGTGTGTATGATTGTGTAAACATATGTGTTTTTGTCTGTAGCTGTGGTGTGATTCTGACGTTCACCACCAACAACAAGATGCGTCAGAACATGCAGCCGAATCTTTCTCGCCTCAGGACGGACATTGGGAACATTGAGAAAGCACTGAACTCTGTCCCACAGGTACAAACTCAGTTCATGCAGACACATTTTTAACTCTTTATTTAAACCCACAATTTAAAATACACAATAAAATAGGCCCAAACCTTATCAGACACTTTATTTGTTGAGTCATAAACAAAGATGTGACCGTCAGCAATAGAAACACAGCAGTACAGTACAATATAGAGACCTGTTTTGATTTTAGTTTACTTTAGCTTCCTCTGGTTTCTCAGTTGAGTTACAAAAAGTATGTTGTTCTAAAATCATTGCTCTGTAATGGTTATTAAACATTAAAATAGTAAGTTGAATATTAGAAGAAACATCAAGCAAAAGTTATGATTTATGTATACCTTTACAGGGAAGACAGTTACTGACTTTAGCCTACGTTCATTTAACTTATCCTGACCTATATCTGTGAGTGATGCTAGCAGAGAGAGATCATGTGTTAAATATTATTATTATTATTATTAATATACAAATTTTCCATATTACTCCAATTGTAGTCGATCAGCTGAGACATGTTTGGTGTCTAAAGTTCGATTCTTAAGTTTGGCACTGGTGCTATGAAACTAATGTGGCTAACAGGATTAACTAGCTAACACCGCTTAAACACAATCGCACTGATCGTGGCTCCAGCATTGGGTCGCTAGCTGACCAGTTACAATATGCTTTTGCAGAAAGTGGACTCCATTGTTGACAAATTCTCTGTCTTCCAAGAGGAGCTGATGGAGGAACTGGAGGGTAAGTAAAAACGTTTAGAGATCTATATGTTGGGCCATTCTTTATAAATGGTATAAAATATTTTTTTTATTTGTAGTGCTCTGCCTGACCACTGGCTAAGCTTTTGTCTTTTCCTACTAGAAACTGGTGATTTAATTGGCCAAACAATCCTCTCGTCTCTCAATCCTAATATCAACATTGCCCTCGACAGCTTGAGGATCACTGTTCAAGGTACGATTATCCTTACTTAAAAATACATTATTTCATTCCATTACTAATTCCAATCATTTTTATTATTTATTTGAACACTCATCGTCCACCTACCTGCTTTCCAAGAGCCTTGAGTCTGAAGCTTTACATTAACGAAAAAAAGTTGCTAGGTTAGCATAGTTAGATATAGCTTTAATGGATAGCTTATAGTGTTAATGTTGCACTCATAAAACGTAGACTTATAAAAATGCTATGGTCAACAGTTATGTGTGAAAATGGCAGACCCTACAAACCATGGCTGTTAGAGCTAGGCCTTCAGTTCAGGCCCTAAATGGCAAAACGTAGTAATTTCTGCTAGCACCCTTGTTGGATTTTAGTACTATGTTATGCCAAGTAGTTCACATGAATATTTTTTGTCTGTTCTAGATTAAGCACAGACATTTCAAGCTTGTACAAGACATTCTGACTTGTATTTGAAGCTTGTAACAGACATATTAGCATATATTTTACTTTGTAGCTGCTTTATAGTGGCTCTTTCAGTAAACAACTCTACTGCCACTGTTTTCCATTTCTAACAACTGACTGAAACATGGTCAGTCTTCCAGTCATACTCGCTGTCAGTCATGCACCTAGAACTTCTAGAAGACATTTTTTCTTCCTACACTTTGGAAATAAGAAGGGTTGAATGTGCTGTCAGTTTGCTAATTATGTTAGTGGTTAAACTGACATGTTAGGTTTTCAGTTCAGCTTCTGAAGGCCTAACCAATGGGAGAGTTCACTTGGCAGTCTACACAGGAATTTGTTTCCAACCAAAAACTTAACAATGAAATCAGAGTATTACTTGCAGAGTTTTAATTACGACAAGCATAAAGACAGAATAAAGATGACCTAAAACATTTTTCCTAATTTCACATAAATCATTAAACCTACAAGGGCTTGAAGGTTCCCCACTGCTACAAACATTCATATTTTGATGTTTAATAAGACTAATAAGCTACAGACTATTAACAACATTATCTCTCATGATAAACATAAATTAATGCTATGTAAAATATACCACCCACTGTAACAAAATAAGTTGATTTTAATGGGCACTATATGATAATAGAATTTGTTCGGTGTACCAACAGATGCTACTGGTGCACAGCGCCACCTTCTGGAGGTGAAGGAATTGAGAGAGAATATGCAGGCCACCTACGCACTCTTAAAGACGGAGCTGACTGAGATGCAGAAGCGACTGGACAAACTCAACAGCACCCTGGATACCTCCACTCTGACGACTGATGCCAAATACGACTTGGTATAAAGCTGGAAAACGCTATACCATCGAAAAACCTTTTTTATTGTGTTAATTTTATTAATACTACATAACTGACACTATTCTTTAAAGCCCCAGGGAATCAAAATCCAATAAGGTTTATCTTGTGGAAAAAAATATATGTTTACTAAGGCTCCCGCCAATGTCCAATGAACACTAAATGAATGATGTATTATGCCAAAATTCTCCCCCTTCAATGTAAATTGGGTGGTCCAAATTTTGGGTAAGGAGTAAACTTTACCCTCACCCGTCACAAGGCTGATGTGGTTTGTCCCAACCACACAGCTTTCACAAAACTGTGTACCTCCTGGTCACTTTAAGAAAATGAATGAGCTAGCCACCAAACGTAAGCTAACCACCAAGCGTAAGCTAACCTAGCATTGCAAAACTGAGCTTGTATGTCTTTCTGTCGTCCATCTGTTCATCCAAGTGGCCATGCTAGCATTCTGGACACTAAGAGTGTTGGAAACCAATCAAGAGATGTCAATCAAGCATGCTCATTAGAATAATAGTATAATAGTAGAATAATAATAATTCTGGACTAACTTTATGCAAATGAGCTGAGTGGTTGACCAGTCAGATTGCTGATATTATTAAGAACCATTGACCAACTGTGTTTGCACACAGAGGAATTACACCTCCGCATTTATCCCATTCGTGCAGTGAACACACACTAGGGGGCAGTGAGCACACTTGCCCAGAGCGGTGGGCAGCCCTATCCACGGCGCAGGGAGCAGTTGGGGGTTAAGTGCCTTGCTCAAGCCTTGCTCTCTTGTTTCTTGAAAATTAGCCAGCTAACCACCAAGCAAAAGCTAACTTATCACACAAAACTGAGCTATCAAAATAGCTTATCTGTATGTCTGTTATTCACTATTTGTTAATTCGTTCAAATAGCCATGCCTTCATTCTAGAGATTGGAAGAGATGGATAGAAAGATGTCAGATTAGGCCACACTCAAGCAATTCTCTGATAAATCTGGGTTGATTGAAATAAACTTATGTCTTCAAAATCTAGCTAGCTAACAAACTCTGATCTTATTCAAACTCCCTATGACATGACGTATGTAAGCTTTACCCTCACCCATCACAAGGCTGATGTAGTTTATCCTGCCTTCTCAGCTTTAATAAAACTGTGTTTTCCCTCGTTTCATGAAAATTAACCAGCTAACCACCAAGCGAAAGCTAACTTATCACACAAAACTGAGCTATCAAGCTAATCTGTATGTCTGTCCATTTGTTCGTCCATGGCAGCATTCTGGAGACTGGAAGTGTTGGATAGAGAGATGTCAATAAAGCACATCTATTAGAAGATTAGGCCGCACTCAGAACTCTCAGATAAGTCTGAGTTGATTGTGATAGACTCACTTCTTTGAAATCTAGCTAGCTAGCTAACAAACTTTGATGTCATTCCCTATGGAGTGGACAGATAACATGACACGCTTTGTTGTGGGAGCATTCTTGTCCAGTATCTTCTCAAGTTTCAACATGAGAACACAGTAACTCTGCCAAAGCAATAATACAACTCAATTAAAAAACACAGTGCACAACTTAGTCCCTTTCTGACACGACAAAACCACTGATACTTTGTTTCAGAGAGTAAATTTGGTCTGGACTGTATGTTTTCAAGCTGAACTTGTTTCTCATGATGGTTTTTATTTTTTGTAGATACCCAGTGTGGATCATGAGGTGCAACAGATAAGCTTTGTGTCCGTATTTTATGACATGGAAGAGCAGGTGGGTCAGTAAAGCGGGAAGCTTCATTATTGCTTATTCAAAACTATGACAGTATACAATATGATAAAGTACATTAATGTTTAATTAAAAATCTTTTGTTAAGCAATAAACCATTTTTCAGTGTAGTTTCTTAACGTTAGGCTGTGGTTGTTAATGCAATGGATCCACCAATAAGCTTTTAGAGCCATAAATATCCATTTTATAGTACAAAATAAGTTTAGTGGTCATTATAATGTAGCTACCTAATGGGCATAATTATTTCCAAACTGGTTTTATTTGTGTCTTTAGGTTGAGACGTTGATCTCCTCCATTCCTGGTATCTGTGCAGATCAGAGCACTCCACAGATTGAAGGTACGAGTATCAACTCATAGTTGACTGTAATTGCATCCTCTTTTGACTGTATATTTTTGAAAAGTTCTTCAAATGTGTATTTCCTTCCCTTTTGTAGGGCTGCTAGTGTATTTGAACAAGGTACACACCGCGTTTAGGAACAACAGCAAGCGGCTGCCCTCTCTGAGGTCCCTCTTAAATGCTGTTTCCAATGTCCGTGCAGCGCTTGACAAATCCAAGGCAGGCATCGATTACTACGACTATGTCAGGTGAACACCCTGAGATATTTCAGCACATTTTCGGTTTACCCCCATCACCCAAAAGGTAGTTGATCTGCTTGCTCCTGTTTGCTCCTGTAGTTTTGCTCTGGAGCTATGAGGCTAATGTGGCTAACAAGCAAAAGAAGCTAATACCACATTGGTTAGCATCCAGTAAACTTAATGCCTAAATCATCACACAGTCGCCTCAAACCATTTCAGGCTACTTGAGTAATCTCTAATAAACTTGCTTATGTGGTTTCTGACTCTGTGTGACACACTGTTATCTATATACATGGATAAAAGTATGTTAGCATAGCTAAAAATCATGTCAGCTGCCAGACTGAAGCCTGAATTTTTCTGAATGTATAGCAGTGGGGAACCTTCTAGGCCCTTCTAGGCCCTTCTAGGCTTTCAGAAAAGGACTATATATGCATATTATGTATTTGTGTATATGTTATAAGCTTCAAATAAAACATAAAGTGGCCAAAAAAATGTGAATCTCCATTAGCATAGCACTCACATACTACTAGAATCCCATAGGGGTGCTAGCAGAAATTAGCATTATTGTAGACATTTTTTTTCCATTTTGGACCAAGTTTTGAGATTAATGGCTGGGATTTGGAGCCTTGGTCCAATAGTCACTGATAGCCACGTACAAATCATATGTTGTAAATGATGAAAGTGGCATAAATAAACACAGTTGAGAGCAGTAGTATAGTAAAGTAAACAGAACGTAAAAATTCTCCCTGTTGCCCCCCGTAGGTGGTCGGTGTCAGTTGCATTCTGCACATTGATCTTGATTATATCGTTGCTGATGTTGGCTGGACTGGTCATTGGAGCATCTATGGTCATCTCTCCCACACTTTACCCCTTCTACCTGGAGAACCAGCTGAGACTGACCACTGTTTACCTCCTCTATGTGTGAGTTAAGCAAGCCATGTGGCACAGCTGAAAGCTTGCAATAAAGTGCTTGGACCCCTAATATCGCCATTGTTTGCTCATTTCTCTCTTATATTTAAAACAAATTTGCTGCCAAGCCTGCACCCTCTTTCTGTTTGGTTAGAGTACCTCATTTTAAAAGGCTTATGACTGTAATCTAATGCTTCATAACCATTTATGGCAACAGTTTATTTGAAGAAACATATATTAGGGCTTTATTTTAAATTTTTACATTTTTAAATCCAAATTATCATGAATAGGTATTGAATTTGTAATGCAAGCTGACTTATTGGGAATAAAATGTTGCCAATTAATTCCTGCTCAATAATGTGCTTAACAATGTCTTAATAAAGTGTATATGTTGTATTATTAAGACTAACTTTAACTATGACTGTAATTTTAAGTAATCTCTAACTGTGTTCTAATACAGATCATAATGAATCAAGATTAATGCACAGTGAATATGCCATTTAGATATAATAATCTGGACTTTATTGATCAAAAAAAAATATGTTAATTAACCCACAATGTATGATTCTTAAAAAATGTTTTTTTTTTTATTTCAAAAGATCATTCAATTAAATTTAGACATAAAAGTTCAAAATCTTGTTATTGTATATTATTTGTTCTATCTTCCATAGTGATATACGATACATGTTAAATCTCTTTCTCTCTTCAGTGCTTCAGGAATGATATTCGTCTTTTCCTGGCTCTTCATCATCATGGTCTTCATCAACCTGTTTTTCGGCGGTAATGCTCATGCCCTGGTCTGCAGAAGCTGCACTAATGGAGAGACTTTTGAGGTGAACAGAAGTCGAGAATATATATACATATATATATATATATATATATATATTCAGACTTTAATTCCATATATTCTCAAGTTTTATTCCTTAAATTCAGAGTTTCATCCAATATTCTCAAGTGTTATTCGAGATACTTTTCTGTCATTGTAAATACATATAAAATAAATAAATGTATATGTAAAATTTAGACATAAATATATATATATAAATTTATATATCCCTGTCAAACTGGCCCTTAAGTACAAGCTATTCATTTTTCAGGAGATATTTCTGAGGAGATTAGATATAACATAATAAACTTGCATACAAAGAAAGTCAAAGTAAACTAAGTGAAAAGAGTTAAAAACTTATTAAATTAGATTAAAAGCTACAGAGTAAATGGGACTCCGAAAAACCACCTGGAAGACCTGGTAGACACCACAGCCGTCCTCATTAGATGATAAGCACTTAAAGCTTTCATCAAAGCATTCACTCCAGACATCAGTGATAACTGAATTTGTTGGGATTACTTGGGTGCAACCAACTTCTAAGACTGAACTTTTGTTTGAAAACCTGAAAGCAAATAATAGAGGCTGTAATAAAGACGATGGATGTGCGTCATCCAGCAAGCTACAAGGGAGGTGGGCCCTGGGCCAAGTTATCACTGACAGAGATGGGAATAAAACAAAAATGTAACCACTGTAACACGGCATGCATGACTGATTGAACTGAAGATGACGGTTGTGTTCCTTGTACAGTTCTTGGACAAGCAAGCTCTGTTCAGCAGTCTGGATGCTGAAGAATCCGAAGACATGGACATTGATACCACCACTGCCCAAAGTCCAACCATGAGCACAGCCAATAACAGTACTGATGTGTTTACAAACCTCACAGACTATCACAGGAAACAGGCCATCAAGACCTTCGAGATATACCAGTGAGTGACTGTGTAAGACATAAAGGCAGATCTAGTAATTCATTACATCATTGCAAAACACTAATTAGGTGCTATATTAGTGCAACAGCCCTTTACCATCCATAGTAAGACGCTGCTGTTTTACACTTGTACATCATTGGATATGCATTTATGGTTCAAATTGGTTCAAAGTCGTAAGTACATAAAATATAGCCTATGCAAAACGTATGGCACATATTCTAGTTTATGTTTTATTTTCTTCCAGTATGTTGAAATGAGCGAATAAGTGTAGACTGAGCACTAAAATGTGCTGAAATATGTATGTTTATGTGTGTTTATTGTTGAAGAATTTACATCAACACACAGTCATTTGACTGGGGGTGGTCAAAATTTTCCACACGACTGTATTCCTGTTGGAACGTCGAATAGGTTCATATAGGGCAGTACTGACTGACCAAAAGGTTTAAACAGTTTGCTCAGCTTGGATATCCACATACTTCCTGTGTGCAAAGTTGGGGGCGCAGTGCCCCCACATGCCCCTCTTTGGTGCTGGACCGTTTTGCACCCCAGTTAGCATGTAATGCTATCTATAAAACAAATAAAAGTATGGACAAAATCTAAGCTTGCCACTACAGTCTATATGACGTGATGAGGTCCATTTTTTTAAATGACAGTAGTTAAACAAAATCGATATCTTGACTTCCCGAACATTGATTTTTTCTGATAAATTACAGTCCAAAAATGGGAGTGGCCCAGAGTGGGACCAGAAATTAGTGGAAGGTGTTGGAAAGTGTGTGTATATTCATGGACTGCAATGGATTTCAGACTAATCAAGACACATATACATAAATAACATGTTTATTACCGAATGTAATGGAGAGCCAATCAGCAGTCAAGATTATGGAACAAGCCTGCGTATTGGCTCAAAGACTGACTACCTGAATACTGTTGAAATTTGGGATTGAATGGCAATATTCAGTAGTATTGAAGTAATCTCAACATGGATTGAGGTGATTTAGGTATTCAGTAGCTAATTGGTAGCTATAAGATTCCATTGCTTGTTGGCCACATTAGCCTCGTATCTCCAGTGTGAAACTATAGAAGCAAACGTCTTGGCTTGACTAGTTAAGGGGGAAAACCTGTAAATTTGTTATGTTCTCCAAACTCTTCCTTTAAATAAGATGCTAACTGGTGTCTTATTGTGATGCAGGGGGTGTCAAAGGGGAAGATCGATGTTCTACAGCATGCACATGAATGAGACCTTCAATATGAACAAGTTTCTCAATGCAAGCATGGTAACACACTCATTTCACTCTGGTTGAACTCTGCAGCAGGCCAGCCTAAAGAATAAGTCCTGTTTTGTAGTTTAAAAAGATTTTATGCAGAAAGGTCCTATAATTATCACCTAATTTCTGTAGCATACCGTCAATTAAAACTAATCAAACTAGATTATTGTATGACAGTAATTTCTAAGAACGTATTGTCTGTGGTAATCGACTGTATGCTAAAGCAATAAGTCACTCAAGGAAGGGTGTTGTTAGGCACGATGCAAAGTGCAATGCCTAAAACTCAGTTTCCTGTGATAAAATCGCAGTAACACGTAGTCTCAAGTAGCTTATTGCTTTTATAAAATGGCAGCCAATGTAAAAGATGATAAAATACACAATTTTTCAGACAATAATTTAAGTTATTATTAATAATAGTCTATATAAATAAGTATTCCGCCAAGAAATGCAGTTCCTTTAGAGTATGGTAATATTGCCAAGCAACCATGGACCACTGAATGAGGAGAACGTTTGGTCGCCCATTGCTGTATATGGTGGTCATTTCATGCATTTTTTATACAATGCATATATGATAACATGGCACTGTTTAATGCAAAAACTTTTGCTTTACAAGTACTTTTTGGCCACCAAATTACCACCGCCAGCCCAACAGTGCAAAATATAGTTAAGAAAATAGTCATTTGGGACTCTGACATAGACATTTACGTATATTGTGAATTTTACAATGGCTTTGAATGTGGCTCAGCCAATCAGATTTTAGGACCGTTTTATAATACAGAAAAGTGTTGGGATATACTTGTAAGGCAAGAGTTTCCATTAATTTAACATTGTTTTTATGTTAAAGAACTCATACATTGACATGGGCTTTACATGTGTGTTATTTGGTTTTGTGTAATGTATATCTGTGCTGGTTTCTTCTGCAGTATCTGAGGGGATTTGATTACAGCATGCACGCTCTGAACTTTGACCTGAGCACTGTACAGCTGCTCCCAGACAACGCCAGAATAGCCGTGCAGCTATTTCGGGACTTCAGCAACCTTGACCAAATCAAATACAATAACTTTCGAACTCTGGTATGGTCTTTCTGTGTGTTATTGCCTGTTTTTAAATGTTTTAAGTAAGAAAAACTACCTGCAAAGATTTGTTGAGCATTTGGATCTACACAGTCCGAAAGTACCTTCAAAGCTACTTTGCACTCATAGCTGACAAATGTGTTGGGATTCTCTGGAGCAACCACACATGAGCATAAGGTCACTATGCCCAGGGCCAAGAGGGGCAGCATTGGGCTGTGAAACCATGGAACTGCGTTCTCTGGAGTGATGAAGCTCCATCCAACACTTTGTGATGAGTTGGAGATCCAGAACTGATCATCCAACATCAATACCTGACCTCACTAATGCTCTTGTGGCTGAATGCAACCAAATCCTCACAGCGATGTTCCAAAATCTATATTGTATGGCCCAAAGTATGTGGACACCTGACCATCACACCTGTATGAGCTTGTTGAACATCCCATTCCAAAACCATGGGCATTAATAAGTAGTTGCCCCCATTTGCGGATATAACAGCCTCCACTCTTCTGGGAAACTTTCCACAAGAGCCTGGAGTGTGTCTGTGGGAGTTTGTGAGGTCAGACACTGATGTTGGACAAGAAGGCCTGATTGACGTCCAGTTCATCCCAAAGTTGCTCAGTGAGGTTGAGGTCCGGGCTCTGTTCAGGCCACTGGAGTTCCTCCACACCAAACTCATCAAACCATGTCTTTATGGACCTCGCTTTGTGCAGTTATGCTGGAACAAGAAAGGCTCTTCCCCAAACTGTTCCCACAAAGTTGGGATCATCACCCTCAACAGGAACTAAAGGGCCTAAAAAGCAGCCTCAGATGATTATCCCTCCTCTACCAAACTTTACTCCTGGCACTATGCTTCCTGTTGACACTAAGCACACTGAGTTTGCGTTGTCTACCGCTTCATGGCTGAGCTGTTATTGCTCTTACATGCTTCCAATTCACAGTAATAGCACTTACAGTTGCCTAGGGCAGACCTAGCGGGGCAGAAATGTCATGAACTGACTTGTGGCTGAAACATCTGAATTCAACATTTAGAAGGACTGTCCACAAACTCCTTATTAATACCCTTTATTTCAGAATCATCTACAAATATTTGGACATGTAATGTATTTTGCTTTAAAACTCAGTGTACATGTAGTGCAGTTTCATGCTGACATTTCCTCTTACTAATTTTAAAGCATCTATCTTTTCTTTCAGCTGGCTAGTCCAATAGTGAAAACAGACCTGGACACATTTGCTGCACAACTGGAGACAGCAGCCCTGACGGTAGGTGTCCGATAGATAGATCAAATATAAGGAAGTTTGGTGTTTGACAGTAGTAAACAATCTGCTTGTTTGTTTGTTTGTTTGTTTGTGTTTTACTTACAGGCAAATGGCACCAATAGAGAGAATCTCACGAGTGAAGCAGCTAAAGCCAGACAGCTGGCCAATACTGTTCGTCTACAAGACTCATACAGGGTGAGTTGACTGCATACAGGTTATGGAGTTATTCCTAAACTAGACAGACTATATATATATATATATATATATATATATATATATCAGTGTTAAAGCTGCAGTAACAAAAACAGGGTGTTTAATTATAAGGGATAAAGAGAGGTTGGAAAATGGTCAATGAAGGATGAACTATGGCTGTTTCTCATCCATAAACCCATAGAAATGTTATGTGTGGACCTCAGGAAAACAATTAAACAAAAGTAAAATGTAGGAAATGGGCCTTTATTTCTTCTCTCCGTCTCTCCAGCGCAATATGTCTTCCAGTATAGAGGCTCTGGCTACCATCAGAAGCAATTATCAGGTACGATGATTCCATCTCTCTACACATCGCATCTTTCATAGAGTGTTTTTGGGCATATACACTCGCTGGCCACTTTATTAGAAACAACAACCTTGTGCTTCCCCTCACTGGCCACTTTATTAGAAACACCCACCTTGTGTTTCCACTCACTGGCCACTTTATTAGAAACACCCACCTTGTATGTTCACTCTCTGGCCACTTTGTTGGAAACACCTATATTATTAGTTGGGTGGTGGATTTAATTTTTATGCCTGTAGAAAAATAGAAAAAAAATAAAGTACATAAGATCGTTTTTCTTTACTTCCTCTAGGCGAATGCAGATAACACTCTTCTAAATGCCACTGAAGTTGAAAGCTCTCTGCAGCTTCAGGTTCCTGATGCTGTGCAGAACGTGAGTCAATTCTTTAGTGCCTGTAAAACATTATGGGCTATAATTGTTCTGTGATTTTTTCAATGCATACGTATGCAAAGGGTCAAAAATCATGAAATATGAACTGTATATTAATAAAAATGTGTAGCTAATCAGTGTGGTACAAACTATGTGATATAAATAAATACATAATTACAGTAATACTTTGCATTTTTCTACCTGAACTCTGTTTGCTGCATCCCTTTAACAATTATTAATAATAAAATAATAAATCAATTCATATCAAGTAGTAGTGATGTATTAAACTCTCATTAGCTTTAAAGGAATAAACTGCAGAGGTCATTTGAAGCTCCCTAGAATAGAACCAAATGCTGCCAATTGTACACTAACAAGATCTTACGCCTACGTGTTATCATATTTATGATGGAGGTTAATGGGCAGATACTGCACCACATTCGCATTGACCTCAATTATAAGTGTTCTGTGAATCGACAGGCTTTCTGTTCTTTTTATCACAGGGAAATCACTGTATATGGCAACTAAGGCTCAATCCTATTTCTTATTTTTACCCCTACCCTTTGTTTTCAAGTGTCACCTTGCCCCTCGGAACTGAGTTACAAGGGGTAGTGGTTGAAATCTTCCCTATGAAATGGGATCCTCAAATAAAAAGAACATTGCTTCATTATCAGCTACTAACGCTGCTCTGTAGGCGACCCTGCCAGTCTGCAGTGACAGCAGAGAAGGGTAAAGTTCAGCTCCTCACTGCGAGGCTTTAGTTACATTTAGGGCATCATATGCTTTCAAAGAGGGGGGCAATTATTTATTATCACCCATCGCTAATTCTTCAGTGATATGAAGCTAAAGTCAGATATTCGCCAGCTTCTTGTTTGAATTTTCCCGTTCCACCTTAAATGGATTTGGAGGGCTATGTAGCCCCAACACTTACCCCACTATCTCAACAAGAATCGGGACACCCTACCCCTAGACGTGAACGCGCAAAACGGAGGGGTAAGGGCTAAGTGGATTGGGCCTAAATGTTCACTACTGGTGCAGCAGTTTGAGATTAGCTGGATAAATGCTGGAGTATTCCTTGAACGCATGTCCTAAACGTCTATGATAAATCACTAACAGTGTGCTGGACTGCGGGATGTTTTCTGTTGTAGGTGTCTCGCTGTGTGATGGAGAGGGCGACTGAATTGCTGAGGCAATACTTTGTCTTCGTCAAATATGCGGTGAGTGATTGTTGATGTTTTTTGTCCAGAATATGTTTTTAAAAGTGTTTTAAAAGGTTTCTTTGGCCTGGTCAAAAGGTTGATCCCCTTTCTGCAGGCCCCCTAGTGGCCATTCTGCCAACCACAGAGCCCTTTAGTTTGAGCTGGAGCCAGCTGATCCAAATAAGATTCAAAAGAAAAGCAAGATTGTGCTAAAAGTGATGGATAATTTGCACCATTTCTCCTGCTTACTGACAATTTAGTCCATCAGCCAAGACATGTTTGGTTTCTGAAGGTGTCTAAACTGCTTCCTCAGGTTTACACTGGTGCTGCTAGGCTAAAGCAGCTAACAAGTAATGGAAGCTTGTGAGGAAATTCGCCTTGTGCTAAAGCATGAGCATATCTAAATCACCACAGACTTGCTTACGTGGTTTCTGACACTGTATGACACACTGCTGTCTACAACATGGAAGTCAGAGTGTCTGCTAATACAGATTTTAGCTATGCTAATGTACATTTGTTCATGTTTACAGACAACAGTGTGTCATAGAGGGTCAGAAAGGACATGAGTGAATCTACTTAAGATTACTGAACAACTTGACATGGTTTGAAGCAAGTGATGATTTAAGCCTTCAGTTAGCACAACGCTAATTTGTTGATTATTAGCTTCTTTTACTTGGCTGTATTAGCCTCCTAGAAAAACTGAAGAAGCAAGCTTCAGACACTCAAACATGCCTTGGCTGATTACACTTGGGCTGAGGGGAAAACTGTATCAATTAAATTTTTTGCTAAACTATCGGTTTAAAATCAAAGATAGTCAGTATATATTGGTGCTCTGGCTTGAAAAGGATGGCACCCCTTTGGCACCCCTTTGACCGTTAAACCAGTTTGAACTGGTTTTTAATCTCCTCAAACTACACATAGCCCTTTAGTTTGGAAAATAAACTAAAATGAATATCACAAACAATTGAGGAAAAAAAATATGACTAGGCCTGATATATAAAATGATTTTGTTGTAAACGAGCGAAATTTTGTCTAATACTCTGGGCCACCCAAGCAAAAAGCCAGTGGGCCGCTTTCGTCTTGTTATCTGGGATAACTGAGACTCAAACTCAAAAAGATCATTTACGTGAAAATAAGCTTGTAAATGTGCCGCAGCTGTTACGACTTAGTGGCAAAATCGTGTGCTCTGTTAGCCCAGATCAGATTGTTTTACTGATTTCACCAAAAAGGTCACATGGCTGGTCATGAGAATCTGTCGGTGTCACATGAGAAGAGAAGGAAGAGTGTTATCTACGTCCACTCGTAGGCAGCAGTGTGAAGATGTGTGGAGACAGATGGCCCATTCAGCTCATTTTCCAGCTCTGTTCTCTTATTTGTGACCACAAGATACATTTCAAAAAACACCAAACTCTTTCAGTGAATCAGCTCAGATATTTACATTTGTTGGAGAAAAGACAGTCAGTAGTATCAGGTAAAGAATGAAGATTATGTTGATGAGCTTACTGTTGGCCTCAGTACCACCTTTTCTCCTTTGTTGACAGGTTAGCATTAGCAAAAAATCAAATGTACAGTTTTTCCCCTTTATCCCAAATGTAGTCAAGCAGCCAAGTCATGTTTGGTGTCTCAGGTTTGCTTCTTTAGTTTTGCTCTGAAGCTATGAGGCTAATGCAGCTAGCAAGCAACTGAAGATTGTGTGCCCAGTTAGCATTGTGCTAAAGTATGACTAAATTACCACAGACTTCCTTATGTGGTTTGTGACACTGTACGCCACTCTTGTTTCTATAAGCACAGACAAAAGTTAAAGTAGCGGCTAATACTGTTTTAGCTAATGTTAATGTACTTTAATGCTAGTGCTAATGTGCTAATGTACTCCATTTTTATAGATAACAGTGCCACACTGTCTCAGAAACCACATAAGCACATCTATTTGCGTTTATGTTTTTCAGTTAGCATGATGCTAACATCAGCTAAGAGCTTGTTGGCGAAACTTCAGTCAGTAAAAGTATAAAGATTATTTTCACTCAAATTTATCTTCAGTGATTACAGGTTAGCAATAGCTGAGCAAAATAAAAAAAAAACAAAACAAATGTAGACAATTTTTCGACTTTACCCCAAATTTAGTAGATTAGCCAGCGTTTGGTCTCAAGCTTGCTTTAGTTTTGCATGGGAAGCTATTGTGGCGAACAAGTAATGGGACCCTCCTGAAACCCTCCTGAAACAAAAACAGCACTTGTGATGGTCTGGTGCTGGTTTGCCTGTCACCCAGTATGGTCATGCTGGTTGACCAGATAACCATTTTCCAAAACACAACATATCTTCACTATCAGAACAAAATCTACAAAACGGCAACTTTACAGGGGAAGGAGAAGACCTTTCCTAATTTATAATGAAGGTTAATGGAGATTATTATTAATTCCAAGTAATTTTGGACCATTTCTGTTGGTCCAATCTTCACAATATAAAGGGCAGCTGGCAAAAATTAGTTTTGTTTTATTCCGACGGCGACAATATGTTTGTTTTGGTGATGATCAGCTTAACAGCTTCCATTTCTGGTCGACCAGCATTCCAGCATCCAAAACAGAAACATATGCTGTTTTTTCTAGCCAGGAAGCTTTTGTACATGGATTAGCATTGTGCTAACTGCACACCTAAATCATCACAAACTTACCTCCAACCGTGTGGAGCTCCGCAGTATTCCTAAATACACTTGCTTATGTGGCTTCTGACACTGTATTGTACACTGTTATCTATAAAAATGGACAAGTGTGTGTTAGCATAGCTAAAACCAGTAATAACATCCACCCTGAAGTGTTAATTGTTGGTTTTTATAAACAGTTTGCAGATTGATGCTACCAATGCTAACTGGATATAAGCTTCCATTACTTGTTAGCTACATTAGCCTCATAGTTGCAGTGCAATATAGAATAATGTGTCAATATGACTAACTACATTTTGCGCAGTTGATTTTTTTCCCATGGAATTTGCTGGGAAATTGCGGGGAGGAAGACTCTTGGGAGAAGAATTTGATTTGTGCCAAGCAATCACTTTAATTTGCTAAACTCTGAGTTAGCTCGCTGTGCTATGTGCAATGTAGCTGTGAGAAAACCTTGTCTAACCTAAAGAAGAAGCTGTGCTTTTTTCATTCCCACATTAACAATGTAGCCAAACCAGGCCTGGCGTTGTTCTCATTCCTGGTATAGGTGTGGAATGAGCTGCTCTTCTTAACGTGTGGTTCGTATTTTTCAGATAATTGATGAGGCGCTGGAGTGCAGCTGGCTCCCTGTCTCCCTCAGCAACATGTACACCGCCACGTGTGAAAATCTGATTGGACCGTGGGTGAGTGAGCATGACACGAGATGTTTGGTCCTAAACGTTTCAGCAACCGGCCTGGTGAAAAACTGCCTGTTGAAAGTTTGCGTTCTTCTGAAATTTGAATATTGTGTGAAAAAGTGTAAAGTTTTATTAACATCAGCTAATTATAACATAACATTTTCCAATCCTTTAGGCATATTTAGCTTCAACACTCAGGCAACAAAATAAAGGTTTATATCTAATGTAAGTTATTGCAAGCTGACAGAACAAAAGCTCAGTTATTAAAAACATTAGAAAAGGTAGGTGTCCCCAAACTTTTGACAGTATTTAATTCTAATTTAAAAAGACAATAACAAAAGTATTGAAAATGCCAATAGTGTTGCATGAGAAAGTCTTTGCCATTTTAGCATAGTAAAATACTGTAACATAAAAATTGAACCATTTTATTAAACATTGTAAAGTTGGTTAAATACTGTAACATTTGATTAAATATTATAATTGTACTTAAATATTGTAATGTTTTGGTTAGGAATGGAAGTTAAATACTGTATTTTTTTTAGTTAAATATCATAAAGATAGTTAAACATTGTAATGTTTGGTTAAATACTGTAACGTTTGGTGAAATATTGTAACATTGTTTAAAAATTTGGTTATAACACCAATAACCATAACATTTTGGTTAAATATTGTGAAGGTAGTGAAATATTATACTGTTTTTGGTTAGATCTTGTAAAGTTGGTTAAATATTGTAATTTTCTGGTTAAATATTGTAAAGTTAATTACATTTTTTAATATTCTAAAGGTTTCTAATTATTGACGTAGTTATTTTAAACTAACAGAACAAATAAAGCTCAATTAGAGCTCATTTAGCAAGGTAGGTGGCCCCAAACTTTTCAGAATATTTAATTGTAACTTAGGTGGACTATATCAAAAGTGTTACAAATTATAAAGTTTTGCCCGAAAGAGGGTTAGGTGTTTTAGCATAGTTCAATACTTTAATACTAGATCAATATAGTAAAATTCAGTCAAATAGTATAAAGGTAAAAATTGGAATGTTTGGTTAAATATTGTAAAGTTAATTAAATATTGTAATGTTATTTAAATTTTGTAAAGTCAAATGTTGTTTGCTTAAATTTTGTAAAATTGTTGAGGTACATTACTTAAATATAGTTATGTTTGGTAAAATATTGTAAATTTAGTTCAAAAGTAGAAGTTAGATAAAATTTTAACCAAACATTTGGTAAAATATTGTAAAGTTACTTAAATATTTTAATGTTATTTAAATATCATTACGTTTGGTAATATATCATGAATTTAGTTAAAAATTTAAAGTTAGCTAAAAATTAAACCAAATGTTTGGGTACATTTTGTAAATGTAGTTAAATAGTGTAATTTCACTTATATAGTTAAGTAATACTGGTGTATCTTCAAATGGAACATTGAATAAATATTGGAATATCAGTTGAATATTGTATCTGTAGTTAAATATTCTAACATTAGTTGCACATTGTTACATAGTTAAATGTTAAAAGTGTAGTTAAATGTTTACATATTACAATATTGTGAGGAAACTATGGCTGTAAGAATGTCAGCATAAGTCATATGAAGAAATATATTATAATGCAAATTGTGATCTAATTATATGGATCTTACTTGGAGCCTTTCTCTGTGTTTGAGTGTAGAATGCATTCTGGCTGTCTCTGGGTTGGTGTTGTGCGTTCCTCATTCCTGGTGTCATCTTCAGTATCCTGGCAGCTCGACTGTGGAAGCCTCCAACTTCACCTGTGAAGTGAGTCAAAACTCTTACAATATCCACGAATGTCCATATCAGTCCAGCGCAGCAAGAAGAACTCAGTATTACAGCACTGTAATACTAAAGACCGGAGGTTAAACCGGAATCAGTTAGCAAATTCACTACAGTCAGCTTACATGGCTAAAGTAGCTCGCTAAGCTACAGAAATCACAACGTGAAGTGAATGGGGGGGGGCTGTCAAAGCTGTAACCTGATTGGCCCAAAAGAATGTTTTGGTGGAAAGTTACATACACAAGTATCCATTTACCCCAGATATGTAGATGATCAGATAAGACATGCTGAAGTCAATAGTCACCCAAATCTTTTCTGTAAATACATCCCCAAAACTTCGCTCAACACACTAAAACCATATCCAGCTCTATATGAAGCCTCTACAGGCTTGTTGATGTGGTTTACAGCAAAGTATGACTTACTGTGAGCTGCAAAGTATAAAAATGAATAAAAGTATAAAATGCCTCTGTTCATTTTATACTTTTATTCATTTTTATACTTTGCAGCAAGTCGTACAACTGTCCTAAACAAGTCTGCTCAGCTTAATGATGTGGTTTGAGTGGGTTAAGAGAAGTTTTGGGGATGTATTTACAGAAACGATTTGGGTGTTTGACTTCTAGTGTTTGTAAGCAAGGTTAGCCATATTGTTCCAGCACAAAACTAAAAGAAGCAAAATTTGGTCACCAAACATGTCTTGGCTAATCGAATACATCTGGGGTGAGAAGTCAATTCTGTAAATTTAATTTTCCTCCAAACAATTTCTTTATTTTGCTTATGAAACATGACTATTCTTTCATTTTTCTGTGGTGTGAATGACGGTGAATATGGTTAAAGGTTCAGTTATGCTGCCGAAAACTCTGAAGAGGATGCAGTTCACTCACTTTAACTCCTGATAACAAGGCAAATAGACAGGAGAGCTGTTCCAGGTTATTTCAGTATTAGACTACATGCTGTATTTAGTGTGCTATGTTGAGAATGAGCAGACTGAAAGATACGTGTATTACTTTGTTTTCTGTAACTGCAGTAGGGAGCGATTCCACATGCCAGATGACATCTTTGATAAAGGCACAAACACCAGCTGCATGACCCTGGGCTCCCTGAAAGGCAAAAGGTACCGTCATCTACAATCACACTTAAACAGTAGAGTAAAATGACGCTGGAAGAGCAGCACTTAAAGGGAAATTCTGCCAATTTTGTTTTAAATTTCTGCGTAATTCACTCATTATGATGTAGACAAAGTCATTCAGAGTGGTTTGGTGTGAAATGCTCTGTTCTAGAAAAACGTTCAGTCAGAATTGTTCACAGTGGTGGTGATAGGAACCAGACGTCCACTTCTAAAAGCTCCCTCACAGAAAATTATTTTTTTTCAGATTCATCACTTTTTTAACTATCATCAACGTGCATGGTTTTGGACAGTAAATAAAATGGCTATACATGTGTACCTGCTTGTTCAGTGATCCTTCAAATCAGATGTATATATATATATATAATAGATAGATAGATAGAATATTTAGTCTTTAATTGACTTTGTTTTTACCCACAGGACGGAAGGCAACACCTACAAGAGAATGGAAGAGCCCATGGATTTCAAGTACTGTACAATTCAAAACCAACTAGCATGACTGAACTTGCAGTTCAGTGATTAGTAATTAAACTGTTATATAAATGCATTTGGATTTAAAACAAAATTTAATACTGAATTTGAATGGATGCATCTAAAACCGCATATTATTACATCATAAAAACTATAAGATGTGCATTTTTATATCACTGGGAATCTAGTCAATATGTTATGTTATATTTGTTTCATGGTTATATAAAATTATAGTATCATCAATTTTACCATGCAAAAAACGCCATGTGGCGCAACCAAACACTAATATTATATATTACATTTATATAGTTAATGGCCATTGCTGAAAATGTGTATAAACTAGTCTTCATACTTGGACGCCGATATAAACGTTAGTCCTTGAACTCAAATACATATTTTTTTTACAAATAAATAAACATTGCTATAATAATAACACATTTTCATGGTTTTCCTGGTCGCACCACTGACTTAGTAAACCTATCCAGCCTAACCTTGACTCAAAAAATATTTTTTTTTCAGTATTTGTAAAAGAGCTACTGACATTTTGGTCAGTTTGATCCAATACGCTGCCCACTCTTATGTAAAAGCATGGCAGAATAAAAGTCCTTTGTTGTTGGTTGTGCCACATGACGTAAGGAAATGGACAGAAGCTTTTAAATTAATTTTTAAATTTTTTTTAAATTGTAACGATTTTAAAGGTTTCAAATGTACAGTCATGCCAAACTATTTGATTCGGAACTTTAGATAACTTTTAAATCATTTATTTAATCTAAATGCCTGGCTGGATGGTCGCACCGCCTGACGTGTTTAGACTTTGTGAGGCACAAATAATTAAAAGGAATTTTATTTCGATGCTCTGAAAATGTATTGATTGAACCAATTTTATCATTACAAAACAATCATAACACTACCGAAACTTTACCAGATGTGTCAGAAGTGACTGTTTCGGTGGTGACAATTTTAGCTCAATTTGAGCAGAACTCAAAGACGCTAGCCAGTACTTGACTAGCAAACACAGCTTTGAACAGTTGTACACACAGAAAATCATCATATTTTTTATTAAAAAACAAAAATTTACTCATTTGCAGAAAATATGTTTCAGTAGTGACAGTTCTTTTCAAACTCTGGGACACATTTACTTCAAAACAATAGGGCTCACCATGTGGCCATAAATGACAGGGATGCAGTCTTACTTCCTGCTGTAAAATGCAGGGGCGTGGTTAAAATAAGGCTCCGCCTAAAACTGTGTTTCGGTAGTGACATGAAAACATGGGACAACATTTTTGTATTGCAAAATTAACTTATGTTAATCTAAAGCTTTCAACTTGAAAAACAAACAAACAAACAAAGGGCTTTAAAAACAACATAAAAAAATACATAAAAAAAGAATTAAAATTTAATAAGGTGTGATGTCATTGACTCACTGTTCTAATGGATAGTGGTGCACTGTTTTATTTAGTATGGCAGTATGCAGTTTAGGATCCAGCCTGTAAGCACTTAACTTAATAATACAGTGACTTTTGTTCTGTGTTTTACCAATTTAACTGCACTAAATCAAATCAAACAGGCCTAATTATGCTTAATTTGTTATGAAATAAGTAGTTAATCAGTGGTGTTTAAGCACTGACGATATCCGCAGTATACTCAGAAAAGCGTATCATGACAGAATTGATCATGATAACGATAAAATATCGTCATATTGCCCACCCTTACCTGAAAATCACTGGGGTACTAAGTTTTGTTGTTGATTGTTGATTGTTGTTGATCTGAAATGCAGGAAGAACGGAGACACTAAGAAGACTAACTTCAACATCTACATGACTCTGGACGACGTGATCAGCTTTGATAAAGGCAAAAAGGAGAAAGGAGGCTGCAGCGCATAAAGCGACAATAAAGGATCAGGAACACGAAGAGATTTCGGGGGCTAAGGGGGCACACCTTCCAAATACTCGTTTTTTATCCTTAAATAATGTCTCATTTTTCCCTCTTCATGGCTGCCTTTTGTTTTGTCTTTAAGCTTGTACTTCTTCTGGCTGCTTCTTTACATAAGGCTGTTTATTTTTGAACATTATTAATAAAACCTACCAGCTAATGATGTTTTTGCTTCTGTTCATATCAAACACATTGAATTGCCTTTGTATGTGAACTGTGCTCTATAAATAAACTTGCCTAAAAAAGTTGTGAGCCTGTAGTCCACTCTTGTAACTCTAGAGGGCAGCAGTGATCCATTTTTGGTCAAACATCAGGCCATCATATATCCAATGTAATCAGCCAGTGTTCTGATTCAGGTATTTGGACACTGCTGAACGTCTCCAGACTGGACTTTCTGACCCCTTCTCCACCTGGTAGCTGTGTTTGTGGGCAGAAATATCCAGGCAAGTTTGAATGCATTCTCAGTACTTTAGAGAGTGAAAAAAAGAGAGAGAGAGAGTTTCTGGAAGTAGTATGTAAAAATATTGACTTATTATTTCAAAAATAATGACTTACTTCCCTAAAATAATGATTTAGTATTTCAAAATAATGACTTAGTATTTCAAAATAAAGACTTATTTCCTTAAAATATTGACAGTATTTCAAAATAAAGACTTATTTCCTTAAAATATTGACAGTATTTAAAAATAAAGACTTATTTCCTTAAAGTATTGACTTGGTATCTCAAAATAATGGCTTATTTTATCAAACTGACTGAAAGATACTGACTTAGTATCTTGAAATAATCATGTATTTTGTCGAAATAATAACTCAAAAATGTCAACAGGATCTTGGAATAATGACTTGTTTCCTCAAAAATTGACCAGATATGTCAAAATAACATTTTGGCAAACAAAATATTCACTTATTATAAATAATTATAATATATTTACTTAAAATGTCTATACTTAATATTATTTTCCCAAAATTTTGACTTAGTATCTCAAAATAATGACTGTTTTTCTCAAAATTTTGAGTTACTATCTTCAGATAATGACTTTTTCCCCACATCAATATTTTAAGGTATTAAGTCACTGAGATACTAAAGCATTAGTTTCAGAAACAGAAAAGAAAAAACAAAAACAAGCAACGTTTTTCTCCTCTACCTGGTGGTCATGGGCTTTACCTTTTTTTAAAATCAAAATAACCACATTTAGAGCTGTTATTAATTTCAAATTATATTTATTTTCAAAGTCACACTACTAGAATAAACTGTAGTTTTGATTGTCTTGATCAGTGAAAAACGTGACTGATAAGCTAAGCATAAAATTCTGTCTGCAGCTGTTATAATGTTGTAGCACCTCACGAAAAAATACAAAGACTATCTGAACAGTGTGACGTCACACGCATTAAACTTCATAATTTCACACACTTTAGATGTTTTGACAAAAACTGAATTGTGTGCTACAATGTTTCATTATGTTGAACTAGATTTTTACGAACACTTTGTAAAGTTTGTCTAAGCTGGCAGCATTTGCTATGAATGACCTGATTTGTAGGTGGAAATAGTTGCCATGGAACCCATTGCAATGCTGTATTAATGTGTGAAGGCCTGTTTTCTGAGGTAACGCTAAAAGATTATAAAAATGAAGACAAGCTACATACTGGGCAACAGCATGAAAGCCTGTCTGAGTCGAGTCTCAAGTCTCTGAGAGTGCGAGTCCTGGTCAAGGCTCGAATCTTTAGTTGTGAACTTTGGTTTTTAAAATCTCCAATTTTTATTAGCTAAACCTGCTGTACTGTTTACACAGACAGCTTTGCATGGCCTCCTGTACAGTCTTCTCTCTGGGAGGGCCCTGGCTGTACGCTTACACACCTGACATGGACCAAATAGAGTCTTAGCCAGTAATTTTGACTTTCGGCTATTCAGTAATGAACCTCTACATGAAAAAGCAAACGATAAACACAATCTCTTGTTTAGACGTTATCTGAAGAGGTCTCTAACTAAAGTTTATACTACAGGGTGATTCAAAAAGATTAATCCGATTTCAAAGCGGCATATTTTTACAACCGTGAGGCACCTAGGAACCAATCACATACCAATTGAAAGAGGGGGTCATAGAGTTTCTGTCACCAGAAGATGGCTCCTTCAGTCGGTGAGGAGATGTGACCTATGAGCAGAAAGCGTTTTGCATTCTCCACTTCAATAAGAGTGAATCCGTCGTAACTGTGGAACATGATTTTCTTCGGCAGCTCAGAGCGTTCAGCGTTGGTTCCACAACACTGGATGATCTCCAAAATTGCACTGAAAGAGCCGTGAGCACAGCGACACCCCGACATGCTCAATCGAGTATGGGATGAATTGGACTATGGCGTTGATGTTGTCCGTACAGCTGGAGGAGGTTCATACTGAGACCTTGTAAAATTACATAATAAACTTTATGCTCATTTAAACCATTTACAGTTTACTGCATTGTTCTGTGATGATTTACAAGTGAAATAAGTCATTTTGACATCGGAGGATTTCACCCTGTAAAACACCTCATTTGATATCCCTACAAGCGTTTAGAGGCATCATAAAAAAATGACGGCATTACGGCTGCAAAAGTGCATCTTTTAGAAACTAAAGGTTTTATTTAACAACATCAAATCTTGAACACGATTTTTCTCAGAATGCAGTTCAGTTGAGGGCACATCTGAATCCACTCGCAAGTTAGTTAGGGGCAAGGTTGAGTCCCATTGTGAGTCAGTTAAGGGCAAGTCTAAAACCAGTTGTGAGTCAGTTAAGTGCTATTCTGAACCCAGTTTCATGTCCATTAAAGTCAGTTAAGAGGAAGTCTTTAGTCCAGTTTCAAGTCAGATAAGGACAAGACTAAGGCTCAATCCCATTTCTTCTTTTTACCCCTAGCCCTCGTTTTCGAGTGTCACGCTAACCCCTTGGAACGGAGTTACAAAGGGTAGTGGTTGAAATCTTGCCCTACAAAATGGGACAACCCTCAAATAAAAAAACAAAAAAAAACAAAACAAAACAAAAAAGATTACTTCATTAACAGGCTACTAGCTCTGTAGGCGACCCGGCCCAACTTCAGTTATAGGAGAGAAGGGAAAAGTTCAGCAACCTCACTGCTGGGTTTTAGTTACATTTAGGGCATCATAAGCTTTCAAACAGGGGGGGCAAGACAATTATTTATTATTACCCATCGCTAATTCTTTGGTGATACGAAGCTGAAGTCAGCTATTCACCCGGTTCTTGTTCGAATTTTCCTGTTCCACCTTAAATAGTTAATTACATCTGGCGCTTCAGGCGTCAGAACTGCTGTACTATTTAAGGTGGAACGGGAAAATTAGCTAGCTAGCTACCAAAACATTAGCATACTTTTAGCGATTTTTTATGCTTGTTACGAAGAAAATGACCATAATACACTGAAACAACATTAAACACTAAAACAACATTAAACTAAGAATGGTTATTGTAATTTTTTAACAGAGAAAATTCTCACATTTGTGGGTTTCTTTGGTTGCTTGTGCAGCCATCTTGCCGGTTTTTCTTTTTTTCTCATAACACTCTGTTTGGAGTGCGCCTCTGAAAAACCTCTGTTTGGAGGTCCATGTAGCCCTAACACTTCGCCCCACCCCTCTGTCTCAGCAAAAATTGGGACACCCTAACACTAGATGTGAACACACAAAACAGGGCTAAGGGCTACGTGGTAGGGACAAGGGGTGAAATGGGATTGGACCTAAGTCCAGTTGTGAGTCAGTTAAGGACAAGTCTGAGTCCATTTGCAAGTCAGTTATGGTCTATTCTGAGCCCAATCGCAAATCAGTTAGGGACAAGTCTAAATCCAGTTGTGAGTCAGTTAAGGACAAGACTAAGTCCGTTTGTGAGTCCATTAAGGGCAAGTCTGAGTCCAATTGTGAGTCAGTTAGGGGCAAGTCTGAGTCCAGTTGCGAGTCAATTATGGTCTATTCTGAGTCCAGTTACAAGTCAGCTAAGGACAAGACTATGTCCAGTTGTGAGTCAGTTAAGAGGCAAGTCAGAGTCCAGTTGCGAGTCAGTTATGGTCTACTCTGAATCCAGTTGAGGGCAAGTCCGGGCCCAGTTGTGAGTCAGTTAGGAGCAAGTCTGAGTGCTTTGTGAGTCAGTTATGGTCTATTCTGAGTCCAGTTGCAAGTCAGTCAAGGGCAAGTCCAAGTCCAGTTGCAAGTCAGTATTGGGCAAATCTGAGTCCAGTTGTTAATCAGTTAGGGGCAAGTCTGATTCCAGCTGCAGATCAGTTGAGGGCAAGTCGGTGTACAGTTCTGAGTCAGTTAAGGGCAAGTCTGAGTCTGAGTTGCTGACTTGAGTCGAGCCCATGTCTCTGATAAGGTGTGACATTGCTCTGCCTTATGCTGGCTGTTTGTGAAACACTACCACTCTGGACAGGCTGTCAGAACACTTTTGTAAAATGGCTTTCGATCCAGTCAAATGCATTTATGCACTGAAGTTGCTGCCTTGTACTGTTATACACAGACCACAAAGCCTCAACTTCATTAAAAGTCTGCTCAGAATCTTTTCACCCTCTTCGTAATCAATGCTGAGCAACTTATTCATGTCGCGTCAGCCGTTTGCTGAGTTAGACAGAGAATAAAAATATGTTCTACGACAACTTGGGACACATCAATGGTTCTCTTGCAAAAAAATGGGCAACGAATGACAGAGACAAATAAACAAATAAACAGAAACTGCTATTCAGACTCCAAACAAATGGAAAAAAAATAGGTTTAATGTAGATTCTGTGCACAGAAGACTTTCTAGAAGTATTCAACATGAAAGAAAAGCTTCTGTGTTGGTAGGATCTGCAGACATGTTGTTCCTGAGTTGGTCATGCTAATTGTGAGCTAAACCACAAAAATTTTAGGCACAATCGAACAGCTAGAATTAACTCAATGTAATTTATTTTTCTCCCAATTGCAAACAAAGCATTCCTTCTTTGGCAGGTAACATTTTATCAACACCGATTATGCTGATGCAAGACATTTCTTGTATCCCTACTGATAAATACAAGCTTGGATCACAGATTGCATTCAGTGCACCATAAATAACACTTTGTCACAAATATCGTGGTGATCTAGCCCTCGGGTCCAGCTGTGCCACGCTTCCTCAGAACCATCTACTCCCATCTGAAACTGAACAAAGAACAGACTTGGAGAAAAGTGCATTTAAAAAATCTTTCCCTCTAAGCGTGAGTCATGATTGGAATCAAGGAATCCCCACCACTTCAGCAGGAAAGAGTCTGAGACTGTGTGTATGGACAGTGGTGATGCATGGCTTGAGGATCTGAAGGCACAGATTTGGGGGCTCAGTGACCCTCATTCCTGTAGCTTGAAGTGAAAGGACTGAGTGCTCCACTGCGTGACATCACAGTTCAGCATGGTGCGCTCGGTGAAGCTCACGTTATCCTCGCTGTCAATCAGGATTACTGTGTTGGTCCTGCAGGGGAAGCAGAAGAAAGAGTGTGATGACCCAATGACTCACTATTTGTAACAAAAGCTGAGTAAGAACGGTTTGGATTTCCTGGAAGAAAAGCCTGAAGGAACTCAGCTTTCTGACTCAAGGTTTCATGCGCAAATGGGACACATTTTGGCCCAAAACGGAATGCATGGGATCTACAAATGTAGTGTCCAAGCCTAGAAGTGCAATTTATGCAATGTCATCAAACCATTCAGTGACCCCTCGTGCCCTGTGGACAGGGGCACTGTCATCCTGGAAGGATAGAAATGTTTCAGCATAGGATAAAGGAGATCCCAGGGGTATTGATTTGCAGGCACATGTGTCAGACTCCAGTCCTCTACGGGCGAAAGCACTGCAGACTTCAGCGCACTGCCTCATTAAACACACCTGATTCAGCTAGGCCTATGTGAACTGAATTCAGAGCGTTAGATGAGGGTAAACGCTAATCTCCGCAGCACTTTGGCCTGGAAGGTCCCCAGTTTGACACGCCTGCTCTAAGGGGACAAGTGGACCCAAACCAAGCCAGCAAACAGCTGGAACCGGACCTCCTTACTGTAGGGGTCAAGCATTCAGGTCTGGTGTATGCTGCACATGCACTCTCCCACTTGTGGAGAATATGGTAAAGGATGAATCATCTGCTTGTACCACTGTGTTCCACATCTCTGTAAACCTGCCGATGGTTTCTACACCACTGACCTCTCAAATGGTCATTTGTCTTTGGAATGGGGGGTGGGGTTTATGCACTGCAGTCCTACTATAACATCCTGCTTCAATGTAGTTGTGGATGAGCTGTTCTTGCCGAGTTTGATCACATCCTGCATGGACATTCACCGGAGGAAGAAATGCTCTTATGTTTTTCCTTACACATCACACTAATGTGATACGTAAGGAAATCACATCACTGAACGCTCACTGAATGAGCACATTCGACCACGGTTTCCAACCCTGTTTATTAATATCTTTCCTATAGATCTAAATGCAGACCTCACTTCAATCACTGTTCCAACTGAATAACTAGCCAGTTGCAGTCTTTGTGAAGCGCCTTGAGTTTCCAGTATGTCAGGTCAATGTGCGACTTGAGTCCCCATCTCTGGTGGACTCTAGTTGAGAAATGTCACTTTTTCATCATGAAACATAACTTCCTGTGCATTTTAATGGATATATGGATTTTGCACATCTAGTGCAACTGTCCCCTGGAGAGTTTATGAGTGTAATCAGCCAACCTGGTGCCATATCCCGGTGACCGCACACAAACAGCAGACAGAGCTTGGAGCATGGTCTTGCTGTAGCCCACCCCCTGACTCTCCTGCATGGGGTCCGGGGAGTTTCTGAGAGGGGGAGAGAAAGAGAGAGAGAGGGAGATGTAATGGAAGCAGCATAGATATAAGACAGTTACTTGGTCTATTTGGTCAGAAGTGCCAGGTATTTGATCAGAATAATTGGGTCATTTGATATGATCATATCAACATTTGCAGTGGTTTATTGGTTCTCAAGATTGAATTTTAGATTTTGTAAACCGTTGTTCTGATCAGACAGGTCCGGAAAGAGGTATGGTTTATTTTGTCCCAAACAAATGTCCGTCATCACTGGTAACTTGCACTCAACTAAGTTGTATTTTGCTGACTGTTGGTTACCAGCAACAGAAGGGGTGCCAAGTTGGGGGGTTGTGACAGGTTGGAAGTGGAAGGGTGGTGTTAGGATAACACACTAAAACTTTGAATAGGCTTGTATTCTTGCATACTTAGGTCAAATGTAGTTAGGCTAGTTTATTTTATGTTCGTTTGGTGGAGCAGTTTTCATTTTTAGAGGGGAGCATGCATGACAAGGTCCACAAGCTCTTCTTACAGAATTACCTGAATGACTACAAAGGTAAGGATCTCATGACAAGTTACTCAATGAGGTCAGCCAAGAAGACGGGCGCTGCTGGATTGGTGCTAAATAAGACTCACGGTGGTAATTTGGTGACCAAAAAGTACTTATAAAGCAAAAGTTACTGCATTAAACAGTGCTGTGTTATCATATGTTCATTGTTATATGACAAAAGGTTCAAAACAACAATGAAATCAGCAGTATACAGCGATGGGCGAACGAACGTTTTCTTCATTCAGTGGTCCATGGTTGCTTGGCAACGAAACCATACTCTAAAGGAACTAAATTTCTTGGCGGAATACTTATTTATGTTGATTATTATTAATAATAACTGGAAATATTTTCTGGAAAATTGTGTATTTTGTCATTTTATGTTGGCTGCCATTTTATAAAAGCAATAAGAAACTTGAGGCTGTGCATTACTGCGATTTTTTCACAGGGAAGGAAGGGAAGAACTGCAAGTTCAGTTGGTTCTTGTTTGGGTCGGTACTTGTTTTTGAATGTGCAGTGGGAAAAGTGTGAGGTTGTGATCCTGGAACGATCATCTTTTTGTATTTTTGCCGACATCTTGGTTGAATAACATTCAAAAACATTCATGAAAAACATTCTTAACTTCAACTGTAGTTTTCTTTCAAAAATTAAAACACAACAAAATGGGGATGCAAGATTTTGTCCCAGTGGCGCTGATAAATTATTTCTTAAGTCACTGTTGTGAATCTGGTCCCTGAACCGCATTACACAGCCAACCACTACAGCAAAGCCTTTGTATGAACCTGCTCTAGAAATCAATGGTGTCCCTGTACGCTGTAAGTGGTTAATAAAAGCCAGCGTAGCTTCTGTATTCCCCCGAGCTCTTCAGCTCACCTTCAGAGATAATGAATGTAAATGCAGGGATCTGCTTCCCTTGCTAGTTTAAATACGCTTGCTTGATATGACATTTAAATAATGACCATATTAAAAAAAGAAAAAAAAAAACAGTCACAGTTGCAAACGGCTACAGAGCTAAAAGGGAAATGGCTAAAAGCTCTGCTCAGGTGAGGAGGTGAGGAACTAGCAACGTTTCCACTGTTAGTCTAAGAGCCGTTTCAAAAGTTGCTAACAGATCATTTGTGCCGAGGTTAACGACTCAGAAGCTCATTGAAATTCTTTTTTTTTCCCGTCCTGTCCACGCATCCGCACGAAGACACGGGACGTTTGGAGTCGAGTTACTTGCAAAAGTCAGAGTGTGGTAAGTAAGACTGAGAGAGCGAGTGCGAGAGAGAGAGAGAGAGAGAGAGTGAGAGAGAGAGAGAGAAAGAGAAACAGAGAGAAATAGAGGGAGCAAGAGAGAGAGAAAGAGAAAGAGAGAGAAAGAGAGGGAGCGAGAGAGAGAGAGAGAAAGAGAGGGAGCGAGAGAGAGAGAGAGAGAGAGACAGAGCCAAAGAGAGGGAGCGAGAGCGAGAGAGAGAGAGAAAGAGAGGGAGCAAGAGAGAGAAAGAGAGAAAGAGAGAGAGAGAGAGAGAGAGAGAGAAAAAGAGTGAGTTAGTGTGGAAGCCCAAGTTTCCTCTCTTCAGATGTTCGAAAAAAAAGCATCAGATGTTTCGCAGTGATGTGAAGAGCAGTGGCTCTTTTTTCTCCCCACAAGTGAGGAAATTCATTAACATTACCCTCAGATAACATGACAAGATGTTCACCTTAGAAAATCAAAGAATTGAAATTCTTTCAAAAACAGCTCCCGCTTAAACTCTCGCAGTCCAACTTTCTAATAAACTCTCCTGCTCTGCGCCTCGAGAAGACCCTGAGATCAAAGTGGACCGAGAAAGGTCTCAGATTGAGAGAGAGAGAGAGAGAGAGAGAAAGAGAGAGATAGTATAGAAACAGATAGACATATATACATTAGGGGTGGGAATCTCTAGGTACCTCACGGTTCGATTCGATTACGATTCAGAGGGCTGCGATGCGATTATCTCGATGCATCTTTTTTTCTATACAGCATTATTATTTACTCACTGTGTGAGCTCAAGTTTCGAGTTTCAAGTTTATTTGTCATTTGCAGAACATGTCAGGACATTTATGCATTCAAATGCTTGTGGTGAGGCTCAGCTAATCAAGCTAATCAATAAAGTAACTGAAATATATTAAATATACACAAAATATACACAGAATGTAGAGACAATATACATTTTAAAGTGACTAACTGACTCAGTGTTATTGTTATTTAAAGTGACTTGGTACTTTTAAACCAAAGAATTTGTAATGATCCATAATGAATTTACTTCCAATATCTCTTATTAATTAATCAAATGGAAGTGATGTGGCAAGTCAACTAGAAGGCTCTCATTCAGTGCTCTTGTTTAGAGCACATGAGAAGCTGCTGCTACTCATCTGCGATAAAATGCACAGTTATGGTGAAATAAGATCCAGTGTCAGTGGACGTCCACGCAGCACGTTACATTCTATTCTACCTGTTTTCTTTAGTGATTTTATAACTTCGGTTTTGGTCTCGTTGTAGAGACGGGCGGGGTCACTGTGTCAGTAAAGTATCTTTGAGACGGGACGTGTGAAACACAGCACGAAAGCCCTGTTTCGCAACGACTGAGAACCGGCGTGCAGACTGCAGGTCACATAGCAGCGATGCGTTATTCGCATTTATAAGCAGCGCAGTTGGTTTCCTGGTACGTTAAATCTGCAACGAGAGACTGTCACACACTAAACAGTTACTAAGATGAAGTCGCTTCTCTTTCGAATTCTCCCGTTCCACCTTAAATGGTGCCGCATTTACATTTGGCGCCTCAGTTAGAATTTAAGGTGGAATGGGTAAATTCGAACAAGAAGCTGGAGAATAAGAAGCGACTTCAGCCTCGTAAAACAGTCGAACGCATTTTACAACAAAGCTGCTCTAGTTTTGAATAAAAGTTTTCTGGCGGAGATGGGAGGAAAGCGGCTATAGCTAAAGCTTAAAGCAGTGCGAAGTAAATCTGTGTTTTCGTTTATGTTGTTTAGTCTATACTAGGACATTATCACATACTGAGACATACTGGACATTAAATGTTGTGGCTCCCAAGGTGGTTTGATTTTTGTTGAAAGGACAAAATGGCTCTTCTTATCATCTGGGTTGTGACTCCTGACAACCTGGCTTTAATGCAGAGGGAGCTGGTCGGATTTCTCACTCACCCAGTAGTTTTTGTTATGTGCCGCCAGACTGTCCAGGTGCTGCACTTTCCCACTTCCAAGTTCCACCTTTTACGTTCTGTCATTACGCTATAAATTAAATATTTAGAAAATCGTTTTTTGACCTTCATGAATCGATTCAGAATCGTTCACGTCCGCATCACGATGCATCTAAGAATCGATTTTTTCCCGCACCCCTAATATATATATATACACATATATATATATATATATATATATATATATATATATTTACACACATACACACACACACACACATGTATATGCATGTATATATATATATATATATATATATATATATATATATACATACAGTGGTGTGAAAAAGTGTTTGTCCCCTTCCTGATTTCTTATTCTTTTGCATGTTTGTCACACTTAAATGTTTCAGATCACCAAACAAATTTAAATATTAGACAAAGATCACACAAGTAAACACAAAATGCAGTTTATAAATGAAGGTCTTTATTATTATTATAAAAAGAAATCCAAACTTACAGGGCCCTGTGTGAAAAAGTGATTGCCCCCTAAACCCGATAGCTGGTTGGGCCACCCTTAGCAGCAACAACTGCAATCAAGCATTTGTGATAACTGGCAATGAGTCTTTTACAGCGCTGTGGAGGAATTTTGGCCACTCATCTTTGCAGAATTGTTGTAAAATAGCTACATTGGAGGGTTTCTGAGCATGAACCGCCTTTTTAAGGTCATGTCACAGCATCTCAATCGGATTCAGGTCAGGACTTTGACTAGGCCACTCCAAAGTGAGGCCCGCAGTTCTTTGGATGTTGTTGTGGGGTCTTTTGTGACCTCTTGGATGAGTCGTCGCTGCGCTCTTGGGGTAATTTTGGTCAGCCGGCCACTTCAGGGAAAGTTCACCACTGTTCCATGTTTTCACCATTTGTGGATAATGACTCTCACTGTGGTTCGCTGGAGTCCCAAAGCTTTAGAAATAGCTTTATAACCTTTTCCAGACTGATAGATCTCAATTACTTTGTTTCTCATTTGTTCCTGAATTTCTTTGGATCACAGCATGATGTCTAGCTTTTGAGGATCTTTTGGTCTACTTCACTTTGTCAGGCAGGTCCTATTTAAGTGATTTCTTGATTGAGAACAGGTGTGGCAGTAATCAGGCCTGGGTGTGGCTAGGGAAATTGAACTCAGCTTTCCAAAGATGTGATAAACCACAGCTAATTTATGTTTTAATGGGGGGGGCAATCACTTTTTCACACCACTGTATATTTATATATATATATATGACAAATAGACAGACAAACAGACAGATAGATAGCTAAACAGATCAACAGAGACAGACAGAAAGGGAGGAATGGGGGAAAAGATGGTGCTAAATAAATGAAAACTCACAGCTCCTCATCGTTAAGGACGTGCAGCAGTTCCTGGACGAGGCCTTCAGGGGGCAGCGTTTTGTCCACCACGCTGGTGAAGCGGCGTTTGCCGTGCTGCAGTTTCCGCCAGGGGGTCTCCAACAAAGAGTTACTCAGGGCATAGATTCCTGCTGGAACACACACACACACACACACACACACATACTGTCTGAACAAGTGCTGAATGGGGCTCATGCTTCTGTTACATCAAGCGTGTGTGTGTGTGTGTGTGTGTGTGTGTGTGTGTGTGGAGAGCTAACAAGCGGTCATGCTGTAGGTGTCAACTCATACGGTTTACCTGTAAGATATGGCAATGTTAAATGTTTACGGCTGTATAAAGCTGTGATATGGGAAATCTAGTCTAATACAGTTTCACCATAAACTCTCCATTTCGAGAGTGATTTGCAGAAAAACTAGTGTGTAACTTACTTAAAAAGGCCTTAACAAAGATACATTTACCCCTCACTCTCACCTCGCAGGTGACTCTACATCTCTGACTGCCTTTGACTGTTTAACTGTCAACGAACGGATTTTTTTTCATCAAAATATTTGGAATGAGTAACTACACAATGTGTTGATCTTTAAATACTATAAATACTAAAATAACAGAATAATTCTTGCTTTTTCTCAAAGAAACCATGTTTACATGATAAAACCTTTTGGAGTTATGTTTCGATTTCTTGAACAACAATCAATGAATCATTTAAAATCCTATGTAAAACTTAAAACTACAATAAAACATTAATCTAAACATCTAAGCAAAACTAATGATACTAGTAAAATGTTAAATACTTTATTTGATTCAGTGTGATTTCCAAAAGCAAAAACACAAAATTATTCTACGTAAAAAAGACGATTCTGAATGAAAAACTTCACAATAACTGCAGTTTTCTTTGCCATGGCTCTGTAAGCGCTCACTCGCTGGCTACTGGCTAAATCCATCACAATGTTGCTTCAAGGCAACAAAATATATCAGCAATTTTGCATAACATGAAAAGTTATTTAGATGACACTGAATGTTAAAAAAATGTACTTTACACTAACAGATGTGAATCATATTTATGGATGGATTAAAAAATGATGAACACTTATAATAATAATAATGCTTTTCTAAGGGAGACAGTCTGGTGCAGTAAAATGTATCCTCCACAAGCTGCATCGCGCCAAAAAAACAGGATTACAAATGCTCAACAGGAGACTGTGTGACTGAATACAAGCTTTTTTTGGTGTATTTTAACTCTTCCCTTCATTATTAACAATTTCAACATCATAAAATATGCATCATGTCTTCGGAAAGTGAGGAAAATGGGTTTGTTAACCTGAGGCAACATCGTGCAATCGAAGGTTAAGCCAGTATAATAAGCAAAGCAACCTCGGCACATTTGACATTCCTGTTAACACATAAAAGCAGAGTTCAATTGAATTACTAGTAGGATAAAATATATACATTCGGAGATCCTGAATATAAGAGTTACCGTCTCTGGAGGTTGACACCTATATCATGCTCTCGCTCTCTCCTACACACACACATGCCTTGAATGAAAGCCCACTTTAGCGCGTGTGAAGAGAGCTCAGAGAGAGTGAACAAACCCGCTTTCAGGCGGATGGGTTCCGGACTGCCCTTGTTTCCATAGTAACACACCGTGTCTTCGCTGGCCCTGCGTCAGGCAACATGGAGAGAAGAGATGCAGTTAGTGACAATTAAACGTGAATTAGCACCATTTTTGCTTCATTTATCCCCTCAAAAACTGCCCTCGAGGGTTAAACAATCACAAACATAACAGGGAAAGAGTGACTGTTCATGCTGGTAGCAACCTAAGAGAAATGCTAACAACGCTAATCAACATCAAGCATTTAAGAAAATAAAGACCCCCTGCACTAATGTGGTTATTAAATGGCTCGTCTTGGGTGGCTTATTATTATTATTATTATTATTATTATCTATCACTGTCCAATATACTAAAACATGCTAATGAGAGGACTATGGCATCATGACAAGAACATGCCCGTGTTAGCATAGCTAACTAGTTTGAAATGTTTGGACTGCACAATAAGTTAAAGCTATTTAAGCTAAGCTAAAATAAGCTAAAATAGATAAATAACGTTAAAATTGAATTTACACATCTATCTGTTACGAATATAAACATGTAGAGCAAGTACTATTCTTCTGCAGTAGCTTAGCATGCTAACAGCTTCACAACCAGAAGACAGGTCCACTCTGGCTCTCTGAAGCTTTATCAGCGGAAGTTTAGACAATAAACACTCAAATCTGAACAGGCAAATCTGTGTTTGTGTTCTAAAGCTACTTTTAATTCGTATCCTTGTAGCACCAAAGGCTAACGCTAGCTTAATGAGAAGGCTAAACCACCAGCAATTCTGGCTCACTGACGCTGCACTGCGGCAAGTTTAGAGTAAGAAGACTCAAATCTGGGCAGGTGAACTTTTGTTTTTGTGTGTGGAGCTGTTAGCTAAAGCTACTTTGAAGCCATATTTTCATTAGCACAAGAAGCTAACGTTAGCTTAAGGCTAAACTACCAACAGTTCTGGCTCACTTGCACTGTGCTCCAGCAAGTTTAGAGAAAGACGACTCGAATCTGAGCAGGCGATTCTTTGTTTTTGTGTGTGGAGCTGTTAGCTAAAGCTATTTTAATTCATATCTTCATTAGCACAAGAAGCTAACATTAGCTTAAAGAGAAGGCTAAACTACCAGCAATTCTGGCTCACTAATGCTGCACTGAGGTAAGTTTAGAGGATTAAGACTCAAATGTGAGTGAAATCAAGTGACTGCTGCCAGAATGACACAAAGACAGAATTCTCGCATTGTTAATTAGCCATTTCTAGTAGCTTCTTCTGCTAATAATGACTCGCTTTATGCTGCAACTAACTGTTACTGAGTTTCTACTTTAGTGCTGGCCTAGCCTGATCTGTAGGCTAATAAATACAACCAAACTATTAACTCTTACCTTGGGACACCAGAGACAAGTTACTTTCGACCAGTAACTTTGCTAACTTCAGCTTTTAGCTTGCTGTCCTCCTTATCTGACAAGTCGTTTCTATAATTCAAGTCTATTTTCTACATTCTAATGAAGATTTGAAGAGAGTTACACAGTTACACAGCTGCAATATTATAGCTGGCTTCCAAGCAGTAATGTTAGCTATATACATATTACTTATGCATTAGCCATATAAATAAACAGCCCATCCCTAAGTGTTCGACCAAAATCTCATGTAGTTTTTCAAAAGTTCCTCCCACCCTGAAGATACATCATCAGACTTGCCTAGTTTTTAAACCAGAAAATCTCACTCTAGAGACCAGAGTGCCAAGCAGGCATGTTTACAACAGATGCAAAGATAGATGAATTTTTTATTTTGGCCAGAAAGTCAGAGAACAAACAACTAATAAAGAACCAACAGGGAAACATGGATGATAAAATGTTGCAGTATTCAGAGTCCTTGCTGAGAAGAACTGTGATTAAAGTTTGTGCTTGTTAGCTTGGTATGAGTTACAAGACCCAAGCTACTGTAAATCAGGTTTAAAAATAGAGGAGGCCAGATTAAATTAGGCCCGGAAACGAGGTTCCTCTCCCAGTTTCTTCCACCCACTGATTCATTAGGAGCAGATTTGCAGCGCTGGCCTGCGGTTTTGTTTACACCATGGTAATTAGCAAGAGAACCTGAACCTCCGTGCTAAAGGTTATCACCGTCAGGCCAAGCGGGTAATGTCTTATCTTCCGGAAACTCCCTCGTAACGGGGGGGGGGCAGGGGCGTCCGTTACGAGTGGGTCAGAGAGCAGCTGATATGGCGTAAGCCACAAAACACAGGAGAATTCAATCCAGACAGACGGTACGCACCATGAATTACAATTTTTTTGCCTGCCACAATATTTTCGTCTTTATCAAGGAGCATTAGCGGACCCTACCGCTCTCCACGGCCCAGCCGCTGGACATTAGTGGTGAGAATGGTTCTTTTGCACCGCTATTGAGGGCTGAGCTGATTAGATGTGTCCCACTTATCAGGTACATGGATCTGGCAGAAGGTGATACTCGAAAGATTCAGGATTCCTCCTGAAGGAGGATGATGGAGTGCTTTTTTTATGTGATGCTGTTGGAATACGCAGTGTTTTGTGTGCTCTGAATAGGAAACACCACCCACTACAGGCCTTTTCATTTGTTTGGCCGGCAAGAGGCAATGAGGCAAGTGGAGGGGCAGAAAATGGGTACCTTCTTTTTTTCCGACATCCAGGGACTCGTGTGTAAAAAAGTACATCAAGAAGGATGCCTGGAGATTTCAGCAGTGATGGTGATCTATGGGAGGGAGGGAGGGAATCTCTTCATCACAGTGAGATAATCAGTATGCAGAATAGTGGATGCTCATTTCTAGTAAGCCCACGTCCCTCTCCCGGTCTTTAAACTGACATCTATTCGAGCTTTTCCCCCACTGAGCCGCTTTGTGTGGCGCCGGCTCTGAGAAGCATAAACAATGGGAGCTCTAAAACGCTCCGCATCAACAAATGATGTTTGCTGAAACAGTCTCTAATCAGATCGTGATGAAAGTGGATATGGGTTATGTGGGTCGAACGTTCTCCAATTTGCAAGTTGAAATTGCCGTTCTCTGGCCAGGCTGAGGATAAAGGGATACCAAGTAATCTTTGCATAGCTTGCTGTATGTAAGCCATACATTCATTGTCATGACTTGTCAAAAAATGGGCAACATTGTAAGGTATCGTTGGGCATTTTTCCACTGCACAAAATCCCAGAACCTTTGGCAACTGAAAACTGGATCTGTGCTTTTTCCATAGGCAGTCATTCCAGTACAGAAAGTTTCAGTCTTACGGTTTTTGGTAGCTTCTCAATATTGGTACCAAACAAAGATTTAGTGGTACTTGAAGGTGTCATCTTTGGGGACACTTGCAGCTGAAGTAAATTCTTTAATTTTTCACGTGAGGATAAAGTCACCAAGTACTACTCCATCACCAGTAAGAGTGTTGAGGTGATGGCTGCTATTTTTTGAATTTATAAGAAGTTAGGAACATAACACTAATGCTATCAGCATTTATGCTAGCCTCGAACAAGTGTGTTTTGCTCATTTCTTCACAGTCGAGATAAAAACCTGAAGTTTTGCTTGATTCTACACGATTCTGTGCAATTGTAGATGTTTATGCGAAAGAGGGTGTGCATAGTTCTACGTATTGCCTTTTAAAGCAAAGCTCCAAGGACATACTTGTTCTAGAAATACCATAAATCTCTAGCACTAATGTATAGAGGCACCAAAAAGTATTTGGACATTTGTGCCATGCTTAATTCATTATGCCTTCTTGGCAGAATATTCTTTCAAATGGTGGCTGGTGTGTTTCAGATCGTTATTCCTTGGCAGACTTCTGCACGTTTGCCTCTAAAACGCCTTTGTACACCTCTGAGTTCACGATCCCATCACTGAACACAATTCTCCACATCAACACCGCTGTTAGAAAACCAGCTCCAGACTGTGATGTTTTCACCTATACTTTAGAGCTGTCTAGTTGGAATTTTTTTCCAGGCTTAGTCCATGCAAAGATCCTACCCATCAGTTTGATGTTGTGCTTGAAGTGTTCTTCTCTGAAACAAATATCATTATTATCATAGTGGTTAAAATGTCCATATACTGAGGCCACTGTATGCCAAAAATTGCAAAAGAAATTTTGAGCCCTGTACTCCATACTCATGAGATCTAACATGTTCCTTCATATTGTTTTGATGCAAACCCTCATTGCTAGGAGACTTCAGGGCCTCTCCTCATGGGACGCCAAACATGATTTCTGGAAATGAGGCTTGAGACGAATAGGACTAACCCTTGCACACAAAAAAGGATTACTCTTGCTCTGAAGAGTGCCTTGTCACCAAGAGATTGCTTCATGAAAAAAGAAGCTGAGAGGCCTACGTAAGATATATTTAAGACTATTATTTCATAATATAGTAGTGGTCAAAAACCAAGTAGTGGTCAAAAGACAGGCTAGTGCAAGAATGTCCAAATATGACCCAGCACTGTTGTTCCTTTCTTTTGAAAATGCAGAGCTTCCCAAAAGCAATACTGTGTTCTAAAACTGCTCTTCATTCTTACTTTATTTCCCAAACTGTTTTGGAAAGAGTTTTGCTATATGTTCCTCTGGGTACCACAGTAAATACTCCCACCGTTAACCTCATAATCCAGCCCTTTATCAATGGTTAGTTTCTGACCACAGAGTCACTCTTGACTGGATATATCTGGGTGGTAGACTACTCTCAACCTAGCACTGATGCCAACACTGAGCTGCACCGAGAGGCCACAACTTCAACATCACAGAATGCATTTGGGATTACTTGGATTGTGAGAAGCAGAAAGTGCAACCAACTTCTAAGACTGAACTTAGTAGGAGGTCTGGAAAAATATCTCTGCAGAATTCCTTGAAAAACTGAAAGCAAGTCCCCTGAAAGGGGGTCTCTAAGTTTTGCACACTATTGTAGGTGGACCTTAAAGTGACCAGTAGATGGAAGGAAAAGGGTTCTAGCAAAGATCGTAACTGCATATGGCAATTGCATTAGGACACGTGCAATAAATTTGAGTAGAAATGAGCTAAATTAGGTATTCACTTTAAGACTGATATATAAAGAGAATGCAAAGTCATGTTTCAAATAAAAATATATTATTCTTCTTTTAGCAGAGGCTTGGCTGAAACCGAGAATGTAAGACAAATCAGGCAAAGAGTCCCTGGCCTGAGGAACCAGTCACAGAATTCAAGACGCCAAAGGCTTCAACATACAATCCCAAGAGCCTCACTTCTGCACACCTCCAGGAACACAGAGGTTTCTTCAAACAGGCAAGCAAGAATATGATGGAAAGTCCCTCTGAAGCCTGTGTTGGACATCCAAGAAGAAGCTTTAGTGCTTCTTTTCAAGGGATTCCAATTTGCTGCAGAGCTGCTTTGCTTGGCAATGTTGGTTCCTCTCCTTCATCCTGTTCTAAAGACTGGTCCAGCATACCGAAAGTGATGATAAAAAAAATGATATTTATAGGGCATAGATATATATATAAACAAACATTAAAAGCTCATCGTCAATCCTTGCATCCGAGCAGACCAAGACAGAAAATCTCTTCATTATAATGGAAACCTCCTCTCCGGTTGCAGGATGCCACTATTGATTTTGGAACAAAACAGCCACCGCTAAGTTTCCAACAAGCTTATCGCTGCGTGTATCATCTTTGGCTCAAAGAACGAGAGCACAGAGACTAATAGCTCGGTAACGATCTTGTTTATTGAGATGGTAAACAAATAAATAACATTCGCAGATGCTGTCTTTTCCTCCTTTTACTGCTGAGTGTAGGTCTTGTGTCCGTGAGCGTCCATATGTTATGTTGTCTTTCAGAACCCGCCAGATGAAGGCCCCTAATATGCGTCAACAAAGCAATGAGGACAAATGGATCCAGACTTATGCCAAACATAAACTTTACTGAAACATTTTCAGCAATGTCTGATGTACTGTTGGAGCAGGTGCGAGTTGGAATTAATTGCATTAATTACACCTCAGGAACAAAATGCTGTACCTATGATATTAATATTATTGCCCTTATACTTTTGCGGATAATGGTGCCAAGTTGAAAAGTCTTTGCCAAGTTCTTCCACCTACATAAGAGTGGTGCGATAAGCCACTCATTGCTCAGTGTTCATTGCCATTTCCCAACTTCTGTTTTGCTTTCCCCTTAAACCAGATAGCTGGATGGATCCCCCTCTGCAAATGTGTAACCAACCACCACCAGTCAACGTTATCATCTGCCCCTCAAAGAACCTTGAAAGTCAGATGAACGCAACTCTAAAAGATCACCCAATTCTGTAGATATTACCTAACAACATCACCCTGGATCGACAGGGAAGTAACAACTAAGCCAAAACTCAATACCACTTGGGAGCTCCAACAAATGCGACCAGGAACGTACTAAGAAATGATATGCAGATAATATCTGTAGGGCTGGCCCAAATAATTTGAATAGTTGGCGTTTGCTTTTCTATTTAGTATTGGGAAGCTTCGTCTTTCAGTCAAGCCATAAAATTGTAGCCTAAACAACATTTATAAATACATAAACCCACTTCAGCAATGCCCTCTAGATAGAACGTGTATTGTTAATATTTGGAAAATATTAAAAATAAACAAATTATAACTGGTTTAGTTAAATGCATCATGAATTCATGGCAGGCATCCATGACACTGCGCCTCAGAGCGCAGGAAATTGGCACGGGGATTAAATTTATTTCAGTCTGCAACCTTTTAGGTCAGGAACCACAAGCTGCTTTCTGCAGGGTGGAAATGATTGCAGTTTCAGTGGTCCTCTTGCCTTGAAACGAATCATCTGAGCTCAGTTCCTGGTCCAGGACAACAGCCGAGGCACTTCTAGGCTGGTCCTCCTCACGTTCAGATGAGAAGCTTAGCTATAACTGAGCTCAACTTGGCCTGTAAATCCATGCTTGCCCTGACAAAAAACGGTGAATTAGCCAAATAAAATAACTTGATAAAACAATGTAAACATTTTCTTAACAGTAAGGATTGTGCCAGGTACTGTGTAGGAAGAAGAAACAGCTTGGCACTGGATCAGTGGCCTTGAGAATGGTTACTCCCGCGTCCTCCTATCTAATAAAAACAACTTATCCTACATGAAGAGAGCCCAACACCAGTCCAGTCATTAGACTAATGACGCTGAGATGCTCCAAGTGATATTGCTGCCACAATACACCAGTTTTGGTTGTCACAACCCATAATCTCACACCTGTGTCTGCTTGAATCATCTCAAAATTCCCACTGTAAAAAAAACAAACAAACAAAAAACCACAACAACAAGGACCTACAAGGCCCTGAAGAAATCAGCGGGCTGGAAAGAACAGCTGTGGAGCTGAATTCTAAACAGGCTTCTTAAGCTCACTCCAGCTCTTGGAACAGGAGAGCAGGTGGTCAACCCAACGGCTGGTTTCTCTCTCAAGGACCCGCGAGATCAGACGAAAATCATCTCCGTCTCATCTCCATCCAATACCACAAAGGAGAAGAACAGAAGCAGAAAGAGAGAGAGAGAGAGAGAGAGAGAGAGAGAGAGAGAGAGAGAGAGAGAGAGAGAATGTGTGTGTGTGAGGGGAAATTTACCACACAAAGCCAAACAAAGTACAGAGGACTTTGTCACATGTTGTCAGAGAGATTTGTTTGCCTGTAACGCTGTTAATGTTGCTCATAATTAGCGCTGCACCAACACCAATACTGTAGCGAGCAACATGTTGGCAGTATGGGCTAAGGTCTAAGGTCTTAGCCACAAATAAGCAGAGATAACATAACATACATGCAGTGCAAAACATGCTAACGGTAGCCCTTTAGCTGAATGGCAGAGTCAGGAATGAGTGATTATCACCCACTACACAGGCCGAGTTAATGCTAGTCCAGGTTGTTACTGAGGGAGCGAATGTTAGAGAGATACTATAGAAGGTACCGGCGGGTCATTGGGGTAACCATATCCTTTAGCCTAGGGTTAGCCATTAGCAAAGCAGTCCGCTAGCCAGGCAAATGCGTCCTCCGTCACCGCCTACAGTGTGCCTCTGTTGGTCAGCTGCATCAGACAAGTGTGTGGTCATGGGACCTGGCTGACAATCCACAGCTCAACAGCTGCTACTGATAGCGTGAATGACTGTAAATATTTCTCAAACTCATTCTTCAAGTAAATGTCATTCACTGGGATGGCTGTACCAAAATTCTGTGGTCACTGAACCAATTTTAGGTGGATTGGATGTATATTTTGGACCATTGTACTGTCTGAAGATCCAATCACAACCCAGTTTAAGGTTCTTTTTGGCAAAGGCAGCCAGCTTTCCATTTAAAATCCCTTGGAACTTAATATAGTCCATGATGGTATGAACCCTAACAAGGTTCTCACAGCCTTTGGAGGAAAAAAAACCCTAAAACATTGCTGACTACATCATGAGCCTTGAGTATTAGATACTAAAAAGATCATCTGACCATAGAATCCATTCACAGCACTGTTTAGCAAACTCCAGACACTTAAATTTGTGGTTAGTTGAAAGAAAAGTCTTTTTATTGGGCAAAACACACTTGCGTCCTTTTCTAGGCAGGTTCACTACAGCTCTGGTTGTTTGAAATCTCTTAAGTATTGCCCTAACAGTGAAAATGGGCATTTTCAGATAACATATTGTTTGCTGCAATTGCCTTATTGGTCAACATGCATTGTGTCATTTAATTTTTGTGTTCTCTAATCTTTCCCTTGTTGATGAACACAGGCAATTTGCACTCCGTCAGAAGAAATCTGATTGAACCTCCATAGTCCACTCCCTAATGTAGTGATCACCAGCCCTCCTCCTGCAAATCAACCTTCCTGCAGGGTTCACTTCCAAGCCAAATCTAGCACATCTCATTCAGCTTATCAAGGACTTCTGAAGGACATAATTAGATACATCAGGTGGGGCTGACTGCTGTTGGAGCTTAAGTCTGAAGGAAGGTAGATCTCTATGAGCAGGTTTGGTGACCACTGGTTTTATGGAACAAAGATCATATCCCAAGCATCCCACCCTGTCTCACAGCAGCACCTACCTGAAGTCAGCTGTGAGGAGGTTGAAGCCGTTGTACAGGTGTCCCTCGGAAGCCACCTTGCGCAGGTAAGAGAAGCTGTCCAAGCTATCAGTCAGGAAATTTGATACCAAAAATCCTGGGGAGAAAAGTGAGCATGATCTAACAGCAATAACAAAACCCTTTTCATTAAACCAATCGTTCCGGTGCTCACATCTGATTGGCTGATCTGGGTTCAAAGCCAGTGTAAATGATGCACCTGTGACCACCTCACAACAACTGAATTCTTTATTAATGCGCCAAGTCAATACAAAGCATTGTGCTGCAAATGGCCACTGAGTGTACAGATGAAGTAAGAACCCTGGTTTTATTAAACAATATACCATATACGACATTCCATCAATCTAAAGAACCATTTTGCCATGCAAAGAGCCTTGTAAGCATCCAAACGGTTCTTTGCGTGTCCATAGTTCTATACAGACTCACTGTTTTCACTAAAGAACCACTGAAGAACCATCTTCTTTAAGAGTGTACTTTTGTGGCGGAAGGAACGCCAATATTAAAGCTCATTTGATACAATATTTGGGGCTTTGTCTGCATTACTTTGCTTCATAAAAGGAACAGAACACTTGAGGTCATGTGCTATTGCGAATAACATAATCGAGGAGTAACCTAACCGTTACATGCTACCCTTTAATTTATCACATTCACAGCATAGAAAACATGAAGTTGCTTCAGCTAACTGCTACAGATGAACTGCAGTCTTGCTTTTGAATTTTCCAATCCAACGAGGATTAGAGGTGCCTCTTTATTCTAGGACCAGCCTTGACCTCTCAAGAGCTCCGAAATGCTTTAGTCTTCACTTTTCCAGTCAAAACCACACAGCAACAATGTACAATTCTAATGTTGCTTTTTCTAACCAAGGCAGATAAACACTGAAGGAGGCAATATTTCTGCAGTGCTGTTCAGTGTTATGAGACCACTAATGAAAAGGTCAGTGTATTACTAAGCACCAATATTTCTGTTTCAATAATAGAGGTGAGCAACACTCACACAATCAATACTACTTGATAAGCAGCCTTACTAAAGGAAGCATCCAACAAAGATCATTACCTGGGAGCATATGTGACCGTTTCTAGGCCCCTCATAGTACAGATCCCATAAAAAGCCTCTTTTTACAACTTGTTTATTTATTGCACTCCTAGCTTATTGAAACAAGCTAAAATATTCAGCTAAAAAAGTGCAGACTGTAAACTTTCAGACCATACTGAGTTTCCTACCACAAGTTTTGTTGTGTTTTTATTAACATGTCGAATTTGAGAAACAGTTATTGCTGTGAGTACAGCCTTAGTTTGCTTTTCTGGTAATTTTTTGACATCAAACGGAAAAAAGTTGGAATATATATATCCGATCTATATTTAGATTGGAACCTGTCCAATTTAAATATAATTCCTTATGTGATTATGTAATTAAATACTGTAATTACATAATTACATATAATAACTAGAAGGGAAAATTCATGAAGGAACTTAAAGTTGGCTTTACAAAGTCATTGCTATTGAATCCCATGTCATTCATAAGGTGTTGCTATGTTACGTTGCTATGGTAATCCTGGAGGTTGCTATGGTTTTGCTTGGCCTTTCCAATGGTATCTCAGGTGATTGCTAAGGTGTTGCTAGGCCATTGCTATGGTATCCCAACTGGTAGCTAAGATGTTGCTAGGCCACTGCTATGGTATCCCAAATGGTTGCTAAAGTGTTTGCCCGGCTATTGGCAGGCTATGGAATCCCAGGTTGCTCCTAAGGTGTTGCTAGTTATGGTAACCCAGTTGGTTGCTAAGGTGTTGTTACGCCATTCCAATGGTATCCCAAATGGTTGCTACGGTGCTGTTTGGCTTTTTCTATAGTATCCCAAGAGTTTGCTAAGATGTTGTCAGACTGTTGCTATGATAATCCAGGTAGGTGTTGCTAGGCCATTTCCACGCTGTCCAAGATGGTTGTTAAGATGTTGCGCTAGGCCACTGCTACGCTACCCCAGGTGGACGCTAATGTGTTGCTAGGTGCTAGGCCATCGCTGTGTTATCCCAGGTGGTTGCTAATATGATAAATTTCAAGGGCTAATAAACTGAATTGCCTTTCAGCCACTAACATCTCCCACTCACTGAAACTGCTAAAGTGCCATGGTCATGTGCCATTTTTTCCCTTCCAAGAAACAGCTGTTCACGAGTGTGTTTGGGCACCAGGAGGACAGCTGATGGGTCTCTCGTATCTCTGCTATTTGGGCCTTACAAGCTCTACAAGTGTCAGCTAATAAGCGTCGGCCCGCAACTCAGGCTTAAAGGAAGCCAACAGATGTTCGTCTGGCCATAAAGTGTCCGTCACAGTGGAGAATCCGCCTCACACATCTGCAGCAAACAGCTGGCGCGAGGTACGAGGTGCAGGCCCACTCATGTAGACCGAGAATAATCAAATAAAAAAAATAAGAAAGAAGAAATCAAACAGCCATACAAATAACCTAGACACTACAAAGCTTGTGAGATATTGAAAGGAAAAATTATGGAGCCGTGTAGACGGGTTAAAAAGTTAACCTGGGGAGAATTTATTTAAGTTAAATATAATTTATTAGAGAAACATTTGGTATTACATAATTATATTTATACATGTTTCCTGAGCTGTGACAATAAATATGAGTTGCTTCGAACCTACACAGAAGTTATGTTGCATGCAACATGCGTGAGTTGCATGCTAGTTGCGTGAAAGTTTCACTTGGTAAAGCTAAGCACAGCACAAGATTTACCGAGATTTTGGGTTCCGAGATTATGGCGGACTATTTGGCATCTGTGTGTTGATTCATTTTGACTGCTCAACTGGCAAATCCTACAAACTTTTTGAAAAGTTACAACATTCAAACTATTTTGCACTTTTACACTAAACACAAGCCACTGGCTAAGAAGCAGAATGTCTCTCCATCCCTTTGATTAAAGTAGATGAAATAGGAGGAGCTTGCCTCTCCCCTGGGCGTCCGGGTTGGGTCTGCCCTCCAGGTAATTGGTCAGTGCTGCCAGTTTGCCACGCTTGGTGATCCCGAGCCAGGAGCCGCCTTCTTTCCCCTCCTCCAGATCCAAACCTGAGAAAGCATAAACAGATACCAGAGCCTTTATGATCAAACCAAAGTCATACAGCCTAATTCAGATTTAGCCACTTCATTAAAGAAATCATATTGTTTTATCAACAAAACATAGTTTCATCAAGAAAACACGACACACTGCTATTATGAAACGCTTTTCAAATTATTGTGTAGTACAAAAGAAATCCAGCTCCGAGTAATATATTAAGAAATCTTTCTTGAATACCTTTCAGAATATGTCTAGGAATAAACACAGAGACTTTCTAGAAACAGAGATTTTTAGTTCTGAATGTAGATTCTGAGAAAAATGATTTCAAGAATGGGCTTCATAACTGCACTACCCAGTGAGATCTGGGAGAATATTGGCATTATTAAAAAAGAAACAGACATATGTGGATATTATATTTACATATTTACATCTACAGGAAACAAGCTTTTCAGTGATGTATGATATGGCACAGTTGTTTTCAGTGTGGGCGGGGCTAAGCCTGCATTAAAGTTGCTAAATGGAAAAAAGTTGGAATTATTGGCACAAACCTGTCCGATCTAAATATAATCTCTTTTGTAACTATGTAATTACACATTGTAATTACATTATTACATATAATAACTAGAAGGGAGGAATTCATGAATGAACTTTAAGATCTGGGAAAGTATTGGCATTATTACAAAAGTAACGGACACGTGGATATTATGTTTACATTCTACAGGAAACAAGCATATGGCATAGTTGTTTTCAGTATGGGCGGAGCTAAGCCTGCATTAAAGTTGCTAACTTTTGGAAATAGTTAGCCTTGAGTGGATGACAATTGACAAAGCATGCTGAAATAAACGGATTTGACTGTAGAATAATACAAAGAAAATGAGCCAACTTAATAACTTTTTTTGCCCCAATTCCAATCAGAGTCCTTTAACTTTGAGAATGTGCCAGTGATACCAAGTAGGATCTAAAATGTGTATTTTCATATGTAATGTCATTTTGTGTGGGACAGATGGTTACCAGTAAGCATACAGCCATGTACACAAATTTAATGTGCAGGTAGTGTTTTGACAAATGACACCAAGCTTAACAGCAATGAAAATACTTGAAATACAGATATTACAAGTGTCTGTTGGACTCTTTTCATTTCTCACTTTAGGATGCAAATGCATCTGTTTATTAGTGACCAGCACAGCTGGGGGCAATGATTACAAGAAACGGTTATGAACAAAACACAGGTGAGCAAAATAACAAGAGGGTGGAGCTACAAGACAGGGTAGACATGGAAACAATGACAACAATGGCCTAAAACAGCCTTAACAATACACCAGAACTGCCAATTTTTCATGTAGTTACATAGGTCCAGTGGTGGTATCTAGGGCCAGTTCAAGGTCTTCCCATTATTATTTTAGCTTTGGTCAAATACCCGTTTCTACTGTCCTGGGGCTTCTTGCAACGGAAAACCTACCCAGCATCCTCAGCCTTGGCATATGTATCTTTGCTCATCAACATTCAGCCCCTCATTCCTCCGCAACCACACAAGAACCTCCTTTTCAGCACCGCACTTCATTTCTGCTCCTTCACATAAAAGCGATCATCAATTAAGGCGCACCATTGGTCACTGACCCTCAGATAACAGACGGCAACAAACAACAAGATGCCTGGATCTCGCTAACAGCAAGAGGCAGTGACTGATTCCTGCACACTGCCTCGCACTGTGGATCAGACAAGGCATCATCAGTCAATTACAAGCCGTTTACTGCCAGGGTTCGGCAAAGGGGAACACTGGGAACGGGCAATTAAGGTAAACGTTTGAGACGGCAATCTGATTTTTTCGGCGTAATCCGGTTGCCGTAGACGTCACATTTATCATGTTTCTCTTAGTGGACTGGAAATGTAGCGGACTGTGTGTAGTGGAAGCCAAGCTGTGTTTGCAGCTTCTAAACTGCCATCATCCATTCTGGAGATTTTGATCTAGGTGGCTTCACTGCCTATCAAAAGTTTGGGATCAACAATTTGCGTGTTTTCTTTGTAAGTTCGCAACAACTTAATATATTAAACAGAAAGCTGTTTAGATCTTATCATCTTTGCCAAAAAAAATCTTGCAAGCCTGAAGGAACAACAGATAAAAGCTCTACCTTCAGAATAGTGCCAAAGTTCAGGCACTGTATCCTGAAAACTGACAGACATCGAATCGGTTCCAGTTGTATGGTTTTTGGTACCTGTTCAAGATTGGTACCATTAAGAACTAGCGGTAACATTTCTCAAGGGTGTTCTCTTCCATCTTTGGTAGAACTTTCAGCTGAGCCCAACAAGAACTTAGCAAATACTTCACTCTTCCAGGTGAGGATAAAGTCACCATGTGTGAGTAAATGCAATATCTGTATATATTATACTGTTTTATTACTTACGTTACTGAAAATCAAAAAGTGGAGACCTTTACACTGAGGTACATTCATGCCGTTTACTTGGACTTCAATAAAATACCATTCCAACATGTGTATAACTGATCACTTGCATGTCAAACAAGCTTTTTTGGAAATCAAAACTGAGTTTGATTTTTGTCAACTTTTGCAGGTGACTTGAACTCATTTCACCAATAATTGCTGTCTCTGGCGTTGGCATGGTAACAACCAAGACGATGGATCAGCGGCGTCCCAGCAGCTTCTGACAAAAAGATAGCTTGCCATCTACGTCATTATCTCCAAAAGATAGCCCAAATGGGATTACAGACATCTGAGCTATAAGCCAAAGCGCTAATAAAGTTTCAGCTCTTGAAGGAGGCGACGAAACTCTCCGTTTTCCACCTTTGCTTTTCCAAAACGGAAAAATGAAAACTAGACCCCCCAAAAGTTATTCCTTGCCCTTTGTGAAGAGTAAAGGATATCTTTGTCGCTTGAAGGCATTCATCTCAATTTGGGGTTCAATAAGACAAAAAAAGATCTGATGATAAATTAACAAGCTATTAGTTTTTCTGCATTCTGTGTATTGAGCATGTATTAATTTTTACCCGATTTTCTCCCGAATTTAGTCGTCTCCAATTCCACCCGCTACTTAGGACTCCCCCAATCACACGATGCTATCAACGCTAGGAGGGTGAAGGCTAACACAGGCTTCCTCCGAGACCTGTGAAGCCAACCACCGCTTCTTTTCGAACTGCCGCTCACGCAACGTCACTGGACAGCCGAACGCGCTCGGAGGAAAGCGCCAACCGCCAGATCTGTTACGTCAACTAACAGACTAACAGACGCTTCTGACCAGCATCGCGCTGAGTGATGGGGGGAGAAGCAGGGGCCATCCCACCCACCCAGAGAGAGCGAGGCCAATTGTGCTCTCATGGACTCCCGGCTACGGATGGCTGTAGCATGACCAGGGATCGAACTCGCGATCTCCTGATGATAGGGCCAACGCTTAGACGGTTGCGCCACTCGGGAGCCCCCCGTATTGAGCATGTATGATGTCATATCGTTCCACATGACAGACTTCTTTTCCCACTGTTGATCTACTGCAGCTCAAACTGTTTGAACCTGACCATCACAGGACACAGTGAAAGAAACAGTGTTTTTAAAATCACTTATTCTAATTTTCCTTATCATTTCTTTGGTAGATATTGTCACTTCACTGTGGTGCTATTAAATCTTCTAGTTTTTTGGCCAAAATTTTAGGCCAAAAACCGAAAGCATCACTATTGACCATATATGGCCAAAATATTTGATGGCCAAAATGTGCATCCCTAGTGATGAATTTTTTTTTAATCTTTACCCAATTTGCCTTTTATCATTCCATATCACACGATGCTACCAAACTGAAAGGGTGATTATGCATCCTTGGATTAAACAGTACTACAGTGAAGTGACCAAATTTAACACTTTCAAACTGCTGCTAACATCACTGAACAGCTCAGTACGCTTGGAGGAGAACATTAACTGCTCATTCTGTTATGTCACCTTACAAATACTTGCTATGATCATTCTGAATAATGGAGGGAGCCGGAGGACCATCTTACCCACAGAGAGAAAGCAGGAATAATCATGCTATCTTGGACTTCTAGCCACAGAGTTGAGGGCATTGCCAGGTTCAAACTCACAATCTCCTAAAGCTTAGATGGTTGCATAACTCGTAAGCCCCCTCCATTGCATAGTTCACCTTCATGAAAGAAGGCAAGGTGTCCCTAAACAGTTAACAGGTAGCGAAACCTAAATCCAATCCAGCCTGCCTCTAGAAGCTGTGGCTGTTTATCGATAAGCTTTCGAAGCAGAAAGCCACAGTCTTAACTGAGAGATGAGAAAACATCAACTAATGCAGATAATGAAGCCCATCAGCTCTTTCCAAATGAAGTCTGTTGACATGGAAACCAATGATCCCTCAGTGGAACGGCGGGTAAACATGTACCTGAAGGAGGGGACAGAAGAACAGCGGCTTTGTTTTTCAAGCCTGCAGTCACAAAGAGTCACTCACTCCGACAGAACCTTCACAACCAGAGCCATTTTAGAGCTATTGAGAGCTGATAATAGTGTTTTTGGGGGTTTGTGATTAAGTTTAGGGGTTTATACAGGGGTCGACATCACCTATTGCCTTGTGTCCCTAGCTTCAACATAGCCAGTGGCCTGAGAGGCCACCCTCTTGTGCAAGGTCCAGAGCCTGTTTGGTCAGACATGAAACTAATTGCATCAAATCAGATGTTGTCTCAATTTGTCCACTGTAACGTGACCACCATGGTAGCTAAAGGGGCAACTTCTTTCTAGAACGTCCAGCATTTCTTCTTAAGATTTTGAGAAACATAAATTCAACCAGGTCCAAACTTTTGACTGCTACTGTACGCTAAAGAAAGAGTTTCAGTGGAAACAGCAAATGGAAACAGTGTTAGGTTATGGAAGTAAGTTTTGGAGATAAGAGGTATTAGAGGACAGCTTGTACATTGCATGTTGTAGTTCAAAACAAATCAAACTCTTACCACTGAGGATTTCCTTGCTGCTGCCCCAGAAGTCTGCAGCTTTGGACGGCCTGTTGTAGAGCTCATCTCGGTTGGCAGCCAAAATGAGCCTGCAGAGGAACAGAAGGAGAAGAAGAGTTGGAGGAACACAGGGTACAACGAAAGAGGATGGTAGAGCTGGGCAACGTAATGATATGTTACCATTATTTCTGAGTATATTAGGGTTATGGTCAGTACTCCTAGAACACTGAATACTGCATGGATCATAGAACAGATTTAGACTAATTACAGACAACAACCAGCGTACAGCCACTGCACAGTGACAGTAGGCTGATTGGATGTTAGCCTATTATGGCGTCATCTCAATTATCCATTTATTTTTACCCACTGCTCCTACAGAGTATGATAGCACAGAGCTGTGTTGTTATATTTGTTGTCCATTCAAAGAAGACTGTACTGACAGCAGTCACAATACAGGACAGTCACTTTACTACAAACATCTACCTTGTATTTCCACTCACTGGCCACTTTATTAGAAACACCCACCTTGTGCTTCCACTCTCTGGCCACTTTATTAGAAACACCCACCTTGTGCTTCCACTCACTGACCCCTTCATTAGAAACACCCACCTTGTACTTCCACTCTTTGGCCACTTTATTAGAAACATCCACCTTGCACTTCCACTCACTGGTCACTTTATTAGAAACACTTTCTTTAGAATACAATCTAAAAAACACATCCTTCTTGCAGTCTAATCAAATGAAAACATAACTGAAAATTTACCATTTTGCGTGATAACATGACAGAACATTCGACAAGAGAATGGTCATCACTCTCTGACCGCGCAAAGCAACACTGTGCATTATTCGTTTGGTAAACTTTGCTGTTTATAAGTAAAAATGCCTGATTGGGATGCAGGAGGATGCAGTGAAATGAAACGCATTAATTGCAGCCTTGCGTGATGAAGTAATTGCGGTTCCGATTAATTAATTCTGATTAATTACGTAACCTCACTCTGATTCTGCAGCAGCCGAATGTGTTCCTGCGTTATTCAAAAATCTCGTATATATTAGCTGTGTGTCTGTGCTGTTATCTTTTTCTGTAGAACGACTGAGCTCTGGGTGTGTGTATATATTTCACCCCCCTGGACCCTAAGAGAGTGGCAACTGTTCTGCTCCACAAATATGCCCCCCAGCAGCCCAGACCCAGCTGTAGAAGACGACACTGCTGGAGTGTCATACATACATACATACATACATACATACGTACATAAATACATATGTACTATTTTAAAAAGTAAAACTTTTTTCTACACAATTACTTTATATTTAATTACCTTAAAAAAGTGGGACAAAATTGCAGTTGTGGCATGTGCAAAAGTTTGGACACCCTTTTAAATCAGTATTTAGTAACATGCCTTTTAGCAAACATTACAGTCGCAGATGAGCTTTTATTTATTTATTTATTTGCTGATATTTGGTCGAATCCATTCTTCCATCTACCTGTGCAATGTTTCCTGTGCCACTGGCTGCCACACAATCCAATATATAATAGATCCACCCTCACGCTCAACACTCAGCAAGGCGTTCCTTTCATCAAATGCTGCTCCCTTTTTCTCCAAACACGCCTTTAGTGACTGAGGCCAAAACAAAACATTAATTCTTACTTCAACAGTGCACAGCACTTCTTTATCACTTTCGTTTTCTCAAATTGCTGTCTTAAGTTTAACGACTTCAAAACAAACGAATGATCCCACCCCCTAGAAGCACCTTCTGCTAATTTTTATGCAAAACGCCACCTTAGAGCATTTACGAAATATGATTGGGACGACTTTGAAAATATATTGTAAAATTATTTTTGACAACATCGCCCAGCTGTAAGAAACATTACACAGGACACACATATGAGATATTATAGTTAGCTGTGTCTGTCAGTCTGTTCTGCTACATTTTACTGGTGAACAAAGCAAAACTGGTGAAAATGACAGGACCAACTTTCATTTTAAGCTGGAGAATCAAAATTTAACTGGACACAGAAATCACTAACTCAGTTAGCCAGAGAGAGAGAGAGAGAAAAGAGTGAGTAAAGTGAGATATATATCTCTTTCTCTGTATATACAGAGCGAAAGAAAGAGAGAGAGAGAGAGAGAGAGAGAGAGAGAGAGAGAGAGAGAGACAGAGAGAAAGAGTGAGTAAATGGAGTACAGAGAGCAAGGAGAGAGTAAAAAGCAAAAGAATAAAGAAAGAGAGAGGATCATGAGACAGAGGGGGTATGGAGACTGAGAAAGAGAGAGTGAGGAAGGAAAGAGAAAAAGAGGAGCATGTTGAGCAAAAAAGAGAGCAAAGATGGAAAGAGAAAGAGCAGGATAGAGAAAGAGAATGAAAAAAGAAAGAGTAAAGCGAGACACAGAAAGAGGGAGTGAATGAGGAAGGATGAAGAGCAAGACAGAGAGAGTGTAGATGGAAAGAGAAGGACACAGAGAGAGATAGAGACAGAGAGAAGGACAGACCGAGGGACAAAGAGAGAGGGTGAGGAAAGAAATAGAAGGATAGAGAGAAAGTAAAGAGAGAGAGAGACAGAGAGAGAGAAGAAAAAGAGAAGGAGATAAGGATTGAGAAGAACAGAAAGCAAGAAAGAAAAAGAGTGTGAGAGAGAGAGAGAAAGAGGATGGAAAGAAAAAAGAAGGCTTGAAAAAAAAGAATAAAATGAGAGAGTAAAGAGAGTGGGAGAAAGAGAGAGTGGATAAGGAAAGGGGGGAGAGAGAGAGATAAAAGGAGAGAGAGAGAGAGAGCACAAAAAAGAACCAGACAGTAAAAACGAGAGAAAACAGGAGCGACAGAATGAGAGACAGAGAACGAGAGAAGGGATGGTAATGACTTTAGGTGTGAAGCAGACTGAACCATTGGCCCTCATTAGAATAACCAGTGGGCTAATGCTCCTCCATTGATTAGCAATTGAGAAGACACTGTGCAGGAATTGCTGTATCAGTCAGTGCTTTCTGCTCCAATCAGCCCTCGACTAAACAGCAGCACATCTCCAGAATCACCCTACAGGACCCATTACTGACCCTCAGCTATTCACTTTACATTACTGAACTATTTACACTTCATTGATCTGCTCACAACTGTGTTCTTTCGTAGATATTGTTGCTGGGTTGGACAGAATGCAGCCAAGAGTCCCATTAAACCGAATAAGAAGCACAGTCTGGATCAACCGGGACTTACTGTGGTGGTTTTAGAGCCCGTGGACTGTTCCAGAAGCTCCAGTGCAGGGACTTTGGATTAAGTTTGTTTTAAGTTTGGGGTGGTGAAATTTTAAGCAGCATAAACGTGACGTGAATGACGACGTCGTGCAAAATTATTAGCCTTTTTTATCGTTTACATAAAACAGAACATGTCATAATGTCTTCTAACATACACATCAGATCGCTGATGCACACCCTCGATCTCTCATTATGCATGAACTTTATGCAAATGAACTGGCGACCAACCAGATTATTGATATGTTGCACAAAATTGCTATAAAGTTCAGAACTTATTAAGAGCGATATTTATTAATGTATTGCAAAGCAATGGATACCATCCAGCATACAATAGCAACCACCTTTCACCACCCTAGTAACCTCCTGAGATACCATAGCAACATTCTAGCAACAACGTGAAATACCATAGAAACCACCTAGCAACATTTTAGCAACCACCTAGGATACAAAAGTAAACACCTAACAACCATCCAGCATACCATAGCAACCACCTAGCACCACCCTAGTAACCTCCTGTGATACCATAGCAACCACCTAGCACCACCCTAGTAACCTCTTGTGATACCATAGCAACCACCTACCAACAACCTGGAATACCGTAGGAACCACCTAGCAACATCTTAGCAACCACCTGGGATTCTAAAGTAAACATCTAGCAACCTTCCCCATCCAATAGCATCCACTCAGCAACACCCTAGCAACCACCAAGGATACCATAGCAACTGGCTAGCCACACCCTAACAAACACCTATGATACCACAGCAACCACCAGACGTAACATCGCAACCACCTAGCAACACCCTAGCAGCTACTTGGGTTAGCAACTACCTAGCAGCTACTTGGGTTAGCAACCACTTAGGATACCATAGCAACTGCTTAGCAACATTCTAGCAACCAACTGCCTAGAAACACCTTGGCAGCCCACCAGACACTATTGCAACCACTTAGCAACACCATTGCAACCACCAAGCAACACCCTAGCAACCACCTAGCATGACTATGCTGGGTGACCAGCTAAACCAGGACCAGACCAGCAGACCAGGTTTTTGCAGCAGGGAATTTAGATCAGGTGCAGTTGCTGTGGTTGTGTAACCATGGTTTGGAGTAAGTGAGAGAACTATATAAAGGATCATGTTATCCACAGCGTCCAATGGCAAATTTGGCCAAATTATTCTCTAAATATTGAACTAGCATTGGATGGAGCTGGAACAACCTCTGCAAAAGCTCTATCCTTCTTCTAGGCCTTCCTGAACCTTCCACCAATTAAGTTAACTTGCAAAGGATTTTTATTTCCTCCTTTTTCAAGTGCAAATAAACTCACTTGAGCAAATCAGGGTCAACTGCAGCACACAGAGGACTAATGGTACAAAACTCTTCTGATCATGTGAGCCCAATACCCATATGTAAACAGAAAGCAGAGCTAATGAGTCAACAGAGTAGTTTCACTGAGTGGTATACCAGTGGGAACAGGTTCTAACTCATGATTAGCCTGGGCTTTTATTCTCAAATCCCTGATTAAGACCTTTTGAGCATTGGTTCTTTGGGGCTTTCTTGGCTTGCCAGGATGGGATGTACCCCTAAAGTGGAATTAGCCCTCCCATGTTTGGAAAAGGAATGTTGTTTTTGTTAACAGCCAAGTCTTTTTCTAGCATTCATTGTAAGTGGCAACTCATATGACTCCATTCTAGGACTATGGTGAAAAGCAGCTTAAAAAATTAGCAAATTATAATTATTTACAAACACCTGTAATTTGCAGATATATATTCAGCATATTGTAGAACACTTTCCAGAGGTGGCAACAAAACCTTGGCCTGGATTTACACAGTGAAGCCTCCGTGAAACTTTAGTTGCTTGAAACCTACGTGAAACTAAGTTGCTCTTGCGTTGCATTATACAAAGCACCCTGCAACTAACTAGAAACTCAGTCGCAACAGTTGCAAGCTACTCAGCTTTGCGGAATGAGTTCAATGGAACAGCCAATCAAAATGCAGATAATGCAACACGTGAATATGTGAAACATCATTGCGCTCTTCGATGAACTCCTTGTGCTTCTAGGACAGGATGAGTGAAACATTGAGAACAACCGTAATGACAACTTTAGCATATGTTTTCAAAAGCTTAACATACCCAGAACAGATTTAAAAGTCAAACATATAATAAAGAACCATAGATAGTGAGTGGTGGAGTAATCAAATGCGTTACATGCAACTTTTGAATTGGTTAATATAACTCAAATTGCATGGAAATTATATTGCATGCAACTCACAACATGCAGCTAGTTGCATGCAACTTTGTTTTTGAATTGGTTTGTGTAACTCAAGTTGCACAACAAATTATATTGCATGCAACTCACAGCATGCAGCTAGTTACAAGAAAGTTGTGCAAAACCAGCCTTGCCGACATTTCAAGTTCATGTTTTAGAATCAAATACATAAATACATAAACACAGTACATAAATAATAATAAAATGCACAAGTGTTCAAATGGTTGAAACTTGAAATTTTCTAAATTTCCATTTCCATTTATTTAACTGCTAATTCTTTTTGTGGTCAGAATCCTAAGAAGAATAACAAAAGGGTCTTCTTCCAGCGTTCATTATAAGCTACATCAATCAGCACCACCAATCAGACTTCACAGCCAAGTGAAATGTAACTCAAAATGGCTGGAATGGAAGCAACCTCAGCTTTATCTGATTCAAGGCCTATATGTGAACACTGTGTATGCAGCTGGAAGGGAAGCTCCCTGGCTAAGACGCTGTTGATTAGATGATACGCTCCTTGGAGTGTCATCTACTACAGTGAAGAACCATGACTAACTTGATGTAGGCCCAAACCTGATACAATTACAACCAGTGGGACCACAACAGTGATTGATAAAGCTTGTTACAATCTAATAAAGCTGATTACAATCCAACATTGTTTGATCTGCAGTGACACTGGCTTTCATTATCAGAGCACAGACCTTCTTGTCTCATCCCCAGCCACTTGACCAGGCAAGGCGCTGACCATCTGATACAGTTCTCTGCTATTTTTGGCTTCTTGCCTCAAGATTGCTACATCGAACCAAAATCTACAGCTTCCATGTCCTCTGGCCAGTGGTGAAATCAAATTCCCAGACGTACAACGATTTATTTCTCAACCTGCTCAGTTCTGCAAGTATGCTAGCATCTGAAGAAAGTAGTTTGGAACCCAAAAAGAGACCACTCTAATTTCTTCGGTAGGACACATCACCTTTCCTATTAACAGCGCTTAATAATCACTTGGGGACTGAACACACAAACTGATCCAGTTTTGAAAGTGCAATTTTTTGTTACACAAGTCTTCAGCTGGGCAACTGTCCATGGCCTTTGCTGTCATAGTTTGACTAAGACACACGTTTTCAGTCTGAGACAGGTCAGGTCTGGCAGGAAGGCCAGTCCAGCTCCTGCACTCTCTGATTACGCAGCCATGTTACAGAATGTTTCTTGGAGTTGTCACATTGAAAAAAGCATGGACGTCCCTGAAAAAGACGGCATCTAAAAGGCTGTGTATGTTTCTCCAAAACGTGTTCAGCGTTAATGATGCTTTGACATAAGCAAGTTACCAACTAATACATCCCCAAAGCGTGACAGAGCCTGGATTTTGCACTTTATGCTGGTAACAATCTGAAGGGTATTTTTCTTCTTTGGCCCGTCCATTATTTCCATAAATAATTTTAAAGGGGGACTTGTCTGACAACAATACATGTTTCCACTGTGCATCAGTGCATTTCAGATGAGCTTGAGCCCAGAGAAGTTGGCAGCGTTTCTGGACATTGCTGGCATATGGCTTCTGCTGTGCGTAATACAGACTTTACTTGCATTTGTTGATGCAGCGATGATGCTGTTTTAAAGCATTCCTGAGCCCATGTGAGATATCCCTCACAGAAGCATCAACATGCCGTCTGAAGGGTTTAAGGTCATGGGCAATCATTTGTGGTTCTCTTCCTTTTTCTATGGAGATTTCTCTGGAACTTCCCTGAATCTTTGGCAATATTATGCATCACAGAGGGTGAAACACCTGAAATCTTGGTAATCTCTGATTGAGGAACTCCTATTATCTTTGGAGTCAATTTGATCCCATTCAATGTTTAACATCTGTTTTTTCATATTTGATGACTTTTCCCTAATTCAGTGGGGGCAACTAGGTAAAAATAAAATGAACATGATATGTTTTCAACGTCCTGTACACATTTTGCACACATCAGTGCTCTTTGGAGTCAACTTGACCCCAGGCTGTTCTAGCTGTATAAAACAAAAATATCTTACAATATTTTACACACATTTGTTTTGGTTCTTTTGAATGACTCAATGATCGAGGTCACCGACATGCAATTTTATAATCGGCCCTCTGCTTTGGGGCCCCAACCTAAAATAACCACACCAGAGTGCGGGGACCACCGATAGTTCACACAACATGGGGGAGGGGAAAACATAATTCCCACCAGAACTTCCTGTAGGTTTAATTTGCTGGGGTCAAGTTGAAGATAGGATAAAAGATATTACTACATTTGAGGATAAGAGAAGGTGAAAGTTGCTGGATTTTTTGCTGATGTATTTTTATGGCAAAGTGGTCAGCCTTGACCAATCCTTGCTCCTAAAGTACTCTGCCTTTCCTGGGGGCTCCTTTTATAACCAAGCATAATTGCACCATCTGTTCAAGATGTTTTCCTGCAGCTGCTCGGCCATGGAAACCCGTTTCCTGAAGCTCCCGACACACAGTTCTTGTGCTGATGTTGCTTTCAGACGCAGTTTGGAAGTCTGCTGTGAGTGATGCAACAGAGGATAGGTGATTTCTACGAGCTTGGCGGCCCACTCTACAGCTTCGTGGTTGAGCTGTCACTGTTTAGAGCTAGTTAATTTAATCTGATGCAATGAAACTAACAGGTTTCAGTTCAGGGAAGCACTAAGAAGTTCCACCGCAGTTCTGCAGTGAACTTTACAGTGTACTTTTACACTTTTGACCCAAGTTGGTTACTTTCCCTTCTACAGCGTTACTATTTTACTGAGGCAAGAACATTTTGACTTAACCTACTTCTGCACTGTTCTACTCACCTTTGTTCATGAAGCGCATTCAGCAAATGCAAAAAGCTGCATCTTCACCCTTGCTGACCTACAGAATCTCTCTCACAGAGGCTTAGAGCTTCGAGCTGTGGGAAAGGTCAAACTGGGCACACTACAGCAGCACTCTCAGCGCTATTTTGTCTCGCCAAATTACAAACGTTTTATACATTCATTAATATTTGATGTGCAGCGTCCTCAGTTCCCCTGTAATTAGACTCTCTATAAATGAGGTGTCTGTTTAATGAAGCAACTTGGGCCCATACTATCAAAGTAAAGCTGTTTTTCTGCTATATAAAGACATAAAAAGCCTGGGTTCAAAGACATTATGGTATAAGCAGCTTCTACTGTTGTTAATGTTGGATGTTCTTGTCTCGGGAGGCTGTTTCACAAGCAAACTAGTGCTACCGAACTCCTGTACTGCTAAAAACAAAGCAAGCAGCTCACCTGTAGGCATTTTTGGATGCGGGGCGAGGGTCGAACTTGAAGAAGATGATGCACATGAGGAGGTCACGGGTAACTGGAACTTTCTCTCACAGCGGCGGTTCAGGTCAGATGGGAGGACGTGCTAAGTGCTAAAGAGAACCAGAGACAAATGAGAGTTGAAAGAATATTTTTAGCGATATAGAGCTACAGGAATCCTCTAATATTTGCTTTCCACCAATTTTCCAAAATGTCTGCAAAGTTAAACAAAGTCATTCAAAGTGGTTTGGTGTGAAATGCTCTCGAGAAATTTACATTCAGAATTGTTCACAGTGGTGGTGATAGGAACCAGACATCCACCTCTAAAAGCTCCCTCACTGAAAGTTAAATGGTTATGAAGACACTGCCTGATGTCTGCGACACTGTTTTATGGTAGATTTGAGATAAGATTTAAAAATATATTCATCATGGAGGAGTACATGGAGGGCACTGTGAATCAAAATAGTCCCCATAGAAAACATATTTTCTTCAGATTTAACAACATTTTGCCATCATCAACATTCCATATAAAACTCAGAAGACGTGTAGTTTCACTGGTGGTTTTGGATAGTAAATAAAATGGCTACATTTGTGTTGTAGACATGGTGACCCCGGTTCCTATCACCACCACTGTAAAGAAATCTGAGTCTCTAAGTTTCTCTACAACAAACCATTTCACACCAAACCACTCTGAATGACTTTGTTTACATCTCAACCCACTGAATTATGCAGAATTTATGCAGAATTCCCCTTTAACTGTCAAAATCCGTACAAAAATGTGTGAAATGCAAAAGATCAGACCATCAGACCACTTCATTAGTGGTAAATAAAGGCACTGCAGTCTACAGCAACGTGGACTGTTTCACGTTGGCTGTGCACTTTGCCCTCCAATAATTTCATCACCTCATGGGTGGTTTATTAAAAGTCAGCAGAAACCAAATGACTAAAAGCTGCTCATGTCAGATCCTCAGTTCCCCAATACTCACTTAACAGTATCACTAACACCAAAACTGTCTAAATCTGATCAAATTAAATGGGAACTGCACCAATTTTTCAAAAGTTTCACATGTAAACAGGGTCATTCAGAGAGGTTTGGAGTGAAATGCTTTGTTCTAGAGAGACTTACAGAGTCAGAATTGTTCACAGTGGTGGTGATAGGAACCAGACATCCACCTCGAAAAGCTCCGTCAATGAAATGGTTATGGCTGAGACACTCTGAAAACGTCCCCTAATCACTATACTCTACATTCAGGAACATTATATGGAACAGTATTATATGGAACAGAATTTGTGATGGTAGTAAACAATTTCAGGTTTGCTCCTTACTTACAAACAATGCGGTGTGTTACGGGTATACCTTATCCACTAGGGTATATTGGTTGTGCACTACTTATTGAAGTGCATTGTGGGATTGATTGAGTGCACTGGACATTCTGCACTATGTTTTCGGACACCACTACAAAATGGCAGAACCCCAAAATAGTGTACTATATAGTGGACAGGGCACAGTCTAGGACCCGGCTACTGTTTTAAAAGACTTTTGCAACAAAGTTTGGGACTAAAACTTTTTATTAATTCATTCATGGTGGAGGAATACTTACATGGCGTTGTAAGGCACAATAACCCCCCCCAAAAAAGTATTTATTTATTTTCCAATATTTTCCCATCATCAACACTACATATATAAACTCAAAAGACCTGTGTAGGTTCACTGGTGGTTTTGGATAGTGAATAAAATGTCTATATTTGTGTTGTAGTCATGGTGACCCCTGGTTCCTATCACCACCACCACTGTAAAGAAATCTGAGTCTCTACAATTAACCATTTCACACCAAACCACTCTGAATGACTCTGTTTACAGCTCAACCACTGAATTACAGATATTTTGAAAACTCGGTGGCATTCCCCTTTAATTGACATACACCAGCTGCTAACTAGCTAGCTAACTGAACTGACTGGTAAATAAAAACAAAGTTCATTTATCTGTTGGAGGTATCAGAGCAGCTGTGAGTAACGGAGCATCTCTCCACTGAATCCACGGTGAGTTTATTACTCTCAGCTCAGCAATACAGACAATAACAACACTGACAGGTCAGTTAGCCTAGCAGCCGAGCTAGCATGACAGCTAGCTTAGCATCGACACCAGCCTAATGTCTCTGAGTCGTGGCGGCGGATGAAGCGGAGGTCTGAGGAGAGCCGGAGAGCCAAACGGATCATACTGTGAAGTTACTCACGGATCCATGAGCGGATCACCTCACTGTAGCGGGCTGAGCGGAGCGCTGAGCGGGACCCACTTCACTTCACTTCACTTCTCCTTAGTGCTCTGGGTTTGAGGGCGGGTCAGAAGGAAAAACCCTGCGCTCTGATTGGCTGAACGAGGTCAACTCGCTCCACCAATCAGAGCTGCTCTTGGATCTGCCTGTTTTGCTTTTACTACGAGCAGCCCCTTCATTTTATTTCACTATTTCCCCAAACTCACAGATTCATAACAGATATTTTTGTAATTTTTAGACTTTACCATGATTAAAAACAGCTATAATAAAAAAACAGAAATTACCATAAACATACCAAAACACATATACATATATTTTATTATATATATATATATATATATATATATATATATATATATATATTTACATATTTATGTATGTATGTGTGTGCGTGTGTACATATATATCTACAGTGCTGTGAAAAAGTATTTGGCCCCTTCCCATGTTCTTCTGTTTGCATAATTGTCATGCTTGAATGTTTCAGGTCCTCAAACTACTTTTACAATTAACTAATTATAACCTAAGCAAACACAAAATGCTGTTTTTAAATGATGATTTCATTTATTGTCATTTATTGAAGGAAAAATGTGGTTCAGCTCTACCTGGATCTATGTGAAAAAGTAATTGCCCTTTTAGCTACTAAATCAACTTCAAATTCAATTGACTATTGGGTTTAATTTCACCAGCTACACCCATATATATATATATATATATATATATATATATATATATATATATATATATATATATATATATATATATCAAGAATCAAGACTGGGCTAAAAACTGTCCAAAAACAACAGATTTTATTAATGCAAGATCAACAAAGCATGGCTAGATATCCAAAACAAACACACACACACACACACACACACACACACACACACACAATATCTAAGCCGCTTATCTTTCTGGGTCGCGGGGGGGGAGCTGGAGCCTATCCCAGCAGTCATTGCATGGAAGGCAGGATACACCCTGGACAGGTCGCCAGTCCATCGTAGGGCAAACAGACAGACATATATTCACATATACACTCACACCTAGGGGCAAATTGGCCTGACTGCATGTGGGACTGTGGGAGGAAATCCATGCAGACACAGGGAGAACATGCAAACTCCACACAGAAAGGACCCTGGTCGCCCGGCCGGGGAATCAAACCCAGGCCCTTCTTGCTGTGAGGCGATAATGCTACTAGTTGGCAAACATTTAACAAAAAAGAGAAATTAGGAAAATAACACATAATCGCCAAAATGTTGTAAAAGTGAAGCAGCAATCAACCATCACTGTGAGAAAAACAGAAGTTCTTCTCCCTGTGACACCCTTGGAAGGTTTTTAATACCTCATCATTCTCCAGACATTCCTAATAGGCAATTAAATCATACTGATGAATCAGTGTGCAGCCTTCTCCAGACAACTACACAACCTTTGAGAGGTGCATGCTCACCACAGCGGAGATTAAGATGTTATTTTAAAGTTAGAGAAGAGAAAGGAAAGCAGACAGTGATGAAGAAGTAGCATGAGCCAGTCTTCCTTATAATCCTCACTCAACCTTTCCACAAAGCAAGCATAAGTCAGACCTAAAGGCTTGTATATGAATCATTACAATGCAAAGTTATTCATGTATCCAATGAACTCATTAGACATAAGTAGTTAGTAATAAGTAACAACAGTATGTATAGACTCAATGTGCACTTTTTTAAGCAATATGGATGTGTGTGTGTGTGTGTGTGTGTGTGTGTGTGTGTGTGTGTGTGTGTGTCCAGTAAGTCCTACCACAGAAACCAGTAAGACAGTGAACCTGAAAAACAACCTCCCAGCATTTCAAGCAGAAATCCACTAAATACTCAACCAAATCAAACTATAACGTTACATCCATATAAACCATCAAGGCCTGCTTCTGAATACCTGACCGCCTGATTTGTGATCTGGCCTGCAGCAGCTGTGAAAACAGTAATTTTGCAGCTCAATTTAAAACAATCACTTACAGCAAGCTGCGTTGATTGACAGCGCTTCAGCCTATGAGGAACGGCCTGTGCGCTGTCACGGTGATTAAAGTCATCAGCGGACCAATAGGAGAGCGGAGCCGCGTTCCTAGAAGGCGTCAGTGTAGTAGTGGGCGGGGCTTAGCCACAGCACTCAGGGCGCTGAGATTTTCCTTCGTGCGTTTGTTGTTGTAGCTGTGGAGAGGCGAGGCGAGGAGAGGAGAGGCAGCTGCCTCACATGTTTGGAAATAAGAGCTGCGTTTGAAGGAAAAGCTGCTCATCTGACCCGCCGGAGGGTCCACAGGTCCCCGAGGTCTTTAACGGCTGCCTGAAGTGGAAGGAGAGAGCACCTGACCCGAGCCGAGCGGCGTTCGCGTTACTGACGGTAAGCGGCGAGAGGATGAATGTGGAGTGGTGTTTAAAGCGTTCGTGTCAGTTTCGAGCAAAAAACAGCAGAAATTTAAAATAAATGAGTTTTATTTCCTTGCCGGGGGCTTAAACGAACAAGAAATGTGGCTTGAGTTGAAATTATAAGGAGGTTTTGAGTTTTTTTGCGCTTTATTTTGGAGAAGACTGTGGTAACGAGTGAGTTTGGACCGTTAAGACCGTTGCGCTGGTTGCTAGGGCAGCAGCGCGAGAGCGCCTCAACTTGGCTTCCTATTCGCCAGCGTCTTGTTCGAATATTCCCGTTCCACCTTAAATGGTGCAGCAGTTGAATGTAACTGCTGCACCATTTAAGGTGGAACGGGAAAATTCGAACAACACGCTGGCGGGTAAGAAGCTGACTCCAGCGTCGTTGACGTTACCAAGTTCCCTTCAACTCCAGTGTAAAAAGGAAACGCCAGGTCTGATTTCTTTTCCTTTGTGGTGACTGAAACTTGTAGCTTCACCCGTTTAAAAGGCGAACCGTCACGGTTTATAGATGAATAACGGTCGACTAAACGCCTCCTCTGGGGTTTTACGCCGTTGTGTTCTGTCAGTCTCTTCAGCCAGTCAGTTGGGCTGTAGTAGAGCTGTGTTTGTCGTCAATGAGAGAACAAATGTCTGCTTTATAACTCTGAGGTGGACTAATATGTAACTGCGGTGCACAACTGCACACTGTGGTCAAATATTTCCCACTAGCCAGCAGTAAAACTGCCCAGTAAAACCGGTATAAGCCCACGGTGCGTCCACAGAGGGGTGAGGCGGTTATCGGAGCGCCAGCTTTATCGTGGCGATTCGGTTTAACGGTTTACAGTCAGCAAATTATTGTACTGAACGTCAACTTGATAGTGATACTGTGCTATGCTTTGGGAGCAGTATTGTAGCGCATATTTAGGAGGTCTGTTACTCATGGAAGCCTGTTTGCATCAATGAAGAAAAAAATTAAAGGCATTTAGTCACAATAATGAGAAAGTTTTCCATAATTCTGACTTAATATCTTTAAATTATGACATAGGGTGTCATTATGACCTGCTCATCTCATACTAATGACAAAATATCTTGTAACTGTGATGTAGTATCTCAAAATGCTACTGTTACATACTATTTAGAATCTCTTGATAACGACTTTCTATCTAATTATAAGATCTAAGTCACAATTATGGTACAGCAAGTCATAATTATAAGATACTTATTAGCTTTCTCCATATTATGACGTCTTATTATTATAAAAAAGCAAGTCATGACTTAGTATTTTATAATTATGACTTAGTATCTGAATCATTATCATTACATTACAAACTCAGAAGACACGGTTAAGTTCACTGCCGATTTTGGAGAGTAAATAAAATGGGCATGTTTGTGTTGACCCCTGCATCCTATCACAACATCACACCAAACTACTCCAGATGACTTTGTTTACATCTCAACCACTGAATTATGGGAAAATGTTTGGACAAATCAGTGGAATCCCCTTTAAACGGACTGGTGGTGGTCCATATTGTATTTTTATTGTCCTTGCACTTGTTGGCCTGAATCTTTTTCAGGTGGTCATTATTTGAAATACTTTGACGCTTTCAGATCGGCAGTGGATGTGGAATGAGGAGCCTGGCACTGGTCCTGATGCTGTGTGTTAAATGCAGTTTTCTGCAGTATGGAGGAAATGCAGCTGGAGTACATGTGCAGTGTGGATGAATAGAAACAGCTTTGATCAGCACATTGAACAGAAGCGAATGCACAGAGCAGCTCTTGGGTTCAGCGCGTGTTCCCACCATGTGTGGCTCCTGGATGGTGTTGCTTTGAGTCTGGCGATCAGGCATTCTGAAAATGACCATTCTAATCAGGTTATGATATGTTCACATATTCTTCATCCCTGGTTTTTGTATCCTGCACTTTCGCTTTTCATTGCTGAATCTAACAAGCTGTTAAGTTTGCTGCTGAACCAGCTTCTTTGAGTGGATGACCATTGGACCTCTTTGGAGGTTGACCTCTTCAACTCAGAATGAAACCGAGTCTGTATCTAGATTAATCATGTCCAGAATGATGCAAGATCAAAATCAGCTTCATTATTGCTGGTCCGCTCTTGTTAGTGTCAGATCTTGCTGCAAGAATGATATGATATCAATGATAATCAAGAATCACATGTAAAAAAACAAGCTCCGATGTTGAATTCCTTGTTTTTGGTTTCAGGCATTTGTAAGGATTCCCACCAACAGTGAACTGATCCAAGGTTTACTTGGACGTAGACTGAGATTTTGGCAGACCACACTTCCATTGTTTGGTGGGTGGAGTGTTCACATTCATCGGGATAAACCGAATTAAAGAAAAGGTTTGATTGGTCCACACCAAACAAGCTCTTAGGGCATTTTTTACACTAGAGCTTTTTCCAGGACCAGGTCCACTTGCTCAACGAATTCAGTACGTTTGGTCAGGTGTGAAAGCTGTTTTCGAGCCCAGGAGCTGTTCACAAAATTGATCTCTGGCCCTTATGAAATTGGTGGTCTGGGTTTCGCTTCCAGTGAACAGTCCACTGCATGTGTGGAAGCTATCATGTTTGCAGTTAGGCTACAAACATGAAAATATGTATTTTTTTCACTTTCAAGATATGTATTTCTTGATGGTGATGCAGATTTGTTGGAACACTAGCCATTACTGCTTAATACAGTGCATGT